GGTTACAATAATATTGACCGTATCGCACCCTGCCCAGCGACAGGTGGCTCCTTCTCGTAAAACAATTACGTAAATAGTATAATTATTGGCAAGCCTGCAAGAAAAACAAAACAAAATCTCATAACACAATGTTATTAATTGTGTTTGTTCCAATTATTTTTCCGGAGAAAACGATTTTCAGTTCCAGCGTCGAGTAAACGACCGTGAGTAGTATAAGAATCAGTGGCGTAGCTCAATGAGAGACATTTTTAATTTAATAAGATGTGGTACGGTTCATCTTTTCCAAAACAAAAAAAAAACATAATTACTCAGTTAAAATTACAGTTACAGTACTGTTTTGGTGGCAAATAATATAATTTATATTTTCTATTATAAAGGCGAAAAAAATGTTTTGCCTCATGGTGTTTTCATGTGTAACTACACCACTTATAATAATATTATTATATTATATTATAATATAGGCTAGTCGGAAAGAAACATTTTATCGTATAATGTTTGATATTTGTTTTATGTTTTTGTTTATATTTTTTTTTCAAAGAAGCTCGTTTATATATTTCCCCAGTGAACCGTCCGATAACTGTACCTATAAAACGAATTCCGTGTACTTATATTATAATTACAGGATACAACATTCCATTTTATCCCGAATCGTATATCATTTTCGGATAGTAGGTACCTACCAACTCAGCTACACCTACTTAGTATAATACGAGTCTTTTCGAATTCTCGCCATGATAAGGATTATTGAAACGACGACGACGCGACGCTCGAGTATAAGTTATGGAATTCAAAAATCGTGCCGAGGACACGTCGTCGCCGAAGATTCGAGATTATAAATTGAAAAATATAATAATATAAGTATCACGTAATAATATCACGTGTGGTCTGAAAGCAGAAATGAAACAAAAATTCTACGAAACAGTCGGTTGCCAAATTAACAAAAGAGCTGATTATACTGCTGACGGGTGTGGCCCTTAGAGTAATTTATCTATTACTCCAAGTGTGTGCCACTGTTGTAGATAAAAATCGGGAAGATAAAATACACATTTTTTTACAATTTGGTGCACATCCAAATATGTAACAATAAATTATTGCTAACGAAAATTATCGCTTCTAAGCGAAATTCGATTAAACATGTTTTGAAATGCGGTTATTTTCATGTTTTCTTCAAAATTTTAACCTAAAATTACTACATTATACTCAATTTCCTCCCCAAGAAATTATAATTTATCTTCGGTTATCAAAAAAAATCCCATCAATCGATTTTAACGAATTTTACAAAACTGTGCCAATGAAACTGTTAAAAATGTTCTCCCAAATGCACCAATTAGAAATTCTAACTAGAAAACTAGAAATTGTTTAATGGGACAAGATTTCTTATATAATATATGTTATGGATAATATATGTTTTCTGAGAACGTTTCAGGTAACCGAATACATAGAAACGAAAACAAAATTAACCAAATTTTCCGGTCTTTCCCACGTTTTTTCTGGCTTTCCCCATTATTAAAAAGATGCTACACTTGATGATCTGTAAAAGATTTTTGGTAGAAAAGTTGTAAATAAAAAACACACAACATAGTAAATTCCATATATATTCCTTGCTGTACTCAGAATCTAATATACTTATACTTATAAGTATAAGTATAGGAGTATAAGTAATTCGAATACAGTAACAAAATAAAGGTGATCTTTGAGAAACGATTGCTTATCGATTTTCTTTAGGTGGTCATTAAAAAAACAATTATAAATGTTAATAGGTATTTACTCGATTCCCATACAAATTTATTAAAAGTAGGAGTAAATATTGAGTAATACATTGTTAATATTTGGGAATATTTGTGTGTACGGTTGTACCGGTATTTGCACGATTATAAGTTGTTTCTGGATTATTGTTCGGATCAGATAACTAAAAAATTATTTCTGTTGATAAAGATAATACGAAAAGATATAAAAACGGAGTGTCTGACTGTAAATTTATAGATTTTTAAGATAATTCGAACACTGCCTCTGGATTATTTTAGGTTTGTTTTGACACTGTCTATATTATTGCATTATCTATATTATTGAGTATATTTTTGCGTATTTTACGCGAAAGTCAAATTTTTATTTTAACCTCCGTATTTTCGTATGTACCTCTATATATAATACATATAGAAGTATATATTATATATGTAGCCATATAGGTAAACGTATACGTTAAAAAATTATAATATAAGTAATACGTTTGCAATAAAAAAATTTTTTATAATATTATTATTATTATTATAATTTATTTACGATGCATGTGAACCGAAAATAGAAGTCAACAAGTTGACCGAATATTATATATAATATTATTGTGTGTGTAAAATACCCATAATGCGAATTAATTTATCTAAACCCGTTCAAAACGAGTTTTTATATAATTTAAATTATTATAATATTATTGTATATGCGTGCGTACGAATTAAACGAATTATCCTTAAAAGTTACATCGCGAGTCGTATAGAAAAAAAAAACGCGCTTAAAAACGAAAAAACGGTAACGAAATATTATACATTTATACCGTTTAGTAAAAATAATTCATGTACGTTCAAAACTGACATATTTCAGCACGGATTTGTATACAGAGTGATCAACATAACACGTAAGGCACTCAACCATTATCTTGGAAAATTTAAACTTTTTATGGAATTCGTTTTTGTAAAATACTTAAGAAACATATAGCTCTACAATTTTCCATTATCGTTTTTTTTTTCTTGTCATCCTTATTTTTGAAGACTAAACCACTATCCACTTTTGATTTTCAAATGGCAACCTTTATTAAAAGTTCAAAATAGATGAAGTTTTCATTTAAATAAATGTTTGTATTGAAGCGTTTAATTTCCGTCAATTCGTGGTTTTAAGCATTTAAAACTCATTAAGAACTGAAAATAGTAAATAAATCATACGCATGGTCAAGGCATAATAAATACTCTTCTTTATAAAAATGTATATAATAGATTACTTTGCTCTAAACTCAATTAGTAAGTCGCATTTGCGAACGTGCGGAATGTATTTGCTGCTATATTACACACGAGAAAGACCGGCAGGGGAATTTGGTATAAAGGCCCGTTAAATATAAATTGGCTTTTTTGGAACCGACTTTTGGATTCCCATTGCCGGATGACGTAGAGGTTAGATTAGGTAACCTAACTTGTGTAAAAGAAGATTATCTGATGAAAATTCTGAATGTTTTATAAAAGGGCTCTCGCTCGTTGATTATGATAAATTATAAGATTCTACGATTTATTCATAAATAAGATTCACCTACTTCATTCCCTCTCATTGAAAATGTCTCAGTAAGCTACAGTTAAAACCATAATTCATCTTCTATCTATATGCATATAACAACAAATGTATGTCTTTTTGTCCTTTTTGCATTACTACACCATTCATTCGATCGCCATGAAACTTTGGAAAGTTGTTCCACGTTGTCCGGAGAAGTTTTATATAGCTATTGAAATCCACCCTTATTGAATACCATTCCCCGAAATTCGGTTTTTAAGTATTTTTTGTAAAAAAATCAAATTATATTTGTTGATTTATTGGTTACACGTTTGTGAAAAAAAAATATGTATTATTGTTGTTATGAACATTTGTACCGAGTGCAATCCCTGTGTTGTGTGGATATCTATGAGTATAATAATCGCATGCAATGCTAATTTATTTATCAAACTTTATTTAGACATTTTTTTATTGTGCGGGCAAAGCCGGACGAGACAGCTTGTTATTTTATAAAATACACCGAACAGAATATATTCGTACAAGTTATACGTAGGTATTATAATCGTTGATATAATTGTATATATTCAAATTATAACTGTTGTATAGGTACCAATACTTAATGTTACAGGTTTTTGGCAAACATCCACGTGACACTACTTACGAAATCTATTTTTAGACTATCAATATTATCATTCGTAAATAATTTACATAAACATTGCATATATTTCTATTCGAAAAAGAAAATATTATCTTTATATCCCTGTAAACAATATTTCATTTCCGTGCATAAGATATTTTTTTTTTTTAGCGATAATGGAACGTCACTTAAAAGTCGCCGGTTTTAAAATATTATGAACCACAATATTCAAACTTCCAATAGTTTAGTAAAACGAATTAATTTTCTGTCAAAAAAGTTGTTGTGTTCAGCATCTCAGAAACAGTATGTATTATAATACTTAGAAGTTACAATTTTTTTAGTCAAAATTTATTAGCTGATATTCTAGACACTGGTAGTGTAAACCAGTTTTATATAAGATAACTTCTAGCAGCCTACGTCTTAGTTTGATAACAGCACTCTTTACGTATTGCCACTACGACGGTGATACGCGTGATTAGTTACGTGACGAGAATCACACGGTTTGCGTTTTTCGCGTATTTTGCATCATATCGTTTCCGGTTATCAGAACAATATTGTCACATAATCGCAAAACAATGTTTTACTTGAAAATAAAATGTTTAAAAATAGATTTCTTCTAAATAATAATAAAAACAAACGGACATATTTCGCACGTGGGTGGACCACTGTTGTAGTCGAGAACTTAGGAAGGTGTAGGACAAATTCAATGTGTATCTGTAAAACGGTTCTGAGCGGAGTTCGGTTTTACATGTTTTAAAAGGCCGTATAATATTTACGATTTTAAAATATAAATACATTTCGTAAATATTCCCGTTTTTCCTACTGTTTTATTCTCGGTTTTTTCCCATATATCATGAAAATTTTTGAAAAAATCCCGAATTGACCACCTTAAAGTACCAGTCAGATTTCTTTTTTAAAATAGTGCTACACTTGAAAATCAGAGCAAAATGTCTGATAGAAAAGTTGTTCACATACTATCAACTGTTTTTATAGTACTTGTTATATTATTTTTCTCTTTTCATTTTATTTCGTAAATTTTTATTTTGATATAAAAATGAATACATTCACATGTACATTCGTCGGTTGTACTAAAGTTTTTTCCGTGAGACGTAATATGACACGCCACGCTAAAGCCCACGAGGGTGTAAAATTTCTGTGCGCACTATGTCCAAAAATGTTTTCACGTAAAGACAAGTGGGCTACCCACGTTAAAATTGTTCACCACGAAGGAAGAGTCACCGCACCAGCTTTCACCTCTCAGGCCGGACCGTCAACCGCCCCGCAGAATACTGTAGCCCCGAAACCTGTCGCCAGCCCATCGAAAACACAATGGACAACAGACGAGGAGGACGATAAACTTTTTATGGACTTTGATATGGACATTGACAACAGTAAGTTTTTTTTATTTTACCCCGCCACATAAATAGTATTATAGGTAGTTTTATTTTTATTATTCGCGTAACATAATATTTCCCGATCGAGTAATTTATTAAAAACTCATCATACGGTTTGTGAAACGATCAGTGGTACAATAGTTGGAGTATTCCGGCATTGTATCGATCAATACACGCGTCGCATCCTATGGGGTAATAGTTAGAGTTTTCCGACATTACACCGGTTGTCAGATCGTCTGGTGGATTTTTATAACATTTTTTTTATTCGTGTAACATAATATTTCCCAATCGAGTCATTTATTATATTTTATATTAGTTTTTGGAATTATTTTATTTTTCTCCTCTATTGTTATATCCATTTTTGATAGACCCGTATGAAGAATCAAATTTTACTTAGGTTTTTTTTTTTTTCTGATAGTAACGAAACGTAGGAAAGTCGAAACTGCTGCGAAGGTTCAGAAAGCTAGGTTGGAGTTAGTTAATTCACCCGGATTCACGGAAATCTATTATTCTCACTCGAGGAAGATCGTCTGGTATTACACTGAAAATCTCTCCAATATTCAAAAATATAAAAAATTCCTTTCTTCCATCAAACCAGCATTAATAGATCTTCTTAAAAAATATAAAAAGAAGAAAATACTAAACATAGAATTACAATTAAAATAATTTAGAACGAACCCCTTGTCGAATAAAGAAACATATAAAAAAAATTATGCTCTTTCGTTGAGTTTTACAGGTTTTTTAAAATCGACTTACAAATACCACTTTTTTGAGTTTAAAATCGAAAAACCTGCGCAAAATTCGTTATATTGCGATACAATTACACTTTTATATCCGATTTTTACTTAAAATGATTTAGAACAAACCCCTAAACGAATATAAAAACATATAAAAATATTTACGATATTTCGTTTAATTGTACTGGTTTTATTGAAATCGACTTACAAATAGCACTTTTTTAAGTGTAAAATCAAAAAAAACTGCGAAAAATTCGTAGTATTGCGGTACAATTTTACATGTATATTCTAATTTTATTTAAAACTTTTTAGAAAAAACCCCTCAATGAATATAGAAACATATAAAAAAATTTACGATTTTTCGTTTGATTGTACTGGTTTTATTGAAATCGACTTTCAAATAGCAGTTTTTTGAAATTAAAATTGCAAAAACCGTGCAAAATTCGCTATCGTTCGATACAAAATTTTGTTTTGATTCGATTATTACTTAAAATGATATAAAATTACATTATAAAATAAATCATTACGTCATTATTAGTCGTATTTGAAGCTTTCGACGAAAAAATTGGAAATTATAATTTTCATTGCGTATCCTTGTATAGTTTTTATCGGTTATAAACAATATGTTTTATAAATATTGTTTTAATTCCATAAGACGTTCGAACTATGAGTCATATCAGAACTTGTCTTTTCCCCCACACAAAACTGTAGATATTCCGTTGAAATACGTTATTATCTAATCTTTTCCGGTTACTATTCCCGAAAATGGCCGCCAGAAATTTTTTCCTGATATTCGACCCTATAACCACGCACAATGTCGTATACGACGTAATATATCATATGTTCTTTCCCATATCACCTCATATAATAACAAAATTCATATCGGCGACAATAATTCTACAATTTATCAATATATATGCCAGTATGTATTCTAAAGCGTACCTGTCCGCATCTTGAACCTCTTTAACGCCACCATAATTTGCTTTTTATCTTTTAAGATTTTTTATTTTATACACGAACTCGTTATCGTTCCATATTACATACGCCCTTTGTAGAATATACGGAGAAACACGAACGAGCGAAGGCGAATAATAATCATAATTCTTATGAAATAAAAATCAAACGTATATGAAAACTATGTAGGAGTGTTTTAACGGTAAATTAATAATACCATAGTGCGTTTGTCGAATAAGTATCTAATAATGACTCGAAAAATATTTTAATCGAAAAGAGTGTTACAATTTAAATGTATATTTTTATAAAATATATTTCTAAATATTTTTAATTAAAATTAGAATATAAACAAAGTTCAGTATCTTACGATAGCGAATTTAGCACGGTTTTTTCAATTTTAAACTCAAAAAACTGCTTTTGTATGTCGATTTTAAAAAAACCAGTTATATCAAACGAAAAATTGTAAATTTTTTTATACGTTTCTATATTCGTTTAGGGGTTTTTTCTAATTAATTTTAAATAAAATTAGAATATAAAAGTATAATTGTATCGCAATAATACGAATTTTGTGCAGTATTTTCGATTTTAAACTCGAAAAAGTGGTATTTGTAAGTCAATTTTAAAAAAAACCAGTAATATAAAACGAAAGAGCATAACTTTTTCTCTATGTTTCTATATTCGTTTAGGGATTTTTTCTAAATCATTTTTAATAAAAATCGAATAAAAATTATTAATAGCTATTGTTAGTTTTTTTAATATCGGCTTATAAATAGCTGTTTTTCGAGTTTAAAATTGAAAAAACCGTGCAAAATTCGCTATCGTTTGTACTAAATTTTGTTTATATTCTTATTTTATTTAAAACTTTTTAAAAAAACTCCTAAATGATTATAGAAACATATAGAAAAATATAAAAAAAATTACGATTTTTCGTTTGATTGTACTGGTTTTATTGAAATCAACTTACAAATAGCAGTTTTTTGAGTTTAAAATTGCAAAAACCGTGTAAAATTCGCTATCGTTCGATACTAAATTTTGTTTATATTCTTATTTTATTTAAAACTATTTAGAAAAAACCCCTCAATGAATATAGAAATATATAGACAAAATTATGCTCTTTCCATCGAAATTACTAGTTTTTTTAAAATCGACTTACAAATAGCATTTTTTCGAGTTTAAAATTGAAAAAACCGTGTAAAATTCGCTACTGTTCGTTACTAAATTTTTTTTATATTCGATTTTTACTTAAAATTATTTAGTACAAACCACTAAACGAATATAGAAACATATAGAAAAAATTATGCTCTTTCGTTTAAATTACTGGTTTTTTTAAAATCGACTTACAAATAGTAGTTCTTTGAGTTTAAAATTAAATAAAACCGTTCCCAATTAAAATTTCATATGAAAGCACACCCCTATCACAAATTCACAACAGTCACTTTACTGGCGGGTGGTTAATATACACGTCGTGGTTAACGTTGTAAAAATCGTTTAATGTGGTTATATTTATGCTTTTTGCGTATGAAAACCGATTGCCCGCCGTCGGTTTTAACATCGGGGTGTCATTTTTCCACTATTAAACGTGCAGATTAGAGCATTGTTTAATGTTTGTACGATATTAGAATGTTTTAAAATCATTATACCTCGGCTCGAAAAAAATAATCAACATATAAATACAAATAATATTGTCACCTTTAAGTTAGATGATTAAGCCAGTATACTCCGATGTTAAAATTAACGGCACAAAATAGGTTAATAAAAAAATAATACAACAACATTAACCGATTTCGCGACATTTACCGTTACTTATATACATGCATACATATCATAAAATAATAATAATAATCGAGTTTTCATCGGACACTTGTACTTACCTGGTATTTTGAAACAAAAAACTATGTATAACTTAAGAAATATTTAAATTACGTTTTGGATGGTTTGAATTTTGTTTTTAAATCACTGGTTTTTTTTTATTACTGGGAACTGAATTTCTGTTTTGTATGTTGTCGCATTCTTCCAGTATCATGGCGTCAAATTGTTGGAGAGGATACATAAATACAAAACGATGTTTGAATATCAAATATAAATAATAAATCTAAGCACCACAAAACTTATCAATAAGATTTAAATCATGATTTTTAAGGAGACAAAAATTAAATATTCTCAGAATTTTGTTTAACATCTATAGCTCTATACTATATTATAATAAAAAGTTTGAACTTGATATCATATTATTTTTGCACTGTTTTATAGTAAATAAATACAATTAAAAATTAGGTACTTTTAGGTATGAACGTATTAATCTCGTTTTACCATATGAATTTATTTTTATTTAATTTATTCATAGATTTATACCAAGCATCTAACATCTATAACAATATAACATGTAATACCAACAAACACTATATAATACAAAATTGAATCTCATATAATGAAATTAAATGTACTGATGATGATAAAATACTAAAAAAAGCTACATAATATATTTTGGTCTTTATTATTAATTACCAAACATGATTGAACACTATCACCTACACAGACCTACAGTCTGTGTAATAATACAATTGATATTTAAATAAATACAAACAATTCTGCTGCTGGCAAAAGTAAAAGATCCTACCACCCCATGAGAAATTTGCCAATGCAAACCAATTTAAAACAATGTTGTTGATTGAAACCTCTATCAAATTAGTTAATTAAATTTACTCTTATTCTGATCAATGCAATGATTGTTTTAATTTTATATTACTATTATGTCGTAAAAACAATAACACACATACAATAAAAATTTTCAATAATCAATACTACCAATATTATCAATATTTATAAAAAAAAAATATTAAATTGATATAAATAAATTTTACAACTAGTTATTTATTTATTTTTTTGAGGGGGGGATGTTAAATCCTCCCCTCTATATACATACCAGATTATGATGAAGATAAACAATATAAATATTGAAAGCATGACAATAAAATTATTATAAATATTATGGAATTTTTTTTTTATATGAAAAAAATCTATTATTTTTATCTGAAAGCCAAAACAAATTGTATAGACACAATCTTAATTAAAATTTAATCCAGATAATATTTAAAAAATTGAATAAAAATACATAAAATATGCTCAAAATCTTACTAGTATTCTGTTAGAATAAAACAAAAAATAACAATTATTTATTTCTACCGATGTTATCCTTTATTTTCACAATTCAACAGAGTAAAACATAAATTATATTATTTTTACTTTCCTTTTTTCTTTACGAGGAACATAATACTACAAATTAAAAATTAAAAACGATACATTCATATCAACTAAAACATACAGTTTCAATGTTTCATTTAAATTACTCAACCCAATTAATTGACAAATAAAATTAAGTATGTATATATCAAAATGCTTTGTTCAGAAAATAATATTTGTTTATCTTAAAATTAAGTAGGTATATTTACATAATATAAATATGCATAATTAATTAATTAATGTTTCATATTCTAATATTTATAATTTTAAATACAATATTCATTATATGTATCTCATTGAGAAAACAATTTTGAAGATACGATTCAACACTAGAAAATGTGAGAAAAAATTTAACATAAAATATGTAGATACAGTGGAATGAATAAAATGACTTGGACATAATTAACCCAAACCAACTCAGTAGAATTATTTTTCACAAAAATTTTGTTGAGTTGATTAAACATTTTCTAAGTTTACTTAGATCTCCTTCTTGCAATGTACGATAGCAATCGGTTTCCGAACAGAAAAGTTAAAAGTCCCAACAATGATAAATATTTGAGAGTCTTGAACATGTCTAGGTATACCCAAAACATTCCAAACAATGCAAATATACCTAGGAAAAAAATGTATTTGTAATTATCAAAATGAATAAGACACAACTTTTTAAATGACTTACTAGCTAATGACAAATGGAACCCTATAGCACTTAAATTGAATGGGAAGTTCTTAATGTTAACTCCTAAACGAGCCCACTGAAAAAAAAAATACCATTTTTTTATTTAAAAACCACGTAGAATAAATAACAACTACGATTATAATTTACCAAAACAAAGAGAATCAACAGTGGCAACAGAGACAATGCTGTAAATAGAAGTGATACAAATTGATGTGGTCTAGTCTCAGGTTCTCTGAATGTATGCTAAAATGACATTAATGTTAGTAACAGTACATAGAGTTTATAGATAAATTTCAAGAACTAATACGTACGGAAATTAATTTTTTTGGCTTATAAAAGAATTGTACGGAAGGAACAAATGCAGTTTCAGGAAATTTCAACTTGATATCACAAAATTGCCAAACAATAGTTTTTTTCAACAAAAAGTCACCAATAATTAAATCCATAGAATATAAATCTGACGCGTGTTTAAATGATGTTGCTTTAACACCCAAATCCTAAATAGTAAAATTTCCAAATTTAATACAATATTCAAATATTTAATTAGAGTAACATACCATATCTAACTTGTAGTTATTTTGTGAATCCAATTCAGCAACAAATACATTTTGAGCACCAGACCGTTTATTTGTAAACCTAACAAAAGCTTGGTGCACTTGTACATTTTTATTATTATTATGATCTTTAATAGTAAAACGTACTATGATTCTTTGCATATGGTCTGCTTTCAATTGAGTTGTTAATTTTTCACCATATTTTAATCTGAAATTAAAATTAAGTTTTTTTAAAAAAAAGACATATTTTATAAATATTTTAGCATGCATACATTTGGAGTGTTGCACCAGTCTGTTGATCATTATCAGTTGTTCCAACTTTAAAATCAACAACATTTACTTTAGAGGCCGATACTTTTACTTCAAGAGGAATAGCATTATTGCCTATAATTGGAGTTTTGACATTATCTATTGGTGTAGCAGTTATCACTAAACTATATATTCCAGTAGACAAATCTGGTTCATTAAACTCTAATTCATATACAGTCCTTAAAACAAAGTACAAAACAACTTGATTAATAAATAAATTATCATTTTAGAATATATTATAAAAAAAATACTTACTTATCGGCAGTGGTTTTAAACCTATTTTTAGACATAACAACTTTATTATTCAATAATGCAGATTCAACACCAACAGAAAGAGGTGCTATCAATGGTTCACCAAGTAAATTAGTAAAACGAACAGAAAGTGTTCTTTGTACATCGTCTAAATCACCCATTGGTTTGACTAGTGTAGCACAAATTGGCGTGTGATACTAGAAAAAGTTATAAAAATATTACACTTATAAAACACAAAATAAATTTACCATTAAATATTATTAAAATACAATTATTTATCAACATACTTGATTAATGGTCAATGTTTTAAGAGCATAAACTAAGAAATATGCTCCTTTAGGAGTTTGAACAGATTTTCGAGATAAAAGATAATTACTAAACATCAAAGCTTGATCATTATGAATTGGGAATGATGTATTACACACTACAGCATCACAGAACTTGTATACTCCAGTCAATACAAGAGCTAAAATTAAAAAACCAAATTAATAATATAATTATTTTAAAATGTATATTTATATTTTACCAGTAATTGACAAGCCTCCTTCAAATTGTAAGTATTTACGATCCACTTGATCAACTTGCATAAGCGCATCAGATAGACGATTGAAGGCAAAACGTCCATCAGGACCAAGACTTGACAATAAATGTATTGAATAACCAAAACTAAAAAAAAAAATTAATTATCTAGTAGTTTAAATAATACTTAATTTATTGATGATATTAATAAGACATACTCAGCAATAGAATCATCAGATTTCATTTTCCTTTTAATAATATTGATAAGTTTGCTAATATCCTTTGGTTTAAGATTGAGGTTGTTTAAAACACTGACACCAAAGTATAAATCAGACATGTGCACGTCTCTAATATCTTTTTTCTCCAGCATAGCATACACATCCTAAGAATGAAATAATTTAATCAAGTCAAATATTGCAAGAATCTATTAATAATAATTTGTATTACTTGAACTGATTCGTCAACAACTAATGTGCCAGAACATACACCAATTAATTTCCATGCACTTGTTGAAAAATACACAGAATCCAGTGATTTAGATTTGCTAACTAATTTCACCAATTTATTACATATACCCTAAAAAGAAATTAAATACATACATATATAAATAATTAACAACACATATATTATTGTATTACATATTTCAAATTTGTTTATTTTTGTTATAAAGAAATGATAAATAAAAATAACCATGAGCATCAGAGCTCCATCATTGGAGTCAAATTACCTCTAACCTGTTATGCATTATAGAAATATTCTTTGTAAAACAAAAAATAACTAAATTATATAATAGTAAAATAATGTACAATAATATACTATACTACTTCCAAAACAATTATGAAATATGATCATAAATAGGCAATGGTCGAAGGGGGTGAAAGTTTAAACCAAAAAATAAGGCACATCTTTGATAATTACGCCATGCATACACAAAAATACATCCTACAAGCTCTATTTTAGAAGATTTTTAGGGGGTGTACGAAAATAAAAAATAGCTCTACCACAACAATAAGTATATGAAATTTATCTCAATTCAACTTTTATCTTTTTAATTCCCCATACATCAAAACAACTTTGATTCTTGAATTTGAGATCATTTTATTTAAGGGAGCTGTTAAAAGTATCCAAAATTGGAGAATATACCTAAAATATATATACCTATAAATGTTTATATAAAGGATATTGTAGGGTGTAATATTCTCCATTTTCTTGGAAAATTTGACAAAAAACCCAAAAAAACTAAAACTTGACTAATAGATCTTGTAGCAAAGACATTTATTTACATTTATGTTAATACATAAAAACTTCAGACATATATATATTGTATCTAGAATAGGTCTCTATTTTGGGTGTGGTAAATGTCTTACAAAGTTACAATCTAACAATCTACTTAAAAAAATGATTAAGTTAAATTTAGAAATTTGAAATGTCATTACATGCTCACTTTTTGTTGAAATTTATTCAATTTTTAGGGTTTTGAATAAATTATTTTACAAAATAAATTATTGCTGGATTTCTATATTCAATTCCCTATTTATAAAAATACTCCCGTAAAGTGCATTAAATAAACCAAACAAAAAAAATTGCATTAGGTTATTCTAATACTTGTTTTGATTTACTCAAAGATTAACATAAAAGAAATATTATACTAGTGATTTCAAGTTCTACTTCTTTCTGTATGATGATCCTAACATTTAATCTATTTATACAGTTAAATTATAAAAAATATAATATTCTAACTTAGCGATATTGTGATATAAAAATAACACGCATATCAATTATCTTTAATAACTCGTTTTCTTAAACTGTATTCAAAGTTACAATCATTTATACAGCAATACCAAAAACCACGTGTTACACCATACAAGGTATCTCATAATAATTTATTATTTTAAAATATAGCAGGCATAACGTAAACTACAATATCCCATCGTTTTATAAAATACATTTTCAACATTTTGTACATTCTCATACATTTTATTAATACTTGTAAATTACCATTTATTAATTATATTAAACGTTACTACGGTGATATTTTAGAAATTAATACAGATTATCAGATGTCGAAGTTTATACTCATACAGGTTTTTTTCGCCAAATATGAAAAATTTTAAGTGAGGTACAAATTCGTTTTCATAACAATAATAATAAAAATATAAAATTTAATAATAAATATTTTCGCATAGTTTGGAATATTTGACATACAGTCAATTTTTGGAGTAATTAGTGCATATTTTTGATACATTCAGGAAAATATTATAACTTATTTACTATTCCGAATAAGTTTATAACATTTTAGTCTATCTTATTTATATTATTGTGTGACAATATATGTTTTGCAGCAATGCCATAAAAACAATGTAATTGCTACTACTACCACCCTTTGCCAATACACGTCATTACACAATCAATCAATTTATTTTAAACAACAAAATAAAATATAACTTTTAAAAAATTAATTTTTAATGAACAGAATTTTCTTTAAAATTATTTTTTTTATTGTACATATTTCAAGTGTTTAGTTTTAGAATTTCAGTTCACATAAATTTAAATTTTACCAATTTTTAATGCATAAGTGCATATTTAATTAGATGGATTTTTAGTCCATGGACTTACAGTCGTGCTGATTATTTTTTTTTATAAGTAAAAACATTTTTTTTTAACTAATAAAACCATACAATTAAAAATTAGACACTAAATCATACATACTCAATGCATACCTATGCTATGGTATACAATTATTATTCGAACTAAATTAACAAAACAAAAGAAAATATTAAAAAAAAAAAATAAATAAATGTGTACATGATTAATTTAATTCTGATTCGGTAACCAATATTATAGTGTTGGGGAAACACTGACAAGTGCACCAGTATTTCCAAACCTCTAACACTATGAGCCATTTAAAGAATTTTTACAAGTTGCAGACCACCATAATTATAGATGGATTATTTTTCTTGCTTATAAACAAGGATTACCTACTTCTTTTATAGATTTACTAAATGACAAGTTTGGTATATTATAATTTATAATAACCAACTCTTATGTGATTTTTAGGTTCGACTTTTCTGAAAATATTTTTGGACAAATACTGTTGCTCAGAGCTGTACGCATAATGTATAATAAACTCTATAAGTTAAATTCAAAATCCAATTATTTTCCTGCCTTGTATTTCTAGTTATTTTCACTACAATTTCCTTTACTTTGCAATTTAATTGTATTCTAATAGGTATATGTAAAGGATAAATCACTAACGGAAATCAGTGTACTATATGTGTGTAAATATGCTTGGAAATCAAGGAAATCTTTAGTAATCTAATAGAAAATATTTGGTGAAAATCCTAGATATTAAATTATTATTGTTAGATATTTGATGTTTTGTATGTTAAATAGTACAGACTAACAAATACCAAAAAATCGAATGGTATTATAAATAAAAATCAATAAATTATAAACTATTAAATTAGTGATCTATAGAAATATTGGCTATGATATGAAAGATCTACTAAAATATTCTGGTATTAAAATTAGTTTTTCCTAACCAATTTACGTGTTTGAAATTCGAACTGGAATTTTAATTAATTAATTATTTTATGAATACTCACTTGAACATTAGGGATTGATTGATCAAGCAGTTTTAAACCCGCCACAGCGTAGAAAATGTTGGATACATTTTCAGATTCAAGTCCTGCGACCAGAACATTCTTTAGTTGCGCTTTGTCCCTGTCTGTCAAATAAGTATCAACAGTAATACTCGTTGACAGGCATAAAGACCCAATTAAAACGGACAACAAAAATACTATAAAACAAGCCAATGTTAAACAATTGAATAGCATTATATATAATTAATCAGATGGTAGATAGATCTTACCGATTTTCATTATGAGCGTTCTCGACAATACACGCTGTACAGATGTGTTGATCGATTTGCTTTACCGTTTTATACCATCACAGAGAGCATGAAACTAAATAAATCTAAAAGAAAATGAATTATTATCGCACACTGACGTAGCCGGCGGAATATTTTTGTATACTCAGTCAATTATGTGTTATCAATAGTAACCGTATCATACGTAATAATAATAGGTTATGTTTACACGTCGCTTATTTAAAGACGTGTCATTTACGTGACCATAGACTTGGTATCGTTTAGACAGCTGGTTGATACCTGATAATTATTAATATACCAAATAAATTATTATGATCTGGTTCGCGGTCGACTAAACTCGTAACTACGACTAGAGCACTCGACTACAATACCGCAACTACGCGCAACGGAACAACACTTCGATTGGGGTTTTTTTTTAATTACCATATTGCCACTAACAGTGGAAAATGCGGTTATAATCACGGTATTATATTTTGTAACGACAGGTTTCCATTGTCGTTTCCGCCGTAACAATTTGAAGTCCATTCGAGACCGTATGTGCTTATCACGCGTTAGTAAATACGCCGTCAGGATAATTCTGTCTTCTGAGACCGTATACTCCGTACATCGGACTCTACGTTTCTGTCAAATACACTCGATACCGAGCGATTATTTTTTTTTACAGCGGAATAATTGGTCCCCTTGTTTGTAATACAGCGATTGCTGATTTACGATTACGTCCATATTCCATAGACTCTACTATATATAATATATAATAGTATATTGTGAGACCGCGGTCGGTACGGTAAACGAATTTTAAAAATTCCGCCATTTACCATCACCAATCGAAGTAAAGCTGATAAACTGCTAATAAAATGTTTAGCAATATAGAGCGTAAACAGCAGTTGTTGTCATTCTTAAGAATAGCTGTGTGTGAACATTGATACTATTTAGTTACAGGCGTTACAGTGGCAGCTAGAGTGTATAACGGATTACCGTATCTAGTTCTGCTTCTGCTTTTGTGACGGGAATATGGCTCACAGAAAAGTAAGGGAAATAGGTGGTTGGGTTGGTTTAAAGTGGACATAAATACGTATTATACGGGGCGGCATTATGTTTTATCCGATATTCTTAACAGCTGTTTCATGGAAAAATAATTGACCGATTGAAATGGAAATAATCTAAACGACTATAGACATTATTAATAATCTTAGATCGTATGCTATGGACAGAGCTTTTTTCAAACAAACATAAATAAGACGAGTTGGGACAAATGCGCATGCGCAAAATGTACATCGTGCGCAATTGGTCGAATTCACTGCCTATCAATCACCACTGCCCGGTGGAATTACAATAATTACACGATTTACACGATAAATATGCGACTGATACGCATGCGCAATAGACATCATTCGCTTGGCACTCGTTGATAATGACGCCTTCAACTCGTAGTACGCGTTTGACATGCAGTAGCAGCTCCACCCATAGTATATGATCCAACTTGATAATATTAACGTGTGTCTATGTTAACGACGAGGTACATTTGTCGGCATAGATAACAAATCTATAGTTTTCGGTCGTATAAATATAAATATAGATAATCGATAACATTATACGATAAAATATTAATACCGTAGTTATACCCATAGACCTTATACGAATATCTATGGAAAAAAATTAATAATAATATACTGGCCTTTTGTACACGTAGAACGGTCATCGGTAGAGGGCGCTCCTCATGTGTGACTTGTAACTTTTACGTGGTATTATTGTGCATGCATTTTTTTTTACATGTTTTGTGCATTTTAATGTCATTTTTAAGATTTTTCACTGCATTAAATTAATAGCCCTACTTATACGGTATAAGCTCATAAGCAGTTTAGCAGTAAGTTCATCAAGGCTTATAGATAATATTATCTATAAACCTTGGGAGTTCATGACAATTAGCAGACAAACAATATTTTGTCACTTTTATATCACGAAAAATATGTAGAAATAGAATTAGTAGCCTGCTAACGATATTGAGAAATAGCAGTGCTCATATAGTTGCTACTGCTATTTTATGCCACCTCTAACTAGAGATGGGCGAAATCCATTGTTTGAATATTTGATGTGTCGGGATAAAAACATCGATGTTTACATATCAAAAAAGTTTAAACAACTAGAAAAAACCAGTTTTGATACGTCCTATAGATCTAACTTCGTCATAATTCACAATTCACATTTCACGTGTGAACTGTGCTTTGATGAATATGATTCAGAGTTTATGGTAATAATATTATGACTATAAAACGGTCATAATAATAATACGAAATGCAATTGCATTATTGTTCACACTATTCTTTTATCAGTTATCGATTTTTAAATTCAGTAGTTTCAAAGGTTTCACCGTCGCCGAAAAGAAAAAAAATTAACATAAAACATCGATATTTATATCGATCAATTGAAAAAAATATTTAAAAAAATAAGAATACCTAGGTACCTATTTTAAAAATATTAGCAATTTTGCTATTCCCCCTGTATTATAAATGATTACTAATTATTATCTATATTATAGATTAATATTACAATACACAGCTGAATACATAATAGGTATGAAATATTTTGTTTGTTTGTTTGTATCTGTGTGTTTTAGCACAGTTTATATAAAACCTAAATTAAATAATTTATAACACATAATATAAATTACACCAGTGGTTTTACAGGGGGGAAGGAGAAGGATAAATATAAATAGTATTGTCTAAAATTCCCGCTCTTTTAGCCTAGGAACTTAACTCTATTAAAATTAATTTTCCATTAAAATTATATATATATTTCTATTATATACCTATACATTTTTAATTTTGTACCCTTTTATAATCCTTGAATATAATTTGACATTTGCATTTTAATTTTATAACTTATAATAATAGTTAATAGTTATTGGTACCTGCCTAATAGTAGGTACATATAAAGGAACCGATTTCTATAAACTACAAATTTGTATATTGCCTGCAGCATTTGTGTCCTCTTGGACTCTTGGTGTAATATTACACCCCCCGAAGGTCGAAATATCCTAAAATCGAACTCTCCGAATCTAAGACGTTTCTCTCCCAATCGGGAAAATCTCCCCTTCCCCTAACTTGGTATATAATATAGAAATATAAAATAAATCAAATTACATAATATTGCATTGATTCAAGGGAAGAAGTGTCTCAGTCCAGTGGGGGACGTCCAGTACCGTTAAAAAACCCGGGGGATGAAGGCATGGGTCGGGAGACGTTCAAATACTGAATTATCCACAATATTATTATCAAACTAATTGAATAGTATTCCGTTTCGGCCTTCAAAATTCAGTTTTTGAAATTGGTAACAATAGTCAATAAGCGTGTGCACAAGTACATATATTACCAATCAACAATAAACATACCTACATCAGGTCGGTATATAATAAATATAATTACGGTATCCGTGTATTTCAACTATAAGTAATATTAATGACAGGAAAAATGATATTTATTGCGTATACCTATTACACAATTAAAAATATTATTACGAGTAGAGCTTAGTATTATTATTATTTTTTTCATATATATACCTACCAGTAATATTGAGATAATATTTGTATATTTGAATAGGTAGGTGATAAAAAAAAAATTAATTTTTCAGAACACATATTAATTATTATACGGTTTACACAGTTCAATTTGAATAAATGTAAATTTAATGATAGGCAGGTACAGGTAGGTACATAAGCTTTAATATTGGCAATTTATTTCGTGTTAATGAAAAATGGTTCTGGAACCATTTATGAAATAAATAACGTTGTAAATAAATTTGAATAAAAAATAAATTACGTTGTTCTATTTAGATTCTCGTACGAATCATATGACATTATTGTAGTTTTGCCTATGTTAATTTTATGCATGTATGTGTGTACAAATTAATAATAAATAATATTGTCCACAGCCCACAGAAAAAACAAATACCTACCTATACATATTACATGTATATATATATATATATATATACATATATATATAAGTATAAAAATATATATATTATCACATAATCAATAATATTTTATCGAGTAAAAAATTATTAAAAGTGTTGAAATATTAAAACATCTAAAACATGTCTCACAGAATAATAATAATACTACTAATCAAGTATAGGAAATTATCATAACATTAGACATTTAGACATAATATTATATTCATGGAAATGACCAGACTTCAAAAACAGTAAACACGTCATAAAATTATTGCTCATCAATCATCATTAACCTTATCAAATCTTATCACTTGGTATTTGGCAACGTTCAATTCTTAAAAATAACAAAACAATGTGAATTTATTTTGCCCTCGAATCTCAAATCCTCTAGTCAGTTAATTTATTTATTTGTAAACTACAGTTTTTCTTTATGATTACTAAACATTTTGCACAAGATTGAATTTGGTAGAAAAAACATGACTCACAATCTGACAGACGTTGAAAATATTATACTAACGCCAGAAAAGAGGATTCAACAATTGTCGATGTTAAGTTCAAACATCGAGTTGAACACAAACATTGCAGCTAGAAAGTTCGATTTTCCCATATTTTTTAAAAATAAAAATAATACCGCAATATACAGCATAGAACAATAATTGTACTCTATTGCAGGTATTATCGTTCTGGTCGAGAGATGATCAATATGGCTGATGTGTATTTGAAAGAAAACAATTTGGAACAGGCGTATATTCTTTATATGCGATTTATGACGTAAGATTTTAAAATTTACATTATAAATCTAATATACATGATATCAAATAGTTTTATTTGATTAAAGTAGATATTCTGCATACAATACATATAGGATAATTTTAAATTTATAATAATAATGATAGTAAACTCAAGATTTAAATGTATAATTGGTTAGTATAGATGACATATTATAGATATCCTACACTGTCTAAGTACATCTGACATATTCAGTGTTTCAAATTTATTGGACAATATTTTGTAGTTTTAGTAATCTGACCATACTATAATCTAGTTTCATACTTTATTATAATTAATAAAATTGATAAAGTCAACTGGCAATTATTATTATAAAACACTTGTCATAATCCCACATTTAGTTGTTTACTGATGATGTGTATTGTGTTAAAAAAAAAAAATTTTTTTAAAAAATTATAATAAAATCTCATTCGTGTTTAATAAAAATAACGTACAATTAACTACAATATGTCATTTAAATCATTTCTAATCAATAATAATGATAAAAAGTAAGATATAAAATTTAGATTTTGTAACATGGGTAGGCTTATATTTTGAGTGGGTCATAACTTGTACAATTATTGAAAGCATTCATAATTCATAAACCATATTTTAAAAACAATTTTTAGTGGAGCTCAGATTCTAAATTTTATTGCATACTTAGATAGCTTACTTTTCCAAATTTATTGAAATACTAGTGTAATTTAAATGCCTCTTTAAATATCAGGTACACATTTACATTTTTGTATTAGACATATGTTAGAAGTGTAATTTATTTCTTATAATATAGATTGTTTACAGACTATTTGGTATAAGCGCTGTAAACCAAAATATTCAGGAGAGCCCAAAAATCATTTATACTTCATTTATTTGGTTCTAAATTAATGTACTATAATTTTTTTATGTATCTTTACCTAGTGTTAAATATTACATTACTGCTATTTGTAGAAATTGTTTTATTTCTTTTAAATTTTACTTAAATCTTATCACATCTATTTGTAAATAATCTAAAATAAAAAAAAACACTTATGCCAAACTACTAAGTTGGATCTTATAAGTCACTTACAACTTAAAAATGATTTTAAAACAACAAAGTATGAAATCCAATAATGTTACTAGTTAAAAACGTGGAGAAATGTATACAGCTGTGTATACATTTATGGTCAAAAAGACCATAACAAAAGATATTTTACACTGAGGTTGAAAAATGTTTTTAAAAAAGAGTTTTTAACAAACAATTTTTAAAGCTACATTATTATCTTTTATAAATTATTAAGTACATCAAACAGTCTGAAAAGGGAAAGTAAAGATTTATTATAAACAAATTCTATATTTCTATATTTCAATGCTAAACAAATCTTAGATTATTTCTTAATCTTTTAATTTCTTCTGATTACCTACCTATATAATTTATTAATCTACCTATGAATATATATAGTTGCTGGATTTATTTAAAAATAATTATTTTCATATTTATTGCTTAAAATATATTTATGTAAGTGCTTGTATGTTTTTAGATTATTTTTGGAAACTATTAATGAACATCCAGATTATAAAAATGTACCAATTGAAGAACGTAATATAAATTATAGAGCACTCCGCGATGTTCTGCCTAAAACGGAAAAAATAAAAACTAAGCTTTTAGAACAATACACTACAGAATATATGCTATATCAAGAACAAAAAGTAAATACTTTAAAATGGTCTATTTCATTTTTACATCATTATAAGATTTATTCAGAGTATGATAAAGATAGAAACAAATATGAAAATAGGTATAGTGCAAGTGGTATATTTTGAAAGGGTGTTCAAACCTTGGCAAAATTTGACCAATTTATTTTACTCACAAATTCAGAGTTTAGTTTGAATTACATCAAAATAAATAGTCCAATATTAAATTTTATACTTAATTGCATTTTTTTTTTTATTACCTAGGTCGAGTATAAACCTACGTAAATCCTACACCCTAGCTAACATAACCATGTCCATTCATAGATCTTTTATTAGAAGTTATTGATAATTATTTATATATACTGCTTAGATGTGTGACCTATGTACTTAAAACTAAATATTATATATTGACATGTTGTACCAATATATGTTATGTTAACTATTATTATGTCTATAGGCACTAGAAACATTTAAGGAGAAACATGATAAAGAAACATTATTAAAAGAAAAGGGCAATACGTCACCATCTGGCTTTACCAATAGTGTAACCGAAGAACGTTTGAACACAATATTAGATAGTGCTGCACCACCAGAATTAAATGATGATTATTTCAAAAGTAATCCTACAACATTTGTCTTAAGGTTAGATTGATTTAAATAATAATGAATTACTTATTGGAATAATATTAAACTTCTTTGAAAGTAATGAAGCTTGTAAGTTAAATTTAACTTCAATAAAGCTTATGATGTATGAATAACAATATAATAAACAGTTGATAGATCAATGAAAAACAATTTGTTAACAATTGTTTTCAGACCACAAAATCATAACTTGATTAGTTTTACTGAATCAGATGATCATAACATATTTTCAAATATACCATCACATTCAAATTCACAAATACAATTCAATCAGTAAGTATTCAATTGTCAATTGTGTATTGTCTATTAAAATTTTCTTTTAATTATGTTTTTAGAGATAAACCTATTGTTGATAGAAGTACCAAACCAATAAAAAAGAGTCCTACAGGTCCATATAATCTCCGGCAAATTATAGTTCCAGGCAATTTAACTAAACGATTTTTAGACCAAGCACAACGGAATACAATAAATAACCTAGAAACTTGTGGTATATTGGCAGGAAAATTGGTAATTTATTTTTATGAAAAACGTTGATTAGTAGGGAACATCATTAGTTGACTTATAATATTTTTTAACAATATGATAAATCAGTAGTGTATCCAACTTCTTCGCCTCGTGACCTTAATTATGGACAAAAAAAAAAAAAAAAAATGAATTTGTAAAATTTTAAATATTTTTCATTAGACTATGTAAATATGAGTGAACTTCCCTACCATAAGTCAATTCTGGATGTATTCTTGAGATAAATAACAAATTTTATAAATTTGTTTAGGTGTTAGTTGGATTTAGTTCGGTTTTAAGCAGAAAAAGAAATATATATAAAATTGTTTAGTGATGAAAAAAAAATTATTTTTATCCAAATTTTTTTTTTTTCTAAACATTGGAGCAGATTCAGAGCATTAATGCCCAGAAAAAAACATTGTATTGTTATTATTATTATTTTCATTGTTTTCTAACGTTTGTAAATCCGTGTTTTATTCATGTACAAGAAATACATGTCGTATATTCATTTATAATAATATTTTATAAATTATTTTTTTATAGACCTATCTATTTAATATTAACATACATATTTATTGTAATTTTTATTAGAGCTCTAACTGTCTAATTATTACACATTTGATGATTCCAAAACAAAGTGGTACATCAGATTCGTGCACAACAATGAACGAAGAGCAAATATTTGAATTTCAAGACAAACAAAACTTGATTACCTTAGGATGGATACACGTAAGACTGAGGCCGTCTACACACGGAGCTATTCATTAGAAACTAATTACTGACGCAAATCACTAATCAGTTCGCTTTGACTCACAAAATCTATTATTCAATGAAACAACAGATGGCGATATTGGTTACTAATTAGTTACTAACGTGTTAGTGATCAGTTCCAAGTGATTCAATTGTCGAGTCACTTCCAAGTTGCATCAAGTACTCACGTCGAATTATGTGAATTTTCAAAATTTTATTTTTCCTAATTTTCTTCTATTAAGAAAAATAAAAAGATAATCAAACAACTAAGATGAAATTGGTAGAAGAAGTAAAGAAACATTTCATTCTATACAGTTTTACTAAACATTTCTTTCGTTTCCATCTTCATTTTCTATTTATTTTGTTATGGTAATAGTAATATGCAATCATCATTTCTTCATCACTGGAATCATCCATGGTGTTGAAAAATGCTGATGCAGGTCCTACTTCCATAACCAAACAGTCAACAGAATAAACTAGTGATTTTGATCACTTTTCAGTAGGCTTGTGTGCAGATCTCAATCATCAATGCATAAGTAATTGAAAAGTTTTTTTAAGTAGTTCCATGTGTAGAAGGCCTAAGAAGAAATTATAGTTGAAAATTTTATATTTAAAAATAATAATATATTGTTAAGTAAATAATATTAGGTAATATTAATCATATTTGTATTTATTTTGAATAGACTCATCCTACACAAACCTCATTTATGTCCAGTGTAGATTTACATACACAGTATTCATATCAATTAATGATGCCAGAAGCTATTGCAATAGTTTGTGCTCCCAAATATAATGAGTAATATTAATTATTTACTTACTATATATTGTGATATTTTATTTTAATATAAGGTATTAATTTACTCCCATTATTTTAGGTCCAATTTTTTCTTTTTGACTCCTTATCATGGCCTACAAGTGATAGCTGATTGCAAGTTTTTCAGCGGTTTCCATACACATAACACTGATGGTGATATTTATGCTGTATGTATAAAATATAGTTTTTATAATTTATTGATTTAATATAATAGAATAGAATTGTGTAATCGATAGTATAAAATATAGCAATATTTATTTTTCATTTTTATTTATGAACATTTTTTAATTTCTAAATTCAAACTAATGTAAACATGTTGATTCATTTTTAAAATAAAACATAACTTTAAAATTTACAATTTTTATTTTAGGTTGCTGAACATTATTTATTGGATGACAACTTGTTGGTTAATGTAGTGGATTTTAGATAAAAAAAATATTTCTATACTATTTTTAGTATTTAAACAAATTCAAATAGTGAGAAAAATGAAAGTATTATGTTATTTACCTACTGTTTTAATTTATCAATACAATATGAGATAATATTATTATATTATGATGTATACAATATTTTTAATTGCAAATAAATGTTATTAATTTTGTTAAAATAATCACTAATGGTTCATCATGTTTTTTTTTTACAATACAATTAAAATTGTTCTTATATTTGCCTAATATTGTATGCACAAACACATTTGATAAGCATTTATCTATTATATAAATATTTCTATGATTTTAAGATTATTACATTTTATAACAATTTAGTTCAATGAATATTCATTATAAAATATTACTTTCTTTTGTTTGCATTACTTTATTTATTGAGTTATTTATTTCTTTAATATTAGTTTGTGAGATTAAACCACTGTTTATTGATAATTCCTAAATACAAAACTTGTTATAATTATAAAAAACTTTTACTTTTAATCAATTCTTAACTGAAAGGAATACTAATAAGTTAAATCAAGATAATATTTAAATTCTCATGTTATTTAGTATGTACAATTCATTTTTTAATCTTATTTTACTGTTTTATTTTTTGTTTAAAAAGAACTTGTTTTTATTTTATTATAACTTATATGTGTGTAAATATTGAATGTTTCTGGATTAATAAATGTAATTTGTTTAAATTATTTTTTTTGTAATAATAATTGTAATAAATCCAATTATATAATATTCATAACTAACGTAGTTTAAAAATAAGGATGTAAAAAAATACTGAAAATTAATTATTTCAGAGGTGTTTGTTCTTATTTTTCTTTAAAAGTTCTTTAAAAGTCTGAACTTTGGGGTAGAAAAAAATCCAAGTTTCAAAAAACCATTTTTATATATTCTATTTTCTTTCCTCATATTACCAACGTTCTGTAATCAGAATTTTCATTTTCCAATTTCCCACAAAAATTTTAACATTTTTTTTTGATTACCTATCCAATAACTATGTCATTGAAAAGGATTGAAAATTTGCGACCGGCGTTTTATTAAATTACTATATTAATAGACATTTCCCCATATTTTTAAGTTTAGTTTTGACCTTGAGATTAACAGTGTCTGAATAATACAATTTTTCTAAATCTGTTCAAGATTGTAATATGTCAAGTTATTTCAAAATGTTTGTAGTATTTCGTTTCAGTACTGATATATGTGGTATAACTACTCTTTGTAAATGAATGATACTTAAAAGTTATATTGTAAATAGATTTTGCTTATATAGTAACAGGTGCATTCCAAATTTGAATTTTCTATCTATAAACAAAAATTATGTATAGTAGTTCTGAAATATTAGGTTTTTTAAAACTGTTATTTCTCAATAAAGGTTTATTGAAATGTTGCGCAGTTTTGAACTGAGGCGACAATATAAAAGTTGTATTATTATCTAAAAATATTGATACAAAATATTATTTTTAAAATCTGTCAGCACATTCAAAAGTTTTTTAACTTGAGGTTATTTATTTCGATCAAAAAGTATTTGTTTATACCTACTTACTTCTCCCACATTTTTTATTATTAAGTAACAATGTTCATTGATATTCGCACTGAATACTAAAATATTTAAAATTATCACAATTTTTCCTAATAGCCCAGCAAAATTACAAATCACTGGGCTATAATTGTTTATGTCTTGTCTGATTTCTTCCTTTGAATAACGCGATTGAAACGGCTTTTTTTTTTTTTAAATTTATCAGCGACTATATTTGTATTAATGCTCCGATTATAAATTACCAATGGATCTAATAACGTATTAACAGTGATATCAATAATATAAACTGAACTTCCTATTGTAGTATTAATTGTTAATTCGTATTATTATTGAGGCGCTAGTGCTATTGATAATAGTCGACACGTACGAACTCGACAATATAATTTATACGGCGTAAATTTACGGTATACCGTAAGACACTCGTTATCTCGGAAAGTATTGACTCTTTCCGGAATTTGTTTTCCAGAACATTTGAAAAAACAAGCCGTTCGGCAATTTCCGAAAATTCAAAAAACGGAGCGCACTGGTTGTTCGGTACCCACCCGCCACGCAAATACGCAATGCCGTGTCCCGCTCGTGACATTATAAAAGAGAACGGCGTTGAATATTTCGGTAAGGTGGTTCCCAAAGCGCTGAAATCCCATAGTGTTTAACCGGCGCCACTCGTTTTTCGCGGCAGTATTTTTTACTCCGGCGACCGCGCGTGGGAGGGGTGTTTTACCGGACTGCAGAGAATGGTAGTGTTAAACGGTCGGGCTGAGCGATTTGAATTGTTTTTCCGAAAATTGGCGGGCCGTAAAATCTGTGCGTATTATTATGCGACCAGTATCGAAACAAAACACGGCCGTACAAATACGGTCGGACGTTTAATCGTTGTGTGCATGCTCTTGCGTAAAATGAAACAGGCCACGGAAAATTCCCGTCGAAAATCAAACAAGGGCGTGATTCGCGAATCGCTCATTCAGTACCCGCTGAACCGCTCTAAAATATTGTATTATTATCTGTTTTTTTTTTTCTTGTTCTCTCAATTCGAATTCCGCGACATACGATGGCATTCCAGAGTGTTTTCGATAAACCCGCCTGTTCCCTCAGCGGCCCCGCACGCACCTCCGGCTACTCGTTGCACGCACCTTTCGTCTGGGTGAATTCGTCCGAAAGTACGGTACAAGGTCTACGTCGCTCATCGCCTCGAGCATTTGGCGTGCAGCCGGTCCGAGCCGATCAAAAACTAACGAAAACCTACTGCCGCCTATTATCTTTGCTATCGCATTAACCGCCGTCATCGTTACCGGGTAATAATGTCGTTACAAACGGACGCGGCCGCGTGACTCGTGGCAACCGGACCACGTAAATCGTATTGTTGTTAGACCGATAATTTCATAAACTCTGCAATTCGTTCGCGGTTTTATTATCGTTTTCGTGCCGTACACGGGGCCGTCAAACACGTTTTCCGCGCACGATCCCGGGAAAAAATGGAACGCGTCATGTCGGAGACGTTCGAGTACCTGGTGAACGCCCCGCCGGCCGCACGTTTCGGCAGCGGCTCTGAGCTCGTCTGGACGCAGCTCCGGCTGGCGTGCGACCGCGTGTTCCGGCCGATATTGCCCGTCGTCCGCGGGCTGTTCGTCATCTGCGCGTCCGCGGCGCCGGTGACCGCGCATCTCGTCGAATTCGTATTGAACGCGGCCATCGATGCGACCGAGTCCGGCAAGCCGCCGAAGTGCCTGAACGTGCGGGCCGCGTACGGCCGCCTGGCCGCGTGTCTCGCGGTCGCGACGCTGCTCGGGTGGCTGTACTCGCGATTCCTGATCGGTCCCGTGTTACGCACGGCCGTCGAATTCGCGGCGTTCATCGTTCGCAGGGTCCCGCGGGCATGACCCGGTCGGCGTGGTTTTCAATCGTACGCGGTCGAAAACCGATATTTTCGAACGGAATACGGGCAGCCCGGTGTATCGACTAGCCGAATATGAAAAATACACGGGCACGGTTATTTCTCCGCCCGCATGTACGGCTTGGAACCAAATTATATTTAAGACGTTTAAGAGGGACGTCTATAAACCGGCTTGAAAATGTTTTAAAAACGATTTTTTAATAATTATTATCGTATCGCAAAGTTACAGAGTTTTTATTAGAAAGAAAAAAAATGTCGGTTTTTTTTTAATTTGTTGGACTACTGTGCGTCCCCCCCCACCGCCGCCGCTATACTTGCCCGGCGAACATAAAGATCACGTGATCTGTATCGCGGCGTACGGTGATCGGGTCCCGTTTGATTTGCCGCGTTGATTATTCAACATGACTGAAAATATTAAAACCGTTTTGACTCTACCGTTGATTACGCGTGAATCAAATAAAATACACGTACACACATGTAAATAAATAAATGAACGAATGCGTCGCCTGGAGTATCACGATTTATGAAATGTGTATTGCACTATAAATAAATATATAAATGAGTCGCCAGGAGTATCATGAAATACGTATTGTACAATACACAGTATAATATTTTGTAAGCAATTATTCTTTAGTATTGGTATTCGCCATTAATATCCGAAAGAATAACCGTTTTCGATACAATAATAATAATACGTCGTTACCGGTTTGTTTTTTTAAATAAATTTGAAAATTTAGAAATTTTTCGGCTACAATCTGCCGCAAAACATCATCTCGTTAGCGTTTACACCAACGATTCAGATTCTGATCTTCATTCAATTACTCGGCAGTAAGTTCGTACGTGCACGTTGATTTCACAGAGTTGTATAAAAAGAAACGTTTAAACACATAGCGAGCATTGGAAAACGTTTTCATACACGGATGTTGACGGAAATAATTTCCAATGTACCATTCGTCCTATCCCACCGACATAGTGTTGCGCGCGTATTTATTGTCCAGACGGAGTCGAACTGTACCGAGGACAGATCATTTTAAAAAATGAAATTCATAAATTTTTCTCAAATGGTCGACAATGGTTTGCAATGACGAAATCTTGAAGTGTATCAATAGAACACAAAACATCGTTCCAGCACGGTGCACGTGCCATTCGACATTGTATTATGACGTGCCCGTGTAATTACAATATGTACTTAATATAATCGAAGTACAATAAATGTGATATTAACTAACACGGTTCTTATTTTTTTGCTTACCTATTAGATACTCAGCGTGTACCTCTTTTAACCAGGACCTTTTACTGAAATGGGCCCGGGAGACCCCGCAACCCTGATTCCGGGACCGGTTAACTCTTAATAAACATTAGTCGGATCGATCGCTTTACTTTTATTCAGTATTTGTCACTCTTATGATGGCGTGTGATTTTATTTTTTAAAATTTCGTTGTTGGTCACACTGATAAAAATAAAATTTGTGCTACCGTTTGAACGAAATTTTTATTCTGGGAGGTCTGTCCCGTGGAGTAATTACTCTGTGATCGGTCCCAGGCCCGTTTTCGGAAACTCTACCCGGTCGCATATTGACATACCCGCTGCACACGGAACACGCGAAATAGGTTTTGCATAACAAATCGGGGAACATATTCAATTAATTCCCTCCGTTCAATTCGTCTGGAGCCAACGGTTCTAAACAACTGACTAAGCAATATTACAATTAAATATAATAGTATTTAGCGTTTAAACATCAAACATTTAAAATATATTTGTATAGAAACGCTTTTGGTACGTTAATATCATCACGGATGAAAATACTTTTTTTTTTTTTTACCCGCGATTATTATGTTTCGTTCTAACAGTGTTTGAACAACTGCGTTCTACCCATTTATAGATAAAAAGTCATTATTTTCTATGTTTTTATCATCATAAAACTGTATTATCTATGGTCACGGATATAGATATTAAACCTAGCAATCTAGTTTATTATTGATATCTGTGTCTATGTTTAATATCTCAGTTGTATTTCTGATAATATGATTATGGCAAAATTTGACGATAACATAGAATAGATTAAATTTTACTGGTAGTGGTAAGTAATAAAAATATTATTATCTCATCAGTATAGTATTCACTTTTCAGTGATTCAATCATCAGTGAAAGTAACTGTATAATGAATAATATTTCATTTTAATAATCTGAATTTTTTTTTTTAAATCTTCAAGTTCAATATTTTAGTTTCATTTTTAATCATGTCCTGGCTTATAGACTTGGCTGGTAAAGCAGAACATTATTTGGATAAAATCGATCAGAACACGGCTGTAGTTTTACAAAACCAAAAAGAGAAACCATTAAAAGATGTTTTCAAGTATTTAGTTATTTAACGATTTTTTGTTTTAATGATTGTAATTAAGTATCTACATTTTATATAACTTTTATATACAACTGCTATATATATATATATATTTTTAAAGAACACCCGTGTCAGAGAATGTGTCAATTGAAATTGATTGTAAACCCATAGTGTCCGTTCCTAGTTCACCTTCCACCAAATCTAAGCTCAAGAAACCCAAAAATGATTCTCGCATATCTGATGAGCATTTGCTGGAGTATTTAAATAGTCATGATTCAACTATTCAATCTCAAGTTTGTTGCAAAAGTGTTTTCATATTTTAATTTTGGTATTAATTGTATATTATGCCTACAATTAGTATGGAATGCAATCTTCTTCTATTGATAATTCAATTGATCCAATATCCGTTCCGTTGACTGAAGAAAATCATTTGCTGAAAAATGAAATAAGAACATTAAACAATGAGATGTCATTATTGCAGTATAAATTGAAAACTGCAGATAAGGGTGAGATATTTCAGACATTTCGGTTAAAATGTTCAACTAAAATATTGTTTTTTTTTTTATTTTTGGTTATTTTGTTTAGATATTATTCAAATATCAATGGAACTAGAAGTAAATAAAAGACACTCCGCTAATTTGGAAAAGGAATTACAAGAAGCTCAAATTCAATTGCGAAATGCTCAAGATGTAATGTTTCGTTTAAAAGAGAAATCTAAAACCAGAGATCCAGTAACCGAAGAAAATAGTTTTGTTTGCGATAATAATTTAATAAACGAAAACCAAATGCTGAAAAACGAAATATCTACTTTGCTCAAAAAGTAAATTAGATTTTTATAATAATTCGTCATAAATCATCATTATAAACAATTTATTTTGTGTTTAAACATTGTTTAGAATTGATGTTGATGAATTAAAAAAAAATGATTTGGCTGCAGAAAAATTAAACTTGGAAATGGCACTTAATAATATTCAGTTTGAGAGTAAAAATACTGTAAAAAAGGAACAATTTGTAAACTTATCTAATGAATGTGATACAATCACTGCTGTCACCAAAACAAATTTAAATAATGTTGCCCAAAAATTAAAGGAATGTTTAAATGGTTTAGAAATAGTTACAAATATACAATCGATTGCCGATCAAGGGTAACAATTATTTTTTGTATAGTAAAGTAATAAGTAATACTAATTATTAAAATGATTAAAGGGTTTCAAATACTTCAGAAGAGGAACATTCAGACATAATGACCAAATTAAATGTTATGAAAAGTAACTTGCTTTCAATTGATTGTGGTCTACAGAAGTCGCTGCACGATCTTAGTGGTTTTAAAGAACGACTTTTAAATATTGATTCAGAATCTTCTACAGAAAATACTAATTTTAATAATCATACAGACTTAATTAACCAAGGGGTAATGAATGAGCAAATGTTATCGCTTAAAAAGGCTGTGGCGTGTAAACAAGCTGAACTAGATCAAATATTAGCCGAAAAAAGTTCAATGGCAATACGAATTGAACGTTTAGAGGTATAGATTATGTTTTGTATTATGTTTAATCAGTTTGTATATTATAAGTTTTGAATACATTTTAGATGAGACTGAAGAAAGAAACAAATGTGTTGATCAATGTTAATGACACAGACGATGGTAAATTTTTAGAAATAATTTTTATTTTATTTTTATTATTATTAATTTTTTATTTATAGCTAAAGCCAAAGTGCCTTATTTCATGTTGGAAAATGCATTTGACACTAGTGTAGGTAGACGAGTAAAAAGGGCTTACACTAGCTTAGATTCATTTGGTTTAAGAACAGGAATGTATTTACGGCGATATCCATTATTAAGAACTATATTATTTGTGTATGTGGTGAGTATTTTTCATTATTATATTTTCTTTTAGTACAACAATCATTATTTTAATTTGATGAATCTCTAAATTATAAAAAAACCTATGATGTTGAGGGATTTGCAAAACTGGCCACTAACTAGTTAAAAACTTAACTAATTAGTTTAAATTCATTGTAACATTCTTACTTAAATAGTTAGATTTAATGAAAGGAATAATCTAATTTAATGTGGTAAAAAAAAAAAGTAAGTAATTATTTTGTAATCATATAAGTAATAGAAGAGAAATAACACCCATATTTGTATTAATGTTAAATTAAAATCTTAATGTATATAATATATAAAATAATAATAATAATTTAATAAGTCAGTCATCAAAGTAAATTAATACATTACTATTGACTATTTAGTATTTATTATTTACCTAATAACTTTAATAAATTACTAAAAATTAAAACAAATTATAAGGTCTTATTATAACTAATGTACCTATAACTTTTAAAGAAATTTAATTTCAACAATAGTTTTAAAGGTGGGTTAAGACATACCTATATTTAAATTTAATTAATATTTTAAATAATCACTAGGCACTTGTATAATATATATATATATATTATTTTATTTCTTATTTTACTGATTGTTATATATTTTTCTTATTGACACTCCCATTGATCATAAATTATTTCATATTTGCAATAAATACAGTTTAATACGTTTTCAAATAATCAATTCAATTAAAATTGATACATTATTACCAACAATTTAGTTTAGTTTTTAAATTATGAAAAAAAAACTAACTTGTAACTTTTATTCTAACTTAAGTTACTTATTTTCACTATATCATTTTCAGAAAAAGAAAGCATCGCACATTTAGACAGCACCAAACGTTCTGCGATTGGTTATTGCTTATTAATATTTAGTAGAGACATGTGCATACACGGATCGATTTTAGTCAGCTACCCGGTGCATTCTTATTCTGAAAATAGTATAAGTTAGAATTGTAGGAAATTTTAGAAAATAACTTTAATTCAAACTTTATTAGTTTTATATATAGTAACTTAACTTAACTATAGTTGATTTCGCGCCTAGTAGACTATTTGACACAGAGGCTCTAAAACAAGAGTGACAAGTTTAAATTAATTACTTATTTGTATATTATATTATATATGATTATTTTTTACACCTTAATTTAAATGCAGTATTTCATAATACAAATTATGAACAATTCAGCTAATTTAGTATCACAATTTTTATTTGTCTACAAATACAAATAATACAATTGATATAATATTAAAAAAACATGAAAACCACTGGTTTGTAGAAATACCGCCACAATGCACGCTACTGTCGAGGGTCACTTTTTCGTGAAAAGCACTATAGTTGACCAATTTATCTAGCTTTGAGGATTTGTAGAGGAAATGATTAATAAAGATTTTTTTTTTTTTTATATCTTATAATGAATAAAATTGAAAATATCCTAGAGAAGCAGTTCAATATTGTAGTTTAAAAATAATAATAATAAATCATTGCAAATACAATTCTGAGTAGAGAGGGAAAAAATGATCTCTACATAGATAAAAGTTGCTATTAGAAACAGTAGAAACCTCCCCTAAAGTTGATGGTTGCAAGATTTCTGGTTGAGGTTTTCAAAAAATAAAATAACATAGTTAAACTATTAATTTGTTTGATTACTTTGTCCAGAATTAAAATATTTAAATATATACAAATACTTGTTTTTGAATATACATTGTTATAAATTATTTTATTTTCATTGGTACAAAATCCATTTTTAAAGTTTTGTTTGAATATAATAAATTGGAATAAATATTTCTAGGAATAAATTTAATTATTTTGTTTACTTTTCAGGTGATTCTTCATTTGTGGGTGATGTTAATATTATTCTCGTACACTCCAGAAACGAATTAAATTTTAAATTTTATTTTATTATTTCTGAGCATATTTCATGTTCTACCTAATTAAATAGTTATTATCATAATATAATATATATGAACATAATATCGTTAATACTTTATATTATATGTATAAATATATATATTTTTTTTTTGTTAAATCATTTACATAGAATTACATGTTGAGGAACAATTTTTATTAATTTATTTATTTTATTTACAATATCTATCCTTAAAATTACATACTATCATTATAATACTAATTCAGTAATTCCCAAATCCAATTATACTACGACACAAACAATAATAATATTAATATTGTAACATTAAAGCATAATATTATATACACATGACATAATATATTGTACATAACATATAATATTACTATTTCCATCAACCAACATTTATTTTGATAGTTTATAAGTATTTACAATATAATGAAAACTCATAATAAAAATTAAATGGTATAAGGATTTTTACATTTTTAGTAAGTCTCGAGCAAGCCTTCTTCAATACAAAAATATACAATTATAATTTTAAATGATATGCAATTCTGAAAAAAATGTGTATATTGTCCAAACTAATTAAAAGAGTCATTACAACGGCATAATTACAAAATATGTGCCCTGGTAATATTTTTAATTAAAAAAAAAAAAAAAAAAAACTGATAAACATAACTCATTATTAATTTGTGTTTGTATTAAACGTAGACAATGATAAAATGAATTATTGGTTATCTTATGGTCATATAAAATCCAGAAGCACGGATGTTCTAGGTCTCTTAGTTACACACCACTATCAATAAATTATTCTTTCTTATTCTGATTGTCATATAACACATTTTATTTACCATATTCATGTAGTATTTGTTTCTGTAGGTTTCTATAATATTTAGATAGTATACTGAAAAATAAAATATAATTTGAATGGTAAAAAGTTATACATTTGTTTTACCTAACTTATCACATTGTCTCAATTTACTAAGTACACTGTATGTCTTGATTACTTAGAATAGTTATAATAAACTTAATATTATGTTAAATACAGAATTTTACAATTATTCTGTTTTCTTATTTACAAACTAAATGATTAAATAAACACAAATTATTTAGAGCTAATTATTAAATATCTGTACACTTAAATTGTAATGAAGCATTCTAAACCTCTATTATTAATCTAATCGTAATCAAATGTGGAAATATCTTAGTTTATATTTAGAAAAATACAATTTAATTATAGTAGGTGTGTGATTTATAGATACAGAAAGGAAATCTAGACTGACAGTCATTACAAAATGTAACTGATAAACAGTAATATACAGACGGACTCTACTTTAAAGTCCCAGATCACACGATTCCATTATTATTATTACAAATCTTTGGACACAATAATCTACCACTCACAACCTATTTAAAATAATAATTAGATAACATGTTATGGGCAATGTCAACATTAGCTAGACAATTTTATTACATTATAAAACATTTAAATAATATTCATGGCAGCTTCATTTGGTTATGTAACACTATGTCTGGCTAATGTATACATTGGAGTTTATCGTGCTGTAAAGCCACACAATATAATAACTTAATTTGTAAATGCAAATTGGTAAATATAGTATAATAATATAATATATTATATTATTCAGTCCAGATTAATTATAAAAATTAATTATAAGGATTAAAATATAATTTGTTCGTGTTTCATTATAATATTTGTAAATATCACTGGTACGAGATTTGGCGAGATTTTGTACCAAACTATGTTTTATTATGCCTTATATTTAATGCCCAACGTTGTTGTTGCACATACACGGTGGGCTAATAATAACAATAAATAATTAGTTAATTACAAGAAAATTAACCTATTCAATTTTCCTATAATACTTGTAAACGCGGGTGTGTGGTATGTATGTGTGTAACTTTATACTCGAGTGTAAATTAGAATAAGAAAAAAAAAAATGAGTGTCATTTTATTCCGAGGTGGATTTGTTGTTTTTTTTATTCTCCTTCTGGATCTGTATCTTCACCATTTTGTGTAACGCCGACAGCTTGCGCTCCAAAATTTGATTTTCGTGGAACAGTGTCATTGTTTGGATGGTGACTAGTAGCAAGGCTCTTCTTTTGCGCATAAAGTCCAAATGCTCTTCGGACACTGTCTCCTCGTCGTCCGATGAGTTGACCAGCAACCTTTTCACGTCGGACTACAAAAAAAGAAAAATAGGAGGTTGGGATAGTTTTAATTAAGTTGGTTAAATCCAAGATAGAAATATCAATACATTTAGGTATAATATATTATTTAGTTTAATCAAAAGGCCCAACAATCGTACTGTGTATTATGTTATTGTTGTAAATTATTCTACCTGTAGTATTATGGTGGCTATTTGTAAAACTAAAATTATGCGTTTAATATTTTAAATGCGGACACAACGTGTAAATTATATATATATACAAATAATATTTTTTAATTAATACATAATAATATTACTGGTTTATTAAATATAATACACCTAGGTACTGTTAAGTGGAATAGCAATTCCGGAAATTTAGCGAACACTGACATTGAAATTGTATAATAAAAAGACAGTTATTCTTTCCACGTGGGTGGCCACTGTTGTAGGTGAGAATTTGGGAAGGTAGAGGGGAAATTTAACGTATCTATACGCAACGATTAACCATTGGTAAAAAAAAAAAAAAAAAACGATTTTGAGTGGAATTCGGTTAATAGTGTTGCTTTGTCAACAATATATATGTCATATTATGGTAAAATAATTCCATACACATTGTCACATTGAGCATTGTATATTTTCTTTAATAGTATTTGTTTACTATATATTGAACCCATTTTCCCGTTTTTTCCACGGCTGAAAAAATCAAAAAATACCTCTTCAATCTGATTAACTTTCAGAAAAAGTGCTATTATTGTAAATATGAGCAAAATTCCTAGTAGAAAAGTTATTCACAGTTAAAAAAAAAAAAAAAAAAAAACATTTTCGTAAAACCAATAGATTCATTCCTCGTTCTGCTCAAAATTTAAAATGTGACCAGGATAAAAAGACAAGCGTTGCACGGGTATCTATACACAATACATCGTTGGGGATAGGTGCCTTAAATCGAGATGGAGTTTTATGCATAGTACAAAAAAAAAATCACTAGCTATTAGCTAATAGTACTAGAAAGGCAGAATGTGCGGAATAAAACACGATAATATGATAATTATATGTGTGAATATTTCATGTATGTGAATAACTTTTCGAAAAGAAATCTTACTCCGATGTACAGAGTACAGTACTTTTTCTGAAAATAAATTTTATCTAGTTGGTCCGTTTTCTACTAGAATTCTTGTTCGAATAGAATAATAACAAGGCATATTTTTTTTATTTTTTAATCTTGTTGGCGACCAAGAGAGTAGTTTTTTGATTCTCTTTGTACTTAGTTTTTTTTTAATAATTTAGCAAAACCGAAAAAAATACGCAGATAAAACGTGAACATTTACGAAAATAATTCTTTTATTAATTAAAATTTTGTTTTTATAATGTAATTCAGTAAAAAATAACCGTAGACTTGAAATTTTGACAGAAAACTTATATTTGTTTTTTCTAGATGTGATAAAATTTGAAACATTTTTAAGTTATTGATAGACATTTTAATTTTACGAGATTTGTACGTAATTCTCATTTGGTAGGTACTCTGTGGATAATATTGTTTTTATTTTTATTTTAATAAGTTTTAAAGTAACAATTTGACAAAAATCGTAAATATCACGGCCTTTCAAAACATGCATAATCAAACTTCGCTCCGAATCGTTTTTCGTAAGTAATGATTTATCGTTAATTACAGTTATAAATTAAATAACTTTATGTATCTCACTTTTCTAACTATCTAGGTACGCACAATAGTAGCCGCACCCGTTCTCATTATAACAGCCCTTTTTAATCTTTTATTCTTTTTTAACCCAAAAAATCAGTGTTTCTCATTATCTCGAATATGAATGAGAATATAAAAAAATTACATTTCCAAAGTCCTAACTAAAATCAAACTGCAATAAAAACTTTCAGTCATGTTTTGATTGGAACAAGATTTCTAGGAGAAAAGTTGTTTAAAAAACCAAAAAAATGAAAAAATACACATTATAATAAAATCAATAGATCCCTCGCTTCACTTAGAATTTAAAAACCATATCAGCCACCATTTTTCTAAACGGTTAGAACGTATAATAAAATAATTAACTATTTAATTAAATTTCGCAAAATGACCGAATAGCTTTGTTTATTCTTCATAACCTGAGTAAAGTGTAATATTAGGTATACAACAGGTTAAAAAAAAAACAACTAAAACTATATACATGCAAAATACCACGTTCGTTTTAGTTTTACGAGATTGAACATTGAACGTTTTATTAACTTTTCGGAAATTCAAAGAATTCGCCTAAGTGAGATTTAGCGTTTATGGGTAACTGCAGTGACCTACATATATTATATGCATAAATCAAGGATATTAAATAAGGAGATGACGATGAAAATGTATTATATAAAGAATGTGGTAAACATAAAATAACTTCTCCGTGTTTTTGACTCAAAATACCTAAACGTATAAAATATTATGCTTGTTCTTAATAATATACTCAGTTTTATACATACAAGAGAAGACATTCTTTAAAAGAATATTTTGTATCAAAATAATTTGATTATTAAATAAATAAATAATTATGGTTAGGTACCTAAATAAATATTTTGCTGACAAAACGAAGACAAGTATTGTTATAGCCAGTACCTATTATAATACGCGTGAAATAATATGAATAATAAAATGGTATACATACCAATTTATTATATAAATAAAGTATAGCTGCCTCTACCTACCAACCTACTAATCATCGTATTAAGACAATAAGCACAATAGGTATTAATATCTACAATCTTTTTTTTTCATTACTTTTACTAATGTATATCAGTGGTATTGCTAAAGTAGGAACAGTGCATTTGCTTTCCCCCGTCCAGAACATTATAGGTATACTGAATAGTACTTGTCATTCAATTTTGTGAATAAGGAGTTTTATGTTTCGCGCTTAAAAATGTTTTTCCCACGCCACTTCATTGCATATAATTGTAGGTTCTTATTATTTTAACAATGAAATAAAGACAATTAAAAAGGGGAGATAGAAGAAGAGTAAATTATCAATATATGTATTTAATAAAATATACAATTTTTTAAAATATTTAAAATTCTATCTATATTGCTTTTATTATGAAACATTTTAGATAACAATAGAATATACCAAATTCTTACTTTTGATTATGTTTGATAATTTAATAAATATCAATCAAAATTTTAGACACATGTCTAAGGGTAAATAATATTATGGTAGATCTGAGATCTCATTATAACTTTATTTTATATACTAATAATACTGCAGAGGATATTTTAAGGTATTTTCTCTAGATGACATTTCAAAATAAAATTTAGCGTTCTTCCACATTAAATTCCCGCCGTCCTCCCCAGTTAGGTTATGTAACAATTATTAACTTTATAGTTTATACTGTATGCGCATGTATTGTATATTCGTGTTAATTTACTCCTATATTGACTATATTAACTCTGTACGCGAAATTGTGTAATACGAACACGTGTATCCGTGATGTTATAAGCATGTAATTATATCTGTATACATAAAAATGGAAGTATAAGATTAATCTACTCGAAAACTGCTGTAGCGAATTTTACGCGGTTCTTTGCAAAAAGTTCCAGTTGTCTGGAAATGTTTATAGCTATTGAAATCCACGTTCTATTGTATACCATCCGATTAAGTTTTAACTATTTTTAATACAAAAATCGAATTATTTTTGTTGATTATATGGGTTATCTTGGTAACACGTAGGAAAAAAAAAACTATTATTAATTATCGTAATTAAATCCCCGAACTGTGCGGGTGTCTATGGTAATAAACATTTAATGATAATTTGTCTATTATTTCTTTTGGCACGGGCAACGCTTAGCGGGACAGCTAGTATATTATATAGATAGGTACATTACAATAATATGAGGCTTATTAATGGATGAGTACTACCCAAAAACTATACAGATTCTTTTCCTGGTGTCAATAATTCGAGTAGAACAATATCAATTGTATTATTTTAAATAGCATGTGTCGACATTGGTAATTTACCTTTAACTCAGCTGACATGTATGAGGTATTTCGTTTACTATTTTTGTACACTGTATGGCGATCCTTTTGATTGGGGTTGCAATGCAGGTGGTTGGTTCGAACGCCTGAAATTAAAATCAATATATTATTAGTTATTTTACAGGTACCATAGATTTTAAAAATTTACAATACACGCAATAATATACAAGTAGTATGGAAGATATTTGTTTTCTTGTAAAATTGTTAATTAAAAAAATAACAACAAAAATATGCAACTAAATAATTTCATTACATTTTTGTTCAATGGTTTAAGATTGAACTTTTCCGGAGAGTGAATATTCGGAAAGTCGTAAATACGCTGGTATAATTTACTTAGTCCGTATAGTCTGCAGAGTTTACATTTAAGAGTTTTACGTTTTATAGTATTGATGTTATGTAAAGTAAATATTTTTCTGTTAAGAATTAATAAAATCGCTAGCTGCAGTTTCTGATCATCATCGGATTGAAGTGTATAAAAAGACAATAGGTATAAACTTTTGTATACGGATTTAAAAAATGTGTACCGCTCAAAAAATAATACATTTTTTTTTTTAAATCATAAATATCTATCACACAGTTCGTGTAAAACAGTTATTTAAAATATTTTGTTATTTCGTATTATGATATCTTGTTATTATATTGTAAAATAATTTTATCGTGTTTGTTCAGTTTGTAAACAATTTAATATAAGAATTTGACTGGGTATCATTATTCTTTTTTTTTTTTAACATGGAATTTATTTAACATGTAACAACCAAAAAACATGAAAAGTAAACCTTATTTAGTAATATTTAACATAATACAGAATGTATAATTTATAAATGATACCAATATAATTATAAACTTAAATGAATTATAAACAAGACCTCAAAAAAATACAATATTATGGTATATTTTGTAAATAAGAATTTGAAAAATTGTCATTTTAAATAATGTTACAAACAAATTATATTATACGTTTTTTTTCGGTATAAACAAAAAATAGCTAACACTGTTGATGGGTGCGCCACTGTTTTTTAGGAAAGTTGGGAAAGCAGGATACATATAATTATTTTATTTATATCTGTGATTAACGACAAAAAACTGCTAATGATAAACGATTCTGAGCAAAGTTTATTTATAAATGATAATATCGTTAAACATACGATCTCCATCTTAAAACCATTATAAAAAAAAATTACCACAAAAATATCTACTTTTATTTTTTTTGATTACTTATAACTTCAGCTTATAATGAACCTTCATTTTCATGAATTTCTATTTGATCAAACAATTAAATTCCCCTCCCCCAGAAAAATGTCTGCGGTTCTTTAGCATTAGATTGTTTTAAATTGACAGTTTAACACCCGTTTTAATTATCATAGATAATATTGTAATTTGTATATGCAAATTTTTCATTTAAGCTCCTGGTTTTCGATTAAGCTTATTTATACGTATACGCATAAACTAAACACTGTAATTTAATTATTAAATTATGAATGATTATTTAAATTAAAAAGACATAACTGAAGGCCAACTGTATTATTTTGGATTTATAGTTTATACGTACTAAGAAAAAAAAGCTGTCCTAGGATAATGGAAACGGGTGCAGCTACTGATGTAGGTGGGAAGTTGGGAAAGTAGGATATAGACAGGAATTTATTGTATATCTGTACGCAACTATTTAAACCATTGCTATTACGAAAAAACGATTCTGAGCGTTGTTCGATTGATAGTGTTGCTTGTCAACAATATATGTGTGATATTATGGTAAATTAATTATTATATATTATACACTTAACATTTTCTTTGATAATATTTGTTTAATATTGTACTTCTTTTCTCTTTTGCTCGGTTTTCCCATGTTTTTCCCTATTCCCCAATGGAACCATAAATAATAATATTATGAGTACGAGCATTTTGAATGAGTTATATTTTGAATTACAGTACAATAAGTGAAATTGTGTAAAGTATATAATACAAATTATTGATGTGACTTGACCCGTTTGGTGAAATGAAAATAATATTCTAGTTTATGTATAGATATTAAAATATACATACAGATAGACGTATGTAGTGAATATTTTTAAATTTTGCTATTCTGCCAACAGTCATAAAACAGGTAACCCACGAGGCCTACATTTGGGATAAATTTAAATAACCTTATTTTTAATACGAGTGTGTATATACGAATAAAATATAATTTTAGGGTATTATATATATAGTGAATATTTAAAAAACTAAAAAACACCATGTTATAATATTATACAGAAATATCGTTTTTTTAAGATTCTGAGTAAATGTATTGGTTTTACATTGTAGAATTTTTAATTTAGTTGATCACTGAACAGGTCATTATTTAATTTTCTTTGTAGTTATCTTTATAATAGATCGGAAAAATTGGCAGTTTTCGTTAACATTTTTGTTGATTTTCGGATTAACTTGGCAAAAAGAGAGAAAACGAATAATAATACTCTGTTCAGAATAGTTTTTCGTTAGTAATAGTTTATCGTAGCGTACAAATATAAATTAATGTATTCTGTATACAGGTATAAATTATGTAAACATGCGCTGATATGCACACCTATAGAAGTATCAGCCTTTATTTTATTATTATACATTATTTTATACATTGTGGAACATTTTTGTCACCGTCCATCGTCAAATATATATTTGCTGGGTACATTTATAATGATGACAATAATAATAAATATGATGGTCGAATACACAATTTTAAAGGGTCATGTGGGATGTTTACATAGAGAAGATACAAAATATTTTTCTTTATATGCATGTATGGAACTGTTAGAAATGCAATCGTTATAAACTTATAAAGTTCGTTACAGTAAATAAATACTAATATCCGAAACCATGCCATCAATTTATGTTTATACGTTTCTGTACTATTAAAATCCCGATAAAAATACATAATTTCATAAATATTATTAAAATATATCTTTTTCTAGTTACACGTATTAAAACTAGGTATATAATAGGTGGTATTCATTTTTTTCATAAATTTTGTATCAAATTGGTCACTCGGAAAATGTTTCATTTTAACTTTCAAGTAAGTTATACAATGCGAATATAATATTATAATATTTAATATAATATTCAAAACGATAGCGTTAAATCTTTTTAAAACAAAACATTTTGTTGTTTTTAGATTTTGAGCGCAGTGAAAAATGCATTGGTTTTACTATACCTACGATCTGTTAAACGTTTTTTAACCAAACATCTTGTTACAATTGAAAAATAAAAGATAATTTTTTTGTGCTATTTTTAGATACAGTTAGCGTATGAGGAGGTCATTTAAAATATAGAAAATAAAAGTTTCATTATTTTTCTACCAAGATATCTTGTTCCGAACTGTAAGAGTAGTGTATTTTCTTAAAGAAAATTGTGTCCATATTTGGTGCATAAGATGATCATTTTTTGATTTTATGTGATGTTTTCTTAATAATTGAATAAAATTTAAAAAAATAACGGGAAAATGTACAGCAATAATGGATTCATTATTTTCGATTTTGTGTTACTTTGTTGCAATTATAAAGGATGAAAAGTCTGATGAAATACTAATAATGAATTCTGGTGATCTTTTTATTTATTTATAGGCCTTTGTAATTTTTGAATATTTTCAGTTTTTATTTGGTTTATGTGAATATAATACTTTTTGAATAAACAAATATGTATGACAATTTTACTTAAGGTTTATTTAGAGTTTAATAATAATAAGGTGATATTTCGAAAATTATTTTTGGATTTATGTAAATATAATTTTTTGGGCAATTTTTTTTTTCTTCAAGCCAACAATTTTGAAAATTTAATTTGGGATTCATCATCAGTTATATTTGATAGACAAAAAATTCGAATTTTATTTCTTTCTTTTTTTTATTGCCATTTGAAATTTAAATTTTGACGAAAATATAAAAAAATACGGCATTTCAAAACACGTTAGCTGAACTTCGCTCAAAATCTTATTTCGTCAGCAATGGTTTACCGTCGACAAATATAAATAAAATACCTAGCTTTATGCTTCCTACCTTCTCAAATTTCCATCTACAATAGTGGCACACCCGTTAGGAGTATCAGCTCTTCTATTTATTTGTTACCTATTATATATAATATGAGTACATTAGACGTTATTTTATACACGTACGCTACAGGTATCCACAATTAGAAAAAAATGATAAAAAAAAAATTAACCGAAAATTATAAAACTGATTAAGATGAGTAAAATTGTTTGATATTATATATGTATACATGTATTTATTTGTATTTTTTATACATATTTAATTAGGTAAATATATTATAGTAAAACGTCGTCCTTGTATCTGGTATTTTTTGTTTATCAATCAGCACGTGTATTTTAATAGGTAACGCAATATTAGTTTCATATTATACAAGTACACCTTCTCGTATATTACAGTATAACAGACCGTCAAATAATTTAACTAGCTCGTATTATTATTATTTAAATAATTAAAATCGTAGTACATTAAAAAAAAAAAAAAACGACTTTAAATGAAAACAAATTTCGTTAACGTTTTGTTTTGTTCTACATATCAATTATTTTATTCCTTTTATCGGCCTATTATATTGGTATTATATTGTTTTACACGAACAAAAACGTATACAATTATAATTGAAAATATTTACTATCAATTATATCTAACTAAATATATGTATTGGTTAAATTTGTTAAATGTTTAACACAAAATGTTGGTTTATTTAATTATAAAATATTATTTAGGTGATTATTACATTACATTATTGACCTATTTAAAATATTATTACAATAAGGCCTCCGATATTTTAAACGTAGGTATATGAAAAAAAAACTACTACATTACGCTTAACTTTCTTTTTTTGCCATTAAGTTCGACTTATAGTAAGCCTCGTATTATATGTTCAAGGATTTCTAGAATATCTAGTATATTTCTAGAATTTCAAGTTAATTTGAGCACGTCTATAAAAGGCCAATATAAGTTTTCTGTCATAATTTCATGTCTCTACGAATATGTTTAACTGAATTACAACAAAAAAATAAAATTGAAAATAATGATACCATTATTTCCTTAAACATTTCCGTCCTTTCTACGTTTTCCCTGGTTTTGCTTAATTATTAGGGAAACTACAAGGTAAATCAAACAAATATTTTCTTAATCACCAACTAGATCAAAAATGTAACAAAAAAGGTCACTTGTCATTTTTCGATTGGAGTAAGTTTTCTGGTCAAAAAGTTGTTTAAAAAATTGATAAGGGCCTGTGTAACGTAAGTAAATGTATAGCTTTTTAAAACAAACAATTACTTCTACTTATATGATATACAGTAAAACCTCCTTACAACGGGCTCCTTATAAAACGGAAATATCCTTAAAACAGAAAAGAACAGTTCTGCATAATCTATAACCCGTATAATTTAGTATCTCTATAACGAAAACTCTATTATATAACAGAAAATCAGTAGGCACCGAGCGATTCCGTTATAAGGAGGTTTTACTGTACCCCTCTTTAATTCTCGACAGGCTAATCTGTCTCTGCCTATAAATGGATACTAAAATGAATATTGAAATAAAAATGTTGATGTACACCTATATGTAATACCTAAGTGTATTGATGTAATATAAATTGACATTAAATGCAAAAATCGCACGTACAAGGTCGATATACTATATTATAACATAGATATAAATTGTATTCATGTACGAATATTATTAATACCCAGTATGTTTGATTAACCGTTATATTATCATATATGTTATTGTATGTTAAAAATACGAGTTCTATTGTTTACAAGTATGTCGATAACCTCAAACGAAGAGGTATTAATAATGTATAATTAACCATTGGCATATTATTAATAATAATAAAAACACATTCGGGTGCAAGCAGATTAACAAATAAAACGACAACAATATTATATTCTATAAAAAGTTTCAAGAAAGTCTATAAAGTTAAACTATTAAAAAAAAAGAAAAAGAAAATACGTAAAATAAAACTTTATCTACCTATAATAATTATTATATTATTCTATATCTTTACGAGTACACGTGGATTTCGTTTTTATATATTCTACTAAACAAAAAATGTTAACCTCAGGGAGGCATATGATTTTACGAGTTTAGCGAACCCTGGGTCCCGAGCTCCTACTGGTAGAAAGCTCAGGTGGGTGATTTCAGTACGCATAAGGTATTGTTTCTGTAGGGTGGAGGAATTAATTTTATAGTTGACAACAATACCATTCGTCCTATAGACGAGGATCAGAATACTCACAAGGTACCTGTCGTGTGAAGTGACAAATAGGATTGCGTCAGATCGACGGTCGATGTAAAATGCTGTCAAAAAGTATGAGGAGTTCTAAACAAGACTTTGGTCAAATGTTCTATCTTGGGTATGCACGGGGAGAACAGGTGAAAGAAGGTATTATGGTGCATGTTGTGTACAGATTATATTTTAGCTTTGATAGGAGAAAATCTCGAATAAGTTATCGATAGGCTTGAGGCAGAATCGTAGAGAGAAACCAAGGGCCCCAGGATAAAACTAATCCCTCTCAATATCAAATGTTAAACTTAACAACATGCGTCTTCCTTTAAAATGTGTTCAAAAAGAAAGTTTAAGGTTAAGGTTATAATTATAGGATCTAATTGCTTTGGTTGGGCTAGGGATCACTTTGAGACCCAGGTCCTAAGGCTATAGCCCAAGCTGCTCCCCCCTATCGTCGGGCCTGGCTAGAGGAATAGAGAGTAGCACTTTACGGGAAGGAAATAATGGTACAAGTAGAAGTAAAACAGTGTATAAGTATGGAAGAAAAGGATAAAAACAGTTAATGATAATAAGCAGTGGCGTAAAATACAAGGTTGAGAGTTTTAATTACCTGAAATCTTTTGTAAAAAAGTATGGCGAGACTGAATATACTGTATGATTTGGAGTGTGGGTTGTATACAGAAAAATAGAACAGAGAATGAAGGCAGCTACAGAAATAAGAATACTTAGGTGCACGAGTGGAGTGACGAGAGAAGATAGGATAGGAATGAGAACATATGAGGTATATATACTCGTCTATAAGTTTTATATACCTATAGGTTAAAGTTGTATAAGTATAAAATTAATAAAATACAATAAAAACAGTAATCATTTTATATCCTTTGATTTAATGACCGTATTTTGAATGTATATGAATATAATATTTGTCATCATAGTATCGTGTAAACTAGAAACAAAATTTGTGATTCAGAGACCTTTATTTATAAACAGCTATTATATTACTAACAATGATGGGCATAACTTTTAAAATATTCGTTAGGTGATTGCATACGGACTATTTGGTTATGTACGGAAAAAACTATTAAAGTAGGTACCTATAGTTTATGTTCGAATAGTTTTCAGAAATAGTAGATAGTTTTCGGTCATGGTAAAAAAATTCGAATGAAACATTCAATAGTTCATCAAAGTAGTTATCGAAAACTATCAATAGTATTAACTTTAAAGTAGCGGTCATCATTAATTATTGTTTATTATACATTTAAGTTGTGAAATAATAATAATAATAAAAAAAAACAAAAATAAACATAGAAAGTAAATTTTTTTCCTCGTAACAAATGATTGTATAATACGTTAAAATACTATAATAATATAGTAACATTTATATTTTAATCTGTATATTAAAGCGTATTATTTTATTTAAAAGACAGTATGTATCTATAAAATAAAATATCGGTAATAAATATTCGTATAAAGCGTGTAAATAGGTGTTTTACACACTTAAACTTAAATACATTTCTCTTAATTTTAACCATTAATAATTTATTAAGAGATTAAAATACTAAAAAAATCCTAGACTAGAGAGTCGCAATCTTTGAAGTGCGAAATATATTCTGTTCGCGTAGCATTATTGGCGTAGTAGCAAATGTATTAAATTCGTTGTTTCACATATTACGATCAAAATATTTGATTAATCGACACAATTTTATCGCCATTTAAAGTATAATATGTTTCGGAGTATTCCATTTATTAAAAAAAAAATTATTTTCGATGGAGCATATAAAACACCATAGACACTAGTGTTCATGGATACTTCATAGACCTGCACCGTAACGCTTTATTCAATAGAATATAATACCCATAGACATTAGGTACCACTAATTGGCAGGTAGTTCCATAACTAGTTGATTTTGCATTTCTAGAGATGAAAATTGCTGTTCATATGAAAAAAAAAAAAAGTATAACTACGTTGTCGTTGCATGTTTGGTATCTATATACAGATATTCATAACAATATGTTAGAAAAAAAAAAATAAATAACATGAAGTTACTACTGCGTTATAATATAATATAATAATATTCTGTTATTGAAAACGGGTCAACAAACCGTGTAAAGGTATAGAAGAAGAAGAAACGCGAAAATATACCTATACTACAGAATAATAATATTACGCAATACGATTTGCGCACGATAAAACAGGCGTAGGTACAAATAACATTTTAATTATTATATTGCGCGGGATGCGTACTTCAATAAATTACAATAATATCGGCACAACAGTTATCAACACATCATTATAATAACTCCGTATATCGTGTACACGTAGTTATTTTTGTTTTTAAACCATAAATGGCGGTTTCGTAATATAGGCGATCTGCATTGTACTTGTTACGTTGAGCGAAATTAAGACTGTACTTTATTATTATTTTTATCGCATATAATATAGCGATAAAAGTTATCACGGCGTATTTGTAAACACAGCGGAGTATATAATTCAAGTTTCCGTGTGACGTTATTGTACATGATAATATAATTATTAAATCTCTTTCGGCGACACTGCTTATATAATATGCATTGTACACCCATATTTATATAATGTAAATGACGTGCCTATCTCTAGAGGATAATGCGAAGAAATTATGTAAATTAATTGTTTAAAAGGCATCGACCCGACATCCCCCTAGAAGATTTATACATATTATATATAATAATATTACATAATAAATATACTGTGTAGGTACCTATCTAATAACTGCATAATATATAACCTACTCAGTGGCGTCCATTAATCAAATTCAGCAATAACTGCTACACGTGGTATGGGTGGTAGTAATGGTAGTTCAACGATCAAAGGGACGTACGGTAAAAATTATGTTTTATACAGAAAGTCGATACCATCATCACTCCCGATTCGATCTTTTAAGAGAAATTATATTGTGTTATAGGTACTAGTGCACTACTTATCTAGGCATGAACCGTTAAATAAGAAGTGGGTGGGTGGTAAAATTTGTAAAATTAGTGTCCTACACTAGAAAAATACAGTTTGCATGCCACTATAAACCGATCGTCGACCAAAACGTCAATAAAATAGTGAAAATAGTAAAATAATAATACAACAAATATATATTATATTGAATAATATTTATACTTGAATGATTAAAACTGAAATAATTGGTGATTTTATTATTTGTTTAAATACTTATGTAGAAAATAGTTTCAGATGTATTAAATAACACGAAACAGCTTAAAACTCAAGAATTCAATAAAAGTAGATATATTTTACATTAAAATCTACGTGAGACTCTTAAAAATATATTCTAAGAAATTTAACTAGAGAACATGGTAAATCAAGTTTTGGCCTAGCATTTATTTATTTAACATAACGGACTGTAGGCCGAAACGTAAAACTCAGGATTGCAATAATCCGGAATGCTAACAAAAAAAAAAAAAAAAAACATAGAACGTAATATTCCGGAACTAAATTGAAAACCAATGGTTCCTAAATCTTTCAAATCGAGAACCTAGGAACCCAAGAATAAGTGATAGCATAGATACCCTTCATACTTATGAAAACATTTTAGAAACCATTGATATCTTCCGCAATATTCCGTACCGGATTTTTATAGCTCTCTAACAGTTAATAGCCTAATACAAAGAAACACCGTAAGTAAAAAAACTAAACATACGATAACCTAAGGATTAACATATTATTATAGTAATAACTAACAACAATAGCCACTATTATTATTGTTATTACACTGTTTTTCTATTAAGAGGAGGGAGAAATTATAAATGGCCAAATGGACTTCTATTTAGGTATATGACATCCCTTTGAAATTAAAATTATAAACAATATTAGATAAGTGTACATTTTATATTTTAGAGATTATTATTAGATATATTGGTAAAAAAAACTTAAAGACTTCTAAGCACATCACACTTCTCAATTATTTTACTTTCTAATTTGCATCTACATTCAGATTTCTCTTCGATGAACACTTTTTTTTTATTATTATTGTTAATAAATATTATTGAAAATTATGCTGAAAAAGAAAATTGCATAATCCAAAATATGGAAAAAAAGAGCTGGTAGTGTGCCACTATATTGATGGGTAGTTGGGAATGTAGGATATATGTATAGAATTATTTAATTTATATCTGTAGGCAACGATAAATTATTATTAACGAAACACGATTTACGATCTTCGTTAAAATTTGAACTCTAAACTTGTATTAAAAAACTACTACTTACGCTCGATTTTTGTTTTTTATTACGAAATACATCTAATAAAAAACGTTTAAGAATTTCTTATCGACTAAAATTATTTTATCTACATAAAATCAAATAAAAATTAAAAACTCGAAGACGTCAAGTACTTATAAATATCTCAGAAGTTACCAGAATATGTTGAAAATTATGTTTAAAAATAGCTTATATGAGTATTCTGGTGAACATTTCAGGTTTGCGATTATTGAATTGCAACAAAAAAACCAAATCGAAAATAATGAAACCTTTATTTGCTGTAAACTGTTCTGTTTTTCCTACGCTATTTTCAATTATTAAGAACCACCCTTCCCTAGATAAGAAAGTTGTTCACAAACATAAAAAATGATGAAAAAAAAAGAAGCACACATAGTAAAACTAATATCTACATTCTTCGTTCCGTTCATAATACAAAACTGTTATCACTAAAACTATTATACAACCCGATTTAATATCGTTTATATTTTATACCTTAAAGATAACAATATAGTTGAAGACGTGTTTGCTGTGATAAGAGGTAAGGATTAAGTACGTAAATACGTTTAATTGGTTAAAGTAATGCAAATATACGCAATACACGTTTTATTTCAAAATATTTAGCGGCCTCTAGAAATCCTGCAGCAATAAAAATAAATTGACAGGTCAAACGAATATAATTTTTGCATACAGGAACAATTTTTTTTTTTAAACGGATTAAGACATAATAATATTGTACAATATGTTAACACGTATGCCGTATTCGACGGTTCCGTCCGAAACCTGTCGCAGATGTTACTCGTATACAGGATGATCTACCGTAATACAGCGCTCGTCATTTTGTATTATTGAGTTTTACAGAATTTTCTTATTAAACATACTGCGCGGTTTACGACGTTCATTTAGAATACATCTTGTTATTTTTTTTTCGTCCTCATATACAGCGAAACCGCTTTTGAACTCAGTAAATATACTGCGTTCTCAATGCGCTCAATATATTTTAGTGTCGATATTTATTGTAATTTTTAACGCAAGTACATCGGCGAGCTCGAATAATTGGGAAAATAAATGAAAATGAGGGCTACGGAACTTCAAGAAAAAATAATTATCCCTAGCAATATTCAAGCTCAACGTAACACACGGGAAGCCTGGCTTTAACAACCTTCACCCTGAAAACCACATTTCGAATAAAACGCGCAAATTAATTTACAAAAACCAACCAACAATACACCCGGTTAAGTTTTCGGCTTACGTATTTATTTTATTACTTTAACTATTAAAGGTAATAATAATTTATTATCGAATGACACATTTTAAAGTAATTTTGTTTGACCAAATAATGTTATTGTTATAAATCTAAATAAATACCAACCAACTCGAAAATGGTATGCGTATAAAAATGGTTTACACGTGACACGTCTATAAGACATAAATATTTTCAAAAAATTTCACATCCATAAGATAATTTTAAATTGAATAACAACAAAAAAACAAATTCGAAAATAATGAAACTGTTAATTGCTGTTAACTTTCCCGTTTTTCCAATTATAATAAAAAAAAACTTGACATATCAGAAAAAATAATAGTCTTCCCAATGCACCAACTAAAACCTAAAATGTTCCGAAAAAAGCTTGCTAATCAATTGAAGTAGGTTTTCTGATAGGAAAAAAAAATCATCATTTTAAAAATCGCACATCTGATGTAAAACCAACAAATTCCTCGATGCGCTCTGAACGTAAAGAAATACAACAAATAATAGAGGACGAGTGTCGTCCCGTTCGACGAAACATGACGGGTGGGCGCGGGGGGGAGGGTGAAATTCAAGATTTTGGCCTGTACATACTTAATACGTATATATATACACACAAGTATTTTTTTTTTTAAAGAGAAAATATGGGAAAAAAATTGTTAAAATACTCTCTGGATTGTTACAATATTGATATTATAATTTAGTACGACGAAAGCATTTTATCCGCGGGCCGCGTCGATCACCCTGTATATGTTCGGATATTACACGAATATAGCCCGCGCTTTTCGCGGTGTCAGCGGCCGCTGTCAAAATATAAACCTACAACATAACCGTGAACGACTGGCCGCCTCCCCCCCCCCTCGCCACCGACGACGCCGAACGAGTAATAATCGCGCGCGGATTTCGCAAGTGGCGTTGGTGCGGCGGCGGTGGGTTGGTGACCGCGGCGGCGGCGCGTTCGCCACGTGCGACCTTCGCACCGTCGCTGCCGCCGCGCGGATTCCCCCGGCAAAGAAAGGCGTGTCCCTGGCGAGAATTGTCGTTAAAAAAAGAACGTCGGTGCGCGTGCGCGCGACGGCCGGCGCGTGTGTGTACCCGCCGCCGCCGTATCATACATTATCGAAACGTGTGTGTGTGTACGTGCGTTTCCACAGAACGCGAACGTAAAAATGAGTACTATTATAGTATATTATTATAATGTTATTGTGGTACCGGGGCCGCGACAGCCGATAGCCTCCGCTGGGTCGGCGTAAAAACGTCGCCGTGTAGTGACGGGCGGGGAAAACGCCGAAATCAACGGTCCGTCGTTATGTTGGCGAATGGTTTTCGGCCGATTTACGTAATTTACTAATGGTTTTTTTTTTCCTCTTCGTAGACGCGAAAACGGTAGACGGAAAAGAATATATGGAAAATATAAAAAAAAAAAAGGGTAGGGGAACACAGGCCGTCGTCGCGCCGCGCGTGCCGCCGCGGGCTTTGTAACGTCCCCGCGACGACGCCGGGCCCCCCACGGACGCGCGTGCGATACGTACAGGGGTCGCGCCTACCGAGTGGTGGCCGACGACGGCGCGGCGAAACGGAGGACGCGTCGTGCGTACGACACGCGAAAGGGTTCCCGAAGTCCACGTGCGGGCACACGGACGCGCGCCGCGAGGCATCGGCAACCGACGACGACGTCACTACGGCGGCCGTGCGCTCTCACACGTGTCAATAATAATTATTGTTCTTTGCCGCGTGCCCGACTGCAACGGTGCACCTACTTTTATATTCCGTGCATGCAGTTTCGCGTACGTGCGCGCGTACGTACGTATTTACGTCGGTTTTTTTTTTTTTTTTCATTGCCAGTGTACACGCGAGCGTGTGTATTAAAATAATATTGTGTGCATCACGCGATGAATCGCCGTCGAAAATAAATCGGTCGAATCGTAGGGAGAGAAAAAAAAAACCCCCGAGAGATCAAAATAAATCCGAAGAAAATCCGTTTTGCCGAACGACGGTGTTTAATATAAGCCGAGCGTATTTTTTTTCCCGAAAATACTAAGGCTGCGCCAAATGGCTCGTGTTACCACTGTTATGGACACGCGTACTCGGTCAGTCGTGGCTGTCATAGATTCGCACCTCCAACCGCGGGATAAAAATATGACGAAAGAATTCAATGCGATACACGATAGACTTTATTCCTATGCACCAGCAAACTGCACTATACAGTCTGAATGTTCAATCGCTCTTTTTGCGATTATATTTTCGGGCCGGGCTAAACAGGCGTCGGCCAACGTGGATTTATTCAAGTGGATTAAATCCGTCGCGTAAAAGTCGTTGATATAACAAAACGGCGAATGATTCGCGTTTAAAAATAAAATAAAAATCGAATTTATATTACGCGAACGCAGCATGAAATAGAATATTAATACGGTTATGTTCAATATTATAAAATGACTTGGGTATCAATAACAATCGATTTATATTCCGTAACACCCTTCAAGAAAATCTAATATTTTATTATTTATTTTCGTTTTCAACTGTAAACTACTTAAATAACAGAGTATAATAATATTATAATAGTGAGAACACACTTCGCTCGAGGATTTTATAATAACACATGTGTTATAGTACGGACATAGTCGTCACGACGCTTTTCGAAAATCCGGAAAAGTCGGGAAATTAGCATAAAATTTAGGAATTTTAATTTTGAATTCCAGCCAGAATATTGTAATGTATATTTTCGTAAATAATTATTCGAACATTTTTATTTTTGTAAACTCGATTAAAATCAAATACAAATGATCTTCCGTTTTTTTTTTAAATATAATAATGTAATTATTTTATTTTTTATTTTAGTATTTGAAATAACGAAAATAAAAAATAAATCTGTAGTCAAATACGTTTTTTTTTTTTATGCTTACATTCACAGTACGTTTGATTTTTGTAACAATTGTCAGAAATTTTAAACTTTAATTTCATTTTCAATTTTGAAACTTTAATTAATTAACTTTTATTTGAAAGAATAATTTTCGTAGCAAGAAAAAACAACCCCGAAAATAAAAATCTAATTTTTTTTCTTTCCGAATTTGAGCCACGAGTTTGACATCAAATTGCAGTTGTCGTTCTTTACATCATATCTTTGAATTTTGTTATTATGTTGTGTTATTTTTTAGATTGATTTTTCAAGTAATTTTTGTAATCGTTGCACAATATCGAAATAAAACGTAGAAATAACGGACAAATTGAATGTAATTAATTAATTTATTGTATTCAATTTGGGTCTTTTGTTGTAATAAAGTTAATAACTATACCTAGAGACTTGAAATTTTGATGAGAAACTTAAATTTGCCTTACATAAACGTGTTAATATTTTGAAAATATTGGAGCCATTTTTAAGCTATTTATGGATAGTTTTAATTTTCCGAGTATTTATGTAATTTTTATTTGGTAGATACTCCGTGGAAAAAATAATTAGACTTAACAGAAATGTTTGAAAATTTGACACGAGGTTCAATATAGATTGAACTTGTCGGTAAAAAAAGAATAAAATTGATTGTTAAATATATGGTAATTTTTTTTTTTTACGAGTTTTAAAATTATATTTTGACGAAACTCGTAAATATTACGGTCTTTCAAAATACGTATCACCGAACTTCGTTCCGAATCGTTTTTCGTTAGCAATGGTTTGTCGTTGCTTGCAGATATAAATTAAACACCTACATGTATCCTACCTGACAAAAATTTACGATTCTCCGTACGAAAAATATGGTAATAATTTTAAAAAAAATCCGTAAAAACAACGAAAATTTGGTTTTTGTTTTCGTGGTTTTTTTTTTCCGGAATCCACGAATTTTTTATTACGTTTTAGCGTATCTACGAATTTTCAAAATACCGGTTGTCGGCCACTAGGAGTCCGTTTCGAAAACGTGAGGCGAGTGTTTTTCAAACAAAATGTTATCGACAACGTTGAAACCGACGGTGTCCGTTTAATAATGAAAATGCATTACAGGAATTCAATAGCAATGTGAAACATACGAATACATGAGATAGAATTGGTAAATAATTTATGTATTATAATACATTATATTGTTATATAATAATAATAATATTGTAACCTTCGCGAGAGAATATAACGGTGGCAGTCGTATTTTTTGTTTTCTTTTTTCCTTCTTCGTGGTTTTATTTTTTTTTTTATGTTCCTCTATAGTGTATAAAACACGCAACGACCCGGATGCTTACACGCACACGCACAAGTACACGCGCGACCGAACCGAGCGCGTGGTGGGGGGAGGGGATCGTATTGCCGAAATTCAGTGACGTCACGGCTTTGTGTTGCACGTGGGGCCACGTGTAGCGAAACGCATCCTCGGCGGCGGCGACGGCGGTGGAAGGCCGGAGGGGAATGACTGATGGGCGCGATAGCCGGTTTTTCGCGAAACCGTGACGAGTAAAAGGAGGCGGTGACCTCCTTACGGCGGAGAGGAAAAAAAATATGTATAAAAAAAAAAAAAAATAAAAAAAAAAATATTACTAAATTTCGTGCGTGCCTCGTGCCAGTGAACTCGCTGGTTTTGTTTATTAATAATAGCGCATACACAATATATACATACGGAATATTATTTATACACGCACAGTTTATACACGTGCGTGCGTATTTTCGAAATTTTTCACGCGGATAAACTATACTTGTACGCCTCGTGTGTAGATATTGCGTTTTGTTTACACGGGTATTAGTACCTACGTACACGGGCAGTATCGCCGCAGATAACCGCGGATATGTTACATAATAACGCGACGTTTACCGAACGGAACATTGTTCTTATAATCCCAGATACGGATAATACGAATCCCGGAAAACAATCTCAATCCCACTCCCCCGCAAAAAAAAAAAAAAAAAAAAAAAACAAAAAAACAAAAAAAAGAAAACAAAATTGTCCAGCACAAATAATATAATATACAATTTCAACGGCATAACGATACGAAAATTCATATACGGCTAATAACCAAATGAATAGGCGTATTGTAATTTTCACCAAACTCTATGATACGATATTAAATCGACATTGTGTAATTCGAATTAGAAATTACGAATGATATTACTCGGTTTTAGGATTTAAAACTCCGAGAGGAGCAGAGAAGCTTATAGTTTAACAAAACTTTTTTTTTTTTATTATCTGCGCGCGACTTTTCCACCAGAAGACTTGCTCGGATTTCTACGTGTAGCGCTATTTCTGAAAGGAAATTGACGTGGGAAGGAACCTTCCATGAGGTCATTTTTCGATTTTCTAGGGAGTTTTCTCATCAAATTTGAAAAACCGAAATAAAACATGGGAAAACCGGGGAAATCGGTAAAACATTAAACAAATATTATTAAAGAAAATATATAAAGCCTATTTAATTATTTACTATAAAATAACATGTATATATTGTTGACAAAGCATTACTATTAACTGAACTCCGCTCAGAATCGTTTTTTGTTAAGCAATAGTTACTTATAGGTATACATAAGTAACAGTGACTGTATCCGTGCCCATTATCTTAAGAAGTCTTTTTAGCTATATTGTTTATAAAGTGCTTTAAAATCAATATTTAAATCTGTACCTTTTTACGGTCACTTGGGGGAAGGAGGTATGGCCCCCATTGAGTGACGGTGAGTTGTATTTCAGTCGTTTGATACCTAAAACCCAGACGAAACTGTGGGTATTGTGTTCGGTGGATTTAAATTTAAAAAAAGGATTATAATTCTTCAGATTCTTTATTAGGATATGTTGGATTAATGGAAATCGTAAAAATAATTAGTTGTATTTTTGAAAAATATAATCAATGTAGATTTTATTTTACTTGTGATAAAGATAATGACAGTTAAAAAAAAATCCATTGTATCCTATAATCCTAATAAAAAAACCTAACAAATAATAATACATTTTCAAAATTGAAATCCGTCAAATGTGATTCCTACAACTCTCAAACAGTATTTCATTTGGTAACCATAATCAGTAAACAATTTAAAAACAAAATACTAAATAGTAAATAATTTTTTTACTCTGTTTGTTAAAATGTATTACTCACACTGCCTATACTACATTTAACATTACACATACATATATAGGTTTGCGTATCTATTTAAATATCAATGAGTATGGGTTGTATTCAATCTAATAGTATTCCGATTTAATTAAGTGCATAATCATGATAAAATAGCATTTTTTAAAAATACGAAGCCTACAAAAAAAATATCAGATTCACTTCCCCCGTCCATTCCAAACACCTACGATCCGAGCGTTGAATTATAAGTTATTACAGTGACCAATAAAATCGACGTGATACTCCAATTAATTATTGTTACATAATTAAATATTATGATTATAAAAAATTATATACTGAAAATGCAAATTATGATAATTGTGACAAACGGCGATTAAGGTAGTTTTTTTATGGTCTACATTGATAACCAAAATTATTAAAAAATATAGATTTAAAGGATTTCAATATTTTATTGGTACGTAGTTAAATACGCGTAAATTAAACAAAACAATTTATAAAAAAAATATAAATGATCGATTTTCCGATTAATTCAATTCGTTTTTGTATACGCGGTTTTGATACATTTATATATTTTATGCAACGGCTGTATACACTATAATATACACACGATATATTTAACGGTATTATAGTCCTATTCAAAATCTAAGTTGATGAATTTATGTATTTATACATATATATATATTATAATACATAACAATAATTACGAGCTGGATATTACAATAAGCAGGGCTCGGAATTTATAGCACTTAAAATTTACAAAAACGTCGTAAATAGCACTTAAAAAAGTAAAAAATTGTAGATCATTAAATCCCCCCCTATAACGCTTTAATTTATAAAACACTATTTTTTTTAAAAAAATTATAAAATGATTAATTTGTGTATTAGACAATTGTACATCATAAGTTAGAGCAGTTGGAAAGAGGATTTTTCATAACTCCCTAACATTTTTACTTTTTATAAAATATTTGTAAGTTTTTTTTTTTTTACGTTTTTTGTAGATTTTAATTGCTATAAGTCCGGATCTTTAATCATAAGATAATATGATAATTACCTGATAATAAGAGTAAAGTTTAAGTATCCAATATTTTAGATGAATAATGTGTTATACATTTAGTTACTTCTAATTTAACACTTGGTACGAATAGTAATATTAATATTTGTCTTTATGAACGAAAAAATGTGTACCTAACAATCTGTTCGGCTGTTATTTTTATTACTTATTTGTTTTATAACAAGTAGGTAATTTATCTGTTTTAGAACTTACATTTATATAGTAATAATCAAATGCCGATTTTATCGGTTAAAAAAAAACGTATACTTATAAATCCGAAATATTATCAAAATGTATGCCAATATTATAAACTAAAAGCAAATGTGGACAATCAGGAGGATTTGCTGTTTTTTTCGGGTCCAATAATTGATGTTATTAACACAAAAATCCTAAAATCAATAATTATTTCGCCGAATTGAAAAAATAATTTAAACGTCGCCAGTTTTTTTACGGAGGGAATTTTCGATGACAAATCTCATTCCCGAACAATCTGCGAATATGTTTCCAAGTCTTTCCTAGAACCAGCTCGAGTATTTGTGCAATAAAGACCGGAACAGTAAAAGCCTACGTGACGTGCCCCACAAAGTCGTAGGACCGAAATATTTTCGATACATTTGATCGGGTACACACAACCGACAGTATTGTTCTTTTCAGGGGAAAGAAAATGTCGAGAAACGCTATAATAATTTATAATGTACCGTTACCGAACGTATTTAAATAATTTAAAATATTTCATACGAAACGGCAGTAAAGCAGCACCGACACCTCCGCGTCATTCGATGCTTCGACCGTTCACGTTGCTTTTGTAGCATTTTAAGTTTGACAAATATTAATTTTACTGGGGAAAAAAAAAAAAATAAATAATAATGTTGCTTTCTTTTCGGAAAATTGAATGGCGCAGAACTTGTTCAGCGACCACCGATCTGTACATCCACATCGACAATGTTATGATTTTTATTTATTTTTTTTTTTTTTTCCCAGTACATTCCCGGTGCGCTTGTCGCTCCCGGGAAACGGGAACGGTCGGAACAACACCGGCAACCGAAAATATAGTTCTAAAAACCGAAGCCACGTTGGCGAATCGTTTTCGGCGCGGTCGTGTTTTACAAGAACAAAACGTTCACGGGGCAAGAGTGGGAATTCGTCGCCGGTGGATTTTCGGAAACACCGTGCAAAATTAATGGCGACCGTACACGAGAAAGCCGGCCGCCCGTAGAGCAGTCGAATTTCCGAAGACTGGCTTATCCTCGGCCGCAACGAGCATTTGGCGGGCGCCACTGTGCGGACGTTTAATTTATTACCGACCGATATGTTTTTCTTACGGTTCGTTGTACCGGTGCTCGATTAAAAACACTCGCTATCGTATTATTTACCGGCTGTATTACAATACATCGGAATCGAGGTGGTACAATGGACCTACAATAATTATTGTTATGATAACGACGGCACATTCGTATTTGCATAGGTGTTATTTTGTACACAGATTGATAATCGCCTAGATGTGCAATAACAACTAAATAGGCTGGAAACGGTATGAAGCACGTTTTGAAAAAGCCGGCAAAAGTTTGGTATACGCGTAAATACATGTGAAGTATCGTTTGACGAATACCCGCTGTAAGCGTCCATTCCATTTTCTTTCGTTAAAACATATTGTCGTACGGGGTGATACTATTTAAAAAATTTTTTTTTTTTTTACGATAGTCGCAATGAAAAATGTATACGCCTCTGTGCCTCGTAACCCGGGATTGCATTTGGACAGAGAAAACCCCCATGAAAAATTACTATATTTCCCCCGTGAAAACACAAAACCTGCCTGCGATCGATTTTATTATATTTAGGCATACGCGAACATGGCCATAAATGTTATTTGTACGAAAATACAATCTGCTAAATATATATATATATATATGTGTGTACACGGGTATGAATGGCACGTGCTACAGCAGTAGTATAACGAATAGAAGCTCTTTAACCAAACGGAAAACAGAAATCAATTCTTGTCGAATTGCCGCGCGGTAAAAATATGAAAACTCACCGGGTCTTGTAAACGCAGTTCTGTCGGACGCGGGCGTTTCGCGCAAATTTTGTTGCGCGAAAAAATTGTTACGAAAGACCGAGGGCGGTGGCGAAATTTGCATGGATTGATCGTCCGAGCCGCATTGTATTGTCGGCGTCATTCTGAAAATCATGTTCAACAACAAATGCGACGTCAAAATTATTGTTATAATAATTATTATTGTTATTTATTATTGTTAGGCGGGCATTGCACAAAAGACGAGCAGACACTGTGGGTGCGCACGGCTGCGTCTACACCGTTACGAATAAATCGGCGTGAAAAGCCCATTTTTCAAAAGCATTTATGGTGCACACGTACTTTTCGCGGTTTTCGCGGGCTTATTGTGCGCGTACGTCGTGCGGCTTGTTCGTCTGTTGCTACCGACGCGAATAACTGTAACTGTAGTATTTAAACAATAACGTACGACAACGTTCAAGAGGTACGTCACCGTGTAATTTCAGTGGAATAATCGAAACACGTTAAACGTGTTGCGGGACCCTGTTCGACTGTGCGCTTGTACCAATAATTTAACGGAATAAAAACCGTCGTGACAAAATGAAATTTATCCAAACACTATTTTCGGTTTAACGTGTGGGGAATGAATGAGCAAAAAAAAAAAAAAAAATTATGAAAATGGTCACAAGCGAAAATGTACAGGAGGTTAGACACCGCCAATGGACGCGGTAGAGCGAAAAAGAGTCGAGCGAATGATACGAATTTCGCCGGGAGCACCGAGAGACCAGCGGACCGGGCAAAATTCACAAGACGATTGACGAGACACACGCGCGCGGCGACTACGGCGCGGCGGCGGTCGGCAATCGGGCGGCGAAATAATAATAACAACAATATTCAGACGAGTTGCGGCGCGGCGATCCCCCCTGACCCTACCCATCCCCCTCCACGTAATGCCATTACGGCGCCCGTCCCCGACCATCGCGCCGTGCAATAATACCGACGACGGTGTTTTTCGCGGACGTCAGTGGCGGCGGCGGGGGAGAAGAGTAAAAATAAGCGCGCGTGCACGGCCGCCGCCGACATGCGCCACGCTCCGTGTCGTTATCGCGACCACGGCTATTATCTGATAATGCAATGTTCATGATCGCGACTGCGGCACGTGTACCTCGCAGATAATAAACAACGGACAGGCCACTCAAATTATTGCAATAGCGCGCACGCACCGTGGTGGGGAAGCGTTGTGGACTGCACCCGTGTTTTCTCTTTCTAGCGGATGGTTTTCTGATGTTAGGTATGTTCGCCGCGACTAAAATTTAATATTCTGAAAATCGAAATACGCTCTGCCAGAAAGGGAAAACGGTCTGTGGAAATATCTATGGTCTATGGACGTATAAGTTATAAATTATAATCAACCATGATGGAAATAGTATATTTTCCCTCTTGTACATGATTCTGCGATCTGCATAGCGATTGTTGATTCTAGTCTCCACGGTGTGGCCTATCCACTATTTATTATCATCCATATCGTCTTTATTATCCATGGTGTATCTCTGGTTAGCTGTGTATCTTATCACGAACTCGTTCGTTTGAGTTTTCCGAATTATAACGCGTGATACGTCGAGTTATGATGCGTTATTAATTTTTCATTTTTTTTTTTTTTTTTTGTATCCGCCTCCTTTGATAATTATGTTATTGAATTCAATTTTGTTTTACCGCACGTGGTGCACGTGTCACCGACGACACCAGGGAAAAAAAATACAACAACAAAAACGTCACAAAGTCGCTTTCTGTTTATCGACGATATTCCTTATCTCTTCGTTATCTATGTTCGGTTTTTTTATTTTTCCCATCTTTCACATATTACGGGTTTTCAACTCGTTATAATTCGGCTTGACACTACTTAGTACTTATAAGTTATAGTACTTAGGTTTAGTATACGGAATCGATTTACATCGTTTTTTATTATTACGGATCACCGCGCAGCGTTATCTGTTTTACTACAAATAATACATAGTAATTGAGTTAAGGACAGTCGTTTCTTAATTTGTTTTGAATCAATACATTGATGTTAACTGCACTGTAATCTGTGTCTTTTCTATTTTACATTTTTGGCCTTCAACTGAATACTAGTATGAATGCCACGGATGATGAATATTGGAATGAAAAAAGTTTTGAAGGTTTCAGTTTTGAAGATGAGGTATGGGCAACATAAATGTATATCTTATTTAATATACAAATTTAGGTGTCTAAAAATCTATTTTTTTTTTTTAGGAGAAAGAAGTTAATTTAAATAAAAAAATTCCACCCGAATATGAAGGTTATTTTAAATAAATAAATATTTTTGAAATGTAATTGATTGCTTTTTTTTAACATAACATATATATATCTACAGCTGTCTAACAAAATATGTGAATGTGAAACGTCTTAATATATGAGGTCTAATCAAAAACTTTCCGGACCTTTTAAACTGTGCACTAACGGAACGTATAAAAGCAGTAGGATCGATATTATTGGTTTCTGTTACTTCTGAGCACATCTGTATTAGTAGATTTTGAATAACCTTAGTTTTGATGTCACTAATGTTTTTTTTTAATAGAATTATTGTATTCAGTGATCTTTTTAATGAATCCAAAAAGAGCGTTTTTTGGGGGTCGAAGATTTTTATTATCATTAAATCAGTTTTTTTATCATTTACCATACAACAAAATTCCTGACAAGCTTGAACTTGAATTTTTTTTTAATCCTTAATATTTTCCCCACATTCTCGAGAAACTGCTGTCACTCAACACTTTGCACTAAGGTCAGTTACAATTTTTTGGCATTAAGTCAGGTGAAACGATACATTTTTCTACTATATTGTCAACAAAACTGAAGAAAAAATCCATGTCAACCAACTCCTCCCCCTTCCTCCTTATAAAAAGGCTATTCTTTTAGATTCATTAAACAAATCGCCAAATACAAAAACCTTATTTTACAAAAACATCAAAATAAAAAAGATTATTGAGAATCTATAACAAATACAGATGTGCTCAGGAGAAGTTACAAAAGCCAATGATATCAATCCTACTACTCTTGGATGCTCTGTTGACGCACAGTTCAAACAGTTCCAGAACTTTAACTATCTAGTCCTAAGTCTACTAGTATAATATGGAAATTATGTTAAATAAATGTTTAAAACTAAACAGGTTTACTAATTGGATCTTCAGAAACAAAATTAGATAATGTGGAATCATTAGATACTCTCCTGTCAAAAGACATTTTAGATAAAAGTATAAAAATATAATATTTCTAATCATTAAAATGAATGAATGAATGAAATTTACTTATATCCTATATCTTTATATTATAATATGTTACAGTATTTTTGAAACCAGATTCAAAATCAAATAAAACCAGTTCAACTCAAGTGATTAAATTTGATTAATAAACATAATTTGTATCCATAATAATAATCTAGTAATTCAATAATATAATTTTGTAGCAAAAACAGAAAAGTGTCAAATCTACTATAGAAAGTATTGTTATGTCATATAAATATACACTTGAGCCATATCGTAGTTTAGAAGAAAAAAAAATGTTATTAAAAGAATCATTGGATACTGAAGATGGAAATGCAATATTAACAGTATTCAATATTTATTAATTAAATATATTCCATGATATATATTCATATTTTTATAATTTAATTATAATTATAGGTTATTATATTTTTAACAAGCACTTTAAAGAAGAACATTTTTCAACGCATTTTACGTGACAATCCTGTTGCTGCTTCACATTATGTTCAGTATTTATATTCAAATCAATATATTGATGAATTAGTTGACACGTTAGAGTATGTTCAGTATTTATATTAATTTTAAACTAAAGTTTATGAATTGTAAAATAATATGTATATATGTATATTTTTTCAGAATGTTGGGGCGAACTAAAGATGCAATGGTAAGATACAATCATTTGAGATGATTAAGATGAAAGGCAGGCAAATAAATGTATTTTGATTATTTGTGTGATAAATTTTTTTTTTTATTATTAAAAATAGTATATAATACTAAATAACTCATAGTTTTCTTTTAGATTTTTGAAAATCAATGTTTGTATTTAAAAAATTTGATTATATTTTTGAAATAGTATTCAATTTTATTCTATCATTATGACACTGTTTTTTTTGTCTGGAAATCAATGCTATAAATTATTGATAAAAAAAAAATTATTAGAATTAATATAGAAACATTATAAATACTAGATGATACTCTTTAAGTGTGGTTGTCGGAATCCAAAAAATTGTCTGCAGAGGTTAAATGTTTGTGCCAATCTAGCAGAAGACCAATATGATAAACAAATGATATCACAGTTCATTCATTTAGTTGGTAATTATATTATAATATTAAGATGAATTGATTAATTTATTAAAGAATTCAAATATTTTTAAGGAAAATATGAAGTCAAATGGGCACAATTTATGTCAGTTGTTACCTTAATATCTGATAAATGCAAAGAACAACAAAATGTAAATTCATGTCGTATGTTGGCTAATGAATTTAATCTAAGTGCTAAACAATTAGAAGCCACATTATTAATAACATTTAGTCAACTCCAGAATTGGGTTCTTGTGGATGATATGTTCGTAAACAAAGTAATTTATTAATTTATATTTCATATCATGTTTTCATAGCTTCATTGTAAGTATATGTTCTAAGCTTTCTAAGCCAGCGGTTCTCAAAATGTGTGCTGCGGCGCCCTGGTGAGCCGCAGCGTCTTTACTGGGGCGCCGCGATGAACACTTAGGACATTGGGAACCGTATTTTATATTATTATAATTTATGGTTATTACCCAACACTATTGTTATTGTAGTTAATAATTACCTACAATAAAATTAAGTGATAAAATTAATATTAAGTGATAAAGCACAGCGAATCTTAATTCTGTTTTCAACTTCTTATTTGTGCAAAGCCGAGTTCTCGGCGGTTGCAGTAATAAAAAGCAAGCATCGATCAAAAATAAATGTGGAAAAAGAAATGAGAGTGGCTCTGTCTACTTTGATTCCAAGATTTGAAAAATTGTGCAGTGATTTACAAGGGCATCCATCTCATTAATTTAATGTTTTCTAAAAATTTCTAAAATCTTAATAAAATAATTTCTTTGTGGTTATAATAAAATAAAAATGTAATATTAAATAATTTTTTTTTTTTTTCTTAAAATGTTCTATTCTTTATTTTATCTAAAAAATGGTCACCGGTTTTATAAGGAACGCCGTGAGAAAAATTCAGTTCTAAAATGCACTATAAGACGAAAAAGTTTGGGAACCGCTGGTCTAAGCTGTACAAATCAAATTATCTACATGATAAAGAATAAACTGTACCACACAAATTTAATAATATTTAATGTGATTTTAGTAGAACAAAAACATTTTTACTGCATGGTTTTTTTGTTTGTAAACAACTTTTCTATCAGAAATCATGGTTTGATCTTTAAATGTAGCATTTTCCTAAAAACAAATTTTGTGTAATTTTGTATAGATTAATTGAGGAGGGAGTGTAAATTTTCCTTGTAATTTTCTTAACTAAATAATTGGGGAAAAACAGAAAAATGTTCTCAACTCTAGTTTTCTATTATTATTCTTATTATTATTTTTAATTTAGTTAAAATATTCATAGAAATCTGAAATTCTCAAAAAATCATTATATTAGACCTTTTTAATATTTTTGAGGTATTTGAAATGTCTAAGTTATTTATATATAAAATTGAATAAAGAATGAAAAAGAGCTGATACTGCGGATTGGTGTACCACTTGTAAGTGGGAAGGTAGAAAAGTTATTTACAAATAGAAAAAAAGTACATATATCAAATTGCTCACCAATTTAATACAAGGTTTATCATACGTTTATTATGATGATAAAAAAAGAATATACATTACAGTAAAAGTTATTTTATAAGCATTTAGATTTAAAATTCACTGCATTAAACAAACCCATTTAAACAAACTTTGCTAAGAATTGTATTTTGTTAGCAATGATTCATCGGTGCTTATAAATACAAATTAAATAATTATGTATCCTACCTTCCCAATTTCCCACCTATAAAAGTGGCACACCCATTAGCAGTATTGGCTCTTTTTAAAATTATTTTATAACAAAGTATATAGTAAATATAATATCATACATTTGTCCCATAAAGATTTGACAAATGCTATAATTTTTGTCCTGTTAAATATTTAAAACAAAATTTGTTTGTTATAATTTGTTGAAGTTTACAAAATTAAGTACAAAATTATTTTTCTGAACATTTTTGAATCTATTAATATTATTTTTAGTTTGAGATAGTTTAAATTATTTTCATTGCTACTACTAATTGGTTTACCAATTTTTCTATAAAATAGTTTTTGTAAATTTCAGAAAAATTTAGAAACTTAACAATGCATCATTACTAAACATGTGAAACACTAACATTTTGTTTCAAAATTGTATCCTTTAAAATATATTTATAAAATGCTTGTTTTGGATTTTGTAATAACAATTTTTATTTTTAGTTTTTTAATAAAGATATACAAAATATAAAATAAAGAAATTGTGTGCAAGGTTTTATTAATTATATCCAAAAAAAAAATTTTAAAATTATTGAAGAGAATATAAATTAATGCATTTGTTGAATCTTTGTTGATATACTGTATTATTATAATCATTTCCTTAGTTAATTATGTAAACAAAAAATCATTTTAAATTTAAATGAAGACAGTTATATAGTAAATAATATACAATATTACATATGTTGCATTCAAAATGTTATTAATTAATCTTTGTAAACTCTGTTATTAGTAATATTTATCGGGTCTAATCTCAGTACGTTAGAACCTTGAAATTTCATAGAAATAGTATTAGAAGTTAAGTACTGAGTAGCTCAGTGGTAGAGCAATTGCATGGCAAACAAGAGATTCGGTTTTGATTCCTTGATTTTTAATGTAAATTACATTTGAAAATCAAAAAGGGGTTGTTTTACCCCTGAAAATAAGGGTTGAAGAAAATAATAGCTATGTAACATTTTTGCATTAATTGTTTCTTAAATTTTTTTAAATTAATATTTTTCCAGATATCATCACGAGTTATACCTTTATAAGCCCTGTATTATATAATTTTATACTTTTGATCTTTGTATAATATTTTATGAACTTTTACATAATTAAGAAATAAAGAAAAAATTGTATACATATATATATTTGTTTACAATTTTTGAATTACATATATATTTGTTATTATTTGTTTTAATATTAGAACTGGCTTGGCAAAGACAAATTGGCTCTATCATTACCTATAGCTGAAACTGTTAAATTATTACATCTTAATGGTGCTCCATCATCGTCATTAACTCGATACATAAAAATGATTAAAGATTCAGATGAGCGTTTGGAATTGGCTAAAAAGTTCTATTGTCACCATGTTATAATTGATGTATGCAAACAATTAGAAACTATAAATATCAATTGTTACAATAGTAACAAACTGTATTGATTAAATAAAACAAAAACAATAAAACAATAGGATGTTTTGTTTCAATTATTTATAAAATGTTTCAGGATTTTGTTACCAAAAAGGATCGCAGGGGCTTATTAATATATAAACTTACTTTACAAAAACAATCTGAAAGCTATTATTATGCAGATATAATTTTGAAAAGTCCAGTAAGTATTTATTGATTTTTTTTTCTATATTATTATGTATAATATGTAAAATATTTAATTTATCATATTTATATGTAAGGTATAAATGTGATCTATATAAAAATAAGTTGTTATAATATTATCTCAAATAGTAATAGTAAATAGTAAGTTCAGTTTTTTCTTCATGTTTTGCTATTTTAAATGAACTTGAACATACTGGACTGGGAACTATGGACATACTGAGTGAGGGAAATTTAAACATTTAGAATCTGAATGCTCAAGTAACTTAATGTAGTAATTGAATTGATTAGCTTAGAAGTAATTTCTTCTATAAAATTGTAATTAATTAAGATTTGATTAAGATTGATCTAAACTATCAATCCAACTTGTACATTTTTTGAGATGGTTTGGCTTAAATTCTTTTAATTGAGGTTTTTACAATAGAACGGCATTTATTTTTCGACTTATCAAGGTTCTACTTTCTATATATATATTTTATTATTAATCTAAAACAATTTTTTTGTTTTTTATATGAAATTCAAATTTTAAAAATTCAAAAGTAAACTATATATTATGTTAAGAAATGTATAAATATAATTTTATTGTTAAATAATAATCATATAAGTGTACTATAACTATACACACAATATACCATTAGTATTCATTGTTACTTGTACAATGTACTTTGAAGTATTTTTATTAAAGGCATGTATAGTGTATAGTCAGCTCATAAATTTGAGTATTATAAAATTTATTATTAAAAAATAATATAGTAATTGAGAAAATCATACATTTTATTACAAGATTATAACTTATTGATTTATTTAAACATGAATAAATCTTTATGTTAAAAAACTATTAACATTATAAGTTAAAAATAATTTAAATACCCCTTTTTTTCAGAATATCAAGTGGAAAAATTAATAAGTTGATATAAACTGATTTTGTTTACACATGAAAATATTTGAACAAAATAAGAAGACTGAAGCAGATTATTGTAACTTATGGTTTATACATTTATTTTATTCGTTATTTCATTTATTTAAGTATACTTACATACACAAAATATATGTTTTTAAAGTTTTAAAACTATAGATTTTACTATATTACTTAGTTACAATATACTTAAGCAAATCTACTTATTAATTTATATTTTTTGTATACATAATGGAAAACAGTGTTTATAAAATTAATATAGCTAAAAATTCAACCTTTTAAGTGGGTCAATGAAACCTTATGGTGTAAAAACTAACTATTTTACTATGGCTTTTAATGCTCTATTTGATTCTATAGTGGTTATACCTGTGTTTATAGCTAACTAATTTACAGTTTTAGCTAGTTGTAAAGGAAGGTTTATATTTATTAAAGTGCATTTTTATGGATATAAATGATGATAAATTTGAAAAGTCTAATTCAGAAGAACGCCCTGACAATGATGTTGGTCCAGCAACAATGTATAAAAGAAACATTTTTGGTCGACAAAAAACCTGTATGTACCCATTCCTAATACATTCTTCAATATTTTTATGTAAGTAATATTTTATGGTTTAGTATCAGAGGCTTCAATCTACAATCCTATTGATCCTCAATGCCAAAATAAGGGTAGAAGTGAGTAAAATAGTAAATTCTATAAATTTTCATGAGTAATCTTTACTCTTGTATGTATTTTTATCTTTGTTTTTACATTGATAATTTAGAATTTAGTTTGGCAGATAAGACTCTAGATTGCATTACAAATTGTTTTTGGCAATGTTCATCATGTTACCAGTGCAACGAAAAGTATAGATATAAATAAACTAACTTTGATGTCCTTCAGGTCATACTTAAGATTTTAATAAAAATACACCTTTGGACTTAAGTTTATACAATTATTTCATATTCACTGAATAATTTAAAACTGAAGAAATATTATATTCTATTATATTTTATTTAATTAAATAAATATGATAATATTAATCATTGAGATGTAAACTTATTCCTATTATTAATATTACAGTAGACTCCGCTTAATAGTCATAGGGTTTTTTAATTGCTTACAAATTTGAAATTATCAACAAAATTAACAACTACCAAAATTCTTATTATTTTATACATATTTAAATTAAACATAAATGTACGACATTTATTATATTATACAAATATTCACCAATATTAATAAATCAGTAACCACCAACAAATTTGTATGTTTTTTTTTCATTCCAGATTATTGGGACAACCGTTTATCGGGACACAATAACAAGCAACCGATGTGTCTCAATAAAGCGGAGTCTGCTGTATATAGTGTTATAAATTTAATTATTAGTAGGTACCTACTTGATATTTTCTATTATTAGACTAGTGATTTTCAACCATTTTGCAGCTTATGAAAACAAATTTCAAAAGCAACCAATTGTGTTCAAAGATATTATATCTGTGATATTTTATGTAAAAAGTTAAATAATGAGTTTAAAAGTTTTTCTCAAAGTAAAAGTTGTTCATAGCTAAGACATGTGTCATGAAAATCTATAAAATACAGTGCTGTGTTTAAAAAAAATTGAAGACCACTGTATTAAACATTATACCAATGTCTCAAATTCTCAAATATTATAAATGCTTGAGTTCATAAACAATTTCTATAAATACATAATTAATACTAAAATAATATTATATTATAAACACATTATAATTCAATAAGTTCATACTAAATTTATCTTCCTCATTATAGAATATTTAAAATGCATATAGTTAATGACTATATGACTATAACTGACTAATATTTATTTCTATTTACCTTGGTACAAAGTGAAATTGCACAATTCAAGCAACTTTTAAATCCAAATTGCTTTTTTACAATTAAGAGCAATTGTATTTATTTTATTTTTATATCTGGTATTATTATTATAGTTACTAGATGGTAAATACATTTATGCTTAAAACTTTTGGTACATTTGGTGAGGAGCTTATTAAAGTTTAAGACATTTTAGCTCATTATAAATTTAGTGTAAGTGAGAATAGGAACTTTTAAGATAAATTTAATAATTTTGCTTTTAGTTGATTCTAATTTGTTCAAATTGATATCATAGGTACCCCCACCATATCTCAATACCAAATGCAATTATTAATTGAAAGAAGAAAATATTAATAAATATTTTTTAATAATTTATTAAATTATATTTAAGTTGATATTTATCAAGAATTTATCTTAAATCTTTAAAAACATAAAATAATTTACGACTTAAATTCATAATATAACCTATAGGTATGTATGTTCCATATTAATTGGGAATCAATATATATTCCTAGATATTTGATAGAATAAACACTTTCAATATTATTACAAGAACAACTAGCCGAAATATTATTAAGACAAGAAGTATTTTGGACACTTAATTTCCATTTTATATCCCAATTTATATTTTGAATGTTAAAGATAATATGCTTAGTTTTATTTAATTTTAGCTCTAAAAAAATTATTATTGTTATAATTATTGAACCATTTTTAGATTTTCCATTTTCCATTTTTCATATCTGAGAAAAACCAGGATAAAACATAAGAAAAACGAAAAATTATTGCTTTTATTATTTTTCAATTTTGTTATTTATTGTAATTCAGTTAAAAATATTCGTAGAAACTTGAAACTTGTTGTATATAATTGGCAACATATATAAATTAATAGCGATATCTAGGCCTAGGAATTGCCTTATTATTAGTCAACATAAATATTAGTTCTGTATAATTTTTCGTTAGTTTATAAAGTTGATGTCTATTTTTCCATTGTAGTTAATACTTTATAGCGCAATGATTTTGTACGAACTCTTTGGACTTTGGACAATTACATGACATGATTTCTTATTGATAAAAACGACGGTTTAATATAAAATACCAACAATAATTACTTATAAAAAAAATAATATTAGGTTCTATAAATTAAAAAAGACTTTATATTATTAATTTAATTTTAAAATTGAAAATTCAAATTTTAATGTCATTAAGTAACGAGTCTGCCGATTAAAGAATACATCAAGTTTATAACAATGTATTATTTGTCGGTACAAAAACCAGCGACACTGGTGAACGTGACGGGTCTTATTGTTTTAAAAATACACCTATTTTTAATTTTTAATGAAAAACTTAATTAAAATTGAAATCAATACCTACTGGACCGTATTTAAAAAAAAAAATTTTAAACTTAACCTAACCTAACCGCACGTGGAGTCAGTACACGGGAACAAAATATGCGCTGTGGCATACCCGACAAAGTGTCAATATATTATTACCGTGGTATTATAATATCAATAGCAATACACGTCGGAACAAAATCGTCTCGTCACGAACGTTACGACGACGGACGGGGCGAGCAGCGAGAACCGGTGAAACTTTAAAGAGCCTCTATATAATAAGAAAGTTGGCGGAGAGTTCTTTTTACAATTGAATCGGTAATCAGCTTTGATTTAAGAATACTGCGGGTTTATATCGCGTATCTGTGTAGTGCGTAAAAAAACGGAAAATAAATCGGCCGAACAGTATTTTAGCTGAGAAATATCCGAGCCGATGGTATTTTATTGGGAAATTCAAAATATTACAGCCGACCGCAATAAATAGATAAGTGCCATCTCTGGTAAGTAAAGTGTGTCAATCGGGTATTGATAAGAACCGTTTATTTTGTTAATGATATGAACTGTATTTTTCACTGTCTGGTAGGTTAACTAATCACTATTTAACCGACCTCGGTCGGTTGATTAGCTTAGCCGACGTATAATCAATGATTAATGAGTGGAACCAGGCGTCAAGACATTGTTCAATCCGTGATATTACCGTAGAGATATAATGATAATAATTATTAAATACTAATAGTGTATACAAATTGAATGGTTTTAAAAGTGTTATGACCTAACAGCTCGTTATTGAGAAGGGAACAAAAATTGTAACAGTTTGTTTTTTTTTTGACGTTTCACATGGATTTATGAGCGAATTGAATTTATTCAGCTGTAACCCATTTTACCAATTATGTAGGCACGTAGGTATAAATACGCTTTGGAATTAATTGGCATCGAGCTCACGCAAAACATTTTAACCGTTCTATAGGTATTGAGTAATTCACTTTGTATTATTTATTGTAACGCCTGTAGCGTTAGTGTTACACGTAGATGTATTTTTTCTAATGAAAACTCGAAGATTTGATATTACAAAATATCTTCAATTTTATTTTCTTCTATGAATAACCTATCCGATATTGATTTAAGGTCACGGCCAGTTACGATTAATATGAGTAGTAAAACAAAAGATACCGTTTCCGTAAGCGTAACACAACCTGCCGCTGAATCAAAAAAACATTCGAATTTTGCTAAAAGACGAGTTGTTTATTGGGTGAGTATTTAATAACTAAATTAATTAAACGAATTAATTAATTGGGTAGTTAATTACTGTATGCAATACGTGCACAAATAAACGGTAAAATCACTATTAAAAAAAAATAAAAAAAAATAAATAAATTTGTTAGCTCACATCTTGAGTTTGGGTCACCTAGTTTTACTACCTCTTTCATTATTCTTATTGAAAACCACAATCACAGCGTAAGAGACTAACGTGTATTTACAACAATTTGTGAACGCGTCAATCGACTTAGCAATTTAGTTACCAGTTTTCAAATATAAATTAATTTGAGTGACCAAGTAAAGTAACACATTTTCAGAAAAATAATAATTCAGTCTCGTTACACACTTAAAAAAAAAAAAATTACCCTTTACCATAGCAAACCCGTGCACGTATTTTCAACTCTAATATTTAGACTTTAACAGTTTTAATTTTTTTTTACGCCTTTAATTTAATTTGACCGAAAATCTAAGTACGTTAAAACCGCCGGTTTTCGTTGGCGCATCACTATTGTAAATGTTGACCTTTTTGACAGTTGCGCATCGTTCGATTTTTGGGTTACATATCATTTGCGCGTCAATATTATCTAACAATAGAACTGAACAAATGATGTGTATACCTAAACGCTGAAGTTGTTTTCTAAACTTAAATTTACACATCTCAAAATTTATTATTTAATTTTCAAATATTGTATTGGTTACACAATACATATATTTTTTCATGTTTTTATATAACGCCATGGCTGAATCATATATTTGTATCATTGTATGGATCTATAAAAACTAAATCTATAGAAGCTAATATTTATGACTTATGAATACCATACATTTTAACAATACTACTAATTGCAAGTATACAAAATCATTGTAGTAAAATTATTTTTTAAAATACCCACGTAGGTAGTCCAAATCAAATTGATAAAAATGTATACATTTGTTTTATATTACGTATAATAGTTCGTAGACAGAGCTGTGAGGTTTAAATACAGTTGTGACCTAATTCGTTAGTACTCGATCTCGTTTGATGGATTTTTGAGGAAGTATGGGCTTTTCCGTTTTACTCTTGTGCTTGAATACTGATGATAACTGCAGTGCACTGTCGTGTACTTATCTCATTCAAATATTGAGTTTAAATTAACAGTTTACATAACCGATAAACATAATATGCTTATAGTAGTTATCGAGGAAATATTAATTGTTGTAATTTTTTTTTTCACAAGTATAATGGACTGAAGCTCGCGAAATTAAAAAAATTCATATTTTATCTCTTGATCGTGGCGATCAGCTGTGCAATTGTGTACACGATCTACGGTAAGATTTACCACGAAGACCCGTCGGTTGCCGAATCGAAAGAAGCGCACCACGATCATCAACAGAACCTGCCCGACATAAAACTAGGTGTCGTCGACGACGACGTTTCAAAGAAAACAAAAACCATTGAAATTAATATTAAAAAAAGATCAAGGTGATTGTATAGAACAATCGTGGAAAACTACAAGCTTCCAAATTAATGATTTTAAAAATATTTCAATCCGCCAAATATAATAATAACAGGTAACAATAGGCTTTTTCTACGCGCACCTACTCTATAACTAGAGTATAATTATTTCTAACGAATATTCGTCTGCGTATTAAAGTAGTAGTTATATTCCGTCAATCGTTTACTACTTTTATCGCATGTTTATTTTTTTATTATGTAAATACCTACCTAATACAGTATTTAACTACGGCCGCGCAGAGATGTGTCATAATGTACGTACTATGAAAGTACTTACTAGATAACAGCCCGGTCCTATAAAAATGGGATCGGACCAGACCAAATATTTAAGACGAATTGTTTAACCGGGTTAGTCCAATTCCTAAAATGTATTTTTCAACCCAGACTAATTTATACCAAGCTTACAAATTTTTTTAAAAGCCCGGATCAGCCCAGTTCGGATTATATATTTAAAAAAAAAACCAGACCAGGATCGTTTAGACATTTACATTTCAGTATTTCATAGTGTTATCGTACTACATTCAACAGTAGACTACGTTTATTTTTACAATTTCCGTTTTAATGAAAATTAATATTAAATAAGCGATAAAACATGACGAGTGAAACGACCGCGTTTCAAGAAATACGAACACATGCTAATTATAAGCAATTATAAATAAATTGATAACAAATACTATTTTTCCAATTATGAAACCCAGACCGAAAACCAGAAGGTCAAAAGACCGGACCGAACCCGATTCCAATAATACTAAAAACATATTATGATTTTAACCAAACCTAAGCCATTATCACTGTCCCAGACCCGAACATCTAAACCAAAAATATAAAAAGCATGTTGACCAGACCCGGGACCGGGCTGACCTCTAGTACCTACTTAGGTATCTACAATATAATCGTGGCCAAGATAAAATTACAAATAATAAAGACTATAAAATTAATGTTCATTAATGTTACCTATATTTATTGTTTTTTTGTGAAATAAGATTTATCTAATCTGTAGGATTTATTATTAATTAAAGTTTGCCAGCACCTACGCCTATGTTTTAAATGTTTTAATTAATAGCTTATTTTTTTGATGTTATTTATTTAATCGTTGTCCCTGATGTGGAAATTGAGGCATTGATTCGTAAAATAGTAATCGGGTCGTGCAACTGACATGACCACTCCAATACAATAAAAATAGTAGGAGGCAGCCTACACAATTTGAACCGGCCTTCTTCATCACGGTAAAAATCTAAAAAAAAACCGTCGTTATAATATTGTAGTTAATTAAAATGTTTTAAAAATATTTTTGTCATTTATAATCAACATATTATTGTATTATATTACACTTTGATTGAAATTCAATACCCTGTCCCTCCGAAGCCCTAGAAATGTATAAATTTCGGTACCTACCTACGTTTAATTTTTATGACGTTTACGTACCTATTTACTAATAAACAAAATTACTAGCGTTTATTTTTTTAACATTAAGTATATTTTTATTTATCAATTTTTCTTCGATTGACACCGTGTACCCAAAATAAATAAAAATAATCTAAAACTAGGTACCTAGATAATTGATAGTCGTATTTATTTTTACCAAGGGCATAAAACAATAAGGTTTTTAGTTTTTACCACGATTTAAAACCATCTTAAATCGTGGTTTACCGTAGACTGACTATTGACTTTATTTTAATAAGAAATAAAACATTAGTCAAATTTGACTGATTGATAAAATACATAGAAAAATACTAAAAAAAAAATCATGATTGTATTATTATATTTTATAATTATTATAACTAATGAAATTAATACATTATGTTAATCGAAAAATTGGGCCCAGAAAATGATAGGTTTTTATTTTTATTATATTGAAGAATATTTACAATCTGTACATATTTTGTAAGTACCTACCTAAATTTTATCATAAAATGACCAATAATTAAAATATGTTTTACGATTACGGACAGTTAATAACTTGTCTAATAATAGTATTATTATTAATTTATTATTAATTACAACAAATTAAAATGAGACAATTTTGCCTAACTTGTACTTATAAGATGATAGTTGATATGAATGTAATCGGGTTTTTCAATTGCTGAAAGGTATTATGTTTATATCTTTCTCAATATACTTACTAACTATACAGGTGAAAGATCTTTATTCCGATAAAAATTATTTAAAAACATTAAAATCTTCGCTATCACAAAATGTTTGGAATTAATTTGAACATCGTGAGTGAATTTGTGAAATCTCTAGTTTTCAAAGATGTTATTCGAGTTTTTTAAAATGAAAATACGTATGATTACGCATGATTTACTTAAATTAAATGTTGTACACCACAATCGTTAAACAATATATTATTATAGGAGTATAAATTTGGACGCTGAAAACTAATTAAATCGTTCGCGTCTCGTATAATTGCATAATACTATTATAACATATTATTATGGGACCAGCAGGGTTGGCGTTAGGGGTGGGCGACAAGGGCCTACGCTCAGCTAAGGGCGCCTGCTGTAAAGAGAGTGCCTCAACGATAATAATTGTACTTAATTAATTGAGAGGGAAGCGCAAAGACATGGTTTTGCCCGAAGTGCCAATATATATGGTTGTAGGTAAAAATGTTCAATCAAAAAACGTCTGGAGGTGAAAATGTCCAGCTAGAACTCTGAAGGATTAGCTAGATAACAAAAATTAACTCAAGTCGAACGGATTTTACTTTAACATTTACAATAATAAACCGGTTTATTACTTTACATTGACATCACTTTCTAGTTAGTTGGTTTGTTTTGTAATATGTGTAATATACCAGCGTCACATACTTAAAATATTATAAATGTTAAAGTTTTCTTATTTTAGATTTTGAGTAGAGCGAAGAAGCTTATGGTTTTACAAAGATGTTCTTTATTTTGTTTTCTGTGGACAACTTTTCTACCAGAGGACTTGCTCCGATTTTTAAGTGTAGCTACTTTTCTGAAAAGATATTGGTGTAGGGAGGTACCTTAAAGAATTTATTTTTTGATTTTCTCAAGAGTTTTCTCATCAAATGTGAAAAACCGAAAAAAAAAAGAAAGGGAAAATGTACAAAATTGATTAATATAATATTTCAATTTTTTTTTTCTGTGGATATTTTTTCTATCTCCAATATTGCTCCAACTTTTTATAATAGTAATTTTTCTTAAAGGAAATTTCACTGGGGAGGTACTTTAAACAGGTCGTTTTTCGATTTTTCCTGGAGTTTCCTCAGAAAATGTGAAAAACTGTGAAGAAAAATAGAAAAACTGGGAAAAACGTGGGAAAACTGGGTAAATCTGTACAACATAAAACAAAAATTATTAAAGAAAATATATAGAGCCTATTTAATAATTTTACAAGAATATGGCATATATATTGTTGACAAAGTATCATTATCAACTTAACTCCGCTCAGAATAGTGTTTTCGTAAGCAATGGTTTATCGTTGCTATAGGTATACATTAAATTATCTATGACAATTTCTGCCCGTCCTCATTATCCTAGGACATCTTTTTTAAATTTATTTTTTTTCTATTTCTTATTATATTTTATTATTATTTATTTATTTTAAATTTAATTATTATTGTATTGTAAAGGAGAATAATTTATATTCTTTTATTATGATTTATTTATTGATTTTTAATTTTGATTATTAAACGATTTTATTACTTTTAAGACCAAAATTAAAGCGATTATTATACCTATTAATATTACTTTTATGAATTAAAGTTGTATTTAATTTTTTTTATTTATATTTATAAATTATAATTATATAGGTATTATATTTTTTTACCGCCAGACATTAGTAGTATAGAAAAAGCGGTTCTGGGCCCCCCGTAGTACTAGGTAAATTAGGTACCTCTCCCGCAAATCCCTTCCATTTCTGGTTTAGGCCAGCCCAGTTTCGGTTTCAACCTCCTCATGTTCCATTTAGGCTACACCTATTTCCGGTTTTCTCATCATACTTCCGAGTTTGATTACGCCCAGTTTTTAGTTATTAGCTGTTATCTCTTTTCAGTTGTTATTTTTTATCAAATGGTAACGCTTATCAGTTTGGGGGTTAACCAGTGCAAAATAGGTTAAATGGAAAATATTGAATTACCAAAAAAATGTAAACATTTTTTTTTTTTAAATTTCCATAGAGGCATTTTTATTTAAATGATAAAATAATTTTTAAAAATACAAATCAGTAGGAGTATTAATACATACAATGTAATATATATATATATATATACAAAACTTGTGCCGAGGTTTTACTTCCAGTGAAGCAACATCATTCTTAATCTAAAAATTAGACTAAGTCAAATGGCTTCAGTCATTTGAGTCGTCTGATGTCTGGCGAGTTGTCGAGGAGTTGTATGGCAGCTGTATTTGTGTGAAGCTCTAGTCTTTTTCGAGCTCTATCTCTAGTCATTTAACAATCGATACATACAAGAGACGTTTGTTGCTTAAGTTTAGCTCGGAGTGTTGTCCAACTAGCCAGTACAGTTTGTGCATTTTTTGTTTGATTTGCAATTTTTTCTGGCGTACATGATGTTTCCAGCTAAGTCATGAGTCAAGATGCATTCCCAGATATTTCGCGGAATTATCTGATGATTTAGCGTGATTGGGATGTATGTGGTTTTACATAAGGTATGGTTAACGTGCACCGACTTATCTCTATTAATTTTTATTTTCCATCGTTTCGTCCAGTTGTAAACGGTGTTGATTGTCGTTTGTAGGATCTTAGTCGCAGCTTGTTGGTCCTTCTTTGTAGATAGTATTGCCGTATCGTCGGCGAACATAGCTATCATTGTATTGTCGTTAGTTGGAATATCAGTTGTATAGTATAGGTACAAAATAGGTCCAAATGTCTTTTAGCCAGATATGATTTGAGGAGTGCGCACCATGTGTGCGGAAGCTGCTCACGTAGTTTGAACAATAGATCTTTGTGTCAAAATTTGTCAAAGACTTGGGCTGCATCTAGGAATACTCCACAGCAATAATTTTTCTCTTCTAACGCCTTACTGATCACGTTCGTTACACGATGAAGTTGGTCGATAAACGAGTGTTTTATACGAAATCCAAACTGGTGATCTGGTATAAGTTGCTTTGCTTCAATAATTGGGTTGAGATACTTAAGAAGAAGTTTTCCAAATAGTTTTGACATGCATGGTAGAAGCGCTATCGGTCGATAGGAGGAGACTTGTTCAGGTGGTTTTCCAGGTTTGAGCAACATGATTACCTCCGCTCTTTTCCATTGCTTTCGAATTCTGTTTGCAAGATGGCGTTGTAAATGTGGGTAAGATGGATGATTGCCTTCTTAGGTAGCTCTTTAAGAATACATGGGCTTATTTCATCGAACCCAAGTGTCATTTTTCGTGTTGATGTTGGTGTCGATTTTATAAGTCACTTCGAGTGGTGTAAAGTACCTTATGAATTCTCTTGTAAAATTCAGTGGCTGGCATTGCGTGCTGTCAAGTTCAGAAACGATGTCATTTAGCTGAAATACACGTTCGAGATGTCATGCGTATACTTCAGCTTTATCCTGATCACTGCGCGCCCAAGTTCCATCCTTCTTTCGGATGGGTGGTATATGGACGCGAGGTCTTTTTAATTGTCTTGTGGCTTTCCATAACGAGTAATCGGGATCTTCTATTGCAGATAAGCCACACAAATACGATTTAAACGTTTCATTTTTCATTTCTTTAATTTTATTGTGTAGCAATTTGCTGATTCAGTTTTCTCGGATGGGTGCCGAGTTCTGTGCTAGATTCGTCTTGCTCGCCACTTTTGTTGAACAATGTCTCTGATTTCCTTCGGGTAGGTGAACTGACGGTCATTGCCTTTGTGTGCTTTGGGTGTTGAAGTTTTTGCTGCTTTAACAATATTATCAGTCAGTTTTTTTACCGAAAATTCAATGTCAGTTGACGATTTTAGCCGCACAGCAAGATAGATAGATTTTTCGAAAGTAATTCTAAAAAGGTCCCAGTTTGTATGTTTGTTTGTTAGAAAATGTTTTCGTTTTTTCATAATTACATTTGAACTCAACGATAATAACATAGGAATGTGATCAGACGTTAGCTCTATTAATCCTTCAGCTTCAACATAATTAGAGGAAATACCTTTAATTACGAAGCAGATCGGGGATTTTCCTAGAATCGGTTGGCCAATAGGTTGGTTCTCTGGTAGAAATTATATCATCGTTTATACTGTTAGCTACTTTTAGCAGAGCACGCCCTTTCGGAGTAATCAGTCTTGATCCCCAGTGAGAATGCTTGGCGTTGTAGTCATCACCAGCAATAAACCTGTCTCCTAGCATTTGGAAAAATGAATTGAATCTAGTTTCATCTGCACCTCCTTGGGGTGGACAATAAATAGCTGTAACCGTGAGTTCATTCTTTTCATCTTTGACACAAACACTTGTGGGCTTGTATGTTCAGTTCTGAATATTCTTCAAGTTCGAAGTGTTTTAAAGTTTATCTTATGACTACAGCTGTACCTCCACGTGCTCTACCACTCGGTTGTAAAGTTGTATAAGGGCAATGTTGATATTTAAAGTTTTAATTTACACTGTACTAGCTCGTTGGCGTTTCATCCTACAATTTGCAGTGTGCGGTTTATTTCTTTTTCTTCTGACTTTTATTATTAGACTTAAATTGACTACATTCTAATCTATCTAGTCTAGATGTGACATTAACTAACGATTTGGTAATGTTAGTTAAGGCAGATAAGATTTCCGCTAACGTAGAGTCATTTTCGCTAGGTTGTTGTTGCTGCTTGGACGTTTTGGGTGTTGCGTTATTTGTGACAGAACCAGTCAGTTGTGCATATGAGATGGATATCAGTTTTTGCTGGTTTCTGTTGAATTCGCTGTACTGCAGATACCTTTTTTGGATGTGCTCTTTATTCTGCCTTTTTGTATTCTAAGTATGCCTAAATGCTTGACAGTTTTTATACTATGGCACCTCTTTTCTCTTTCAAGTGCTTCTTTTTAATTTTATGATAACACAGACTATCCAGATTGTATATATTTTTATTATTGCCTTGTGGAACTAAGTCTACGAAGAACAATGGTAGGTTTATCCTCGTCCATTTACTATTGTTGTCTGAACAATTTTTGAAATGTATATTCTTAATTTTAATTAACTAAATTAAATTGAATAGTATAGTAGATAATATATTTTTAACTCAAATTTACCATTGTCATTTTTATTACATTTAAGACGATTATTATACCTATTAATATTATTATTACTTTTTAAAATTGTATTTAATTTATTATTTTTATTTATAAACTTTATAATTATATAGGTATTATATTATTTTACCTCCGGACATTTTTATCTTCCGGTATTTTTTCCTCGCACATTTTGGTAGAACTCCCATGTGCATATGGTGCAAACTATTTACACTAGTTTCATTCCATCTCATTTCCCCCTTGAAAAAATAAATGAACAGATAAATGATAATAATAATAATTCAATTAATAACAATTATTATTAAAATTAATTTGGGACCATTTGGATGACCATATTGAAGGTAAGTAATTTGTAATGTTTTAATAAGACGCTAAATTTTACAAACGAACGACATTACAAATTTGTGTTCACATGAGTTAACTTTGTGCTGTTAGTTTTAATATTGACATAATAATATATATTCACAATTTTTGTTTAAAATAAACTCTTTAAAATGTTTAATTTTAAATAGATTATTTGTCATTTTTCTTAAGTAATTACTAGTTACTACTTATGTATCAATAAGCGGGAACTGATATTGGAAAACATAGGTAAAAATGTATAGCGTTTTTTACATGATTACACTTCATAGTGTACTCACTCACTATAGTGGACTCGGGTCGCACTGGATAGTTCACTGATAATTTGCTGATAATCGTACTTGTGCAGGACTGGTGCAAGAGTAGGTGAAACATGTCAAAATTACTGTAGTATGATTGTATCGTATTACAACATTATTATTTGTTATCAATTTTTATTTGGTTGGTAATAGTCACAAGCAATAGTTATTACTTATAACTGCATAATTCATAACCCAATTTTTCTAATCCTTCATTAAAATTGATATTTGTTCAACAAATATCAATAAATAAATCCATTACTCTGTTTACTCAATGATAAAACATTCTTGTCGATTTACAAAAACCATTCTGATTGGTTCCAGTTTGTGAGCTGTGACGTCCATTTTATTTCTATACTTGTGAGTTATCGATTTTTGTTGTAGTTATCAACTTGAAGTTGTTACTTCAAGTTGATAACTATTAGTTGATAGTCTAAATCATAAAGACTAGAATAAGGAAACTAAACTCGTACGGCCGCCTGCATGGAAAAACGTCCCGAAATGAGTCACACGATTAAATGACCATAGGCTGCTCTGCTTACGTTAGGGTTGCTACTTTAACCTGCGTAGTATAGAGATTATTCATATTTTTTGAATAATATATGGATTATTTCAAACCATGACTCTTTATAAATTGTATAGCTCATAAAATTACGCATTCATACATTGCAATGTGCCTATGTGTATATTTCATAAGTATATCTACCCTATAATGTATGGTGTTGCTTTATGGAAAAAATCGAGACAAATTGTTACTATAAATTACTCATCTACGTAAGATAGTAAAATATGGCAACGAATAACAAGAAATAAACTACAGTGTATAATTTACATACCTCCAGCGTGGTGGTTCTATTAGTCATGTTATAAATTATTAAACTAATACTATTGCCTATTGGAAGTAGATAAAAACCATACTTTTATTATCAACATAATTTTATCTGTTGTCATTAATACTGTGGCAACACGTCCTTCGAAATACGTTAGTACTACGTTTGTTATTTACGTTGAACCATGGTAATGTCCTGAACCAAGGATGTAGATAAATACATAGTTATCTACAGCCATGACCTAAACGTAGGGTCGTCGCTATGGCAGAGTGAGAGGGGGCCCTCGTGCCGAGCACCATGGCTTTCACTATGGTTTACAGGTCCCGTGTGGCCATGTTTTTTTTTTTTTTTTTTTAAATCGTTTATTGGTGTAATTTACAATCTATACATAATGGTACAATAAGTAAATGTGAGAATAATTGAAAGGAGGCGGTGAAAAAAGACAGTGAGTAGAAATTTCACATTAGAAATTTCTACGTGGAAGTTAATTTAGGGGGGGTGTGTATTAAACATGTTATGCTATGTGTGCGTTGAGAAGATCTCTGGGCCATTCACGTTTGAGGCGTCTGTCTTGAATGTCCGGAAGAGCATTGGTATGGAGTTGAGCATTGAGGGTATTTGAATGATGTTCCATATTGGAGTGGAATCGAAGTTAATATTTTATAGCTGTTTGTTTGGTGGTAGGGATTTGGAGGTCGTTGTGAAGAGCAAGATTTGTGACGTACCAAGGGGCTTTAGCAATTGTGCGGAGGCAGATGGCTTGGAATGCTTGAATGGTTCTTGTGTTTGATGGTTTAGTGGTTCCCCATAGAGCGATTCCCTATGACCAGATAGATTGCAGTAGAGATTTGTAGAGTAGTAGACGATTGGAGATGGGCATGTTTGATTTCATGAGAGGCACAAGGATGTGTAAGCGGCTATTTAATTGTTTAAGTTTAGTTTTGAGGTGGGGGCCCCAGGTGAGCCTTCTGTCAAATAGTAGACCAAGATATTTGACTTCGTTTGTGTGAGGGATGATTGCGTTCTCATATATTATGTGAGGACAGTTTCCGGGGCGGAGGGAGAAAGTGATATGAGAGGATTTGGAGTCGTTGATCTTAATTTTCCATGAATTGAACCAGTGGGATAAGCTGTTCAGATGGTTTTGAAGTAGGCCGCTTGCTTCGTGTGGGTCTTGACTGGATGAAAGTATTGCGGTGTCGTCAGCATATGTTCCTATTAGGGTGTTGTCCGTTGATGGAATGTTAGCTGTGAACAGTGTGTATAGAAACGGGGTGATGTCACTTCCCTGAGGGACACCTGCTAGAATATTATGTGTGCTGGATAATGTAGTTTTTAATTTGACTCTGAAAGTTCTGTTATTTAGGTATGATTTTAGGAGTAAATAATACGGAGCAGGAAAGATTTTTTTAAGTTTGAATAATAAACCGTCGTGCCAGACAGTGTCGAAGGCTTGAGCTACGTCCAGAAAAAGCCCTGAGCAATATTTTTTTGTTTCTAGAGATGCAGCAATGTGGTCTACTACACTTGTAGTTATATTTTTGTCGGTGTAATTATGAGAGCCGGTCAGCAAGCGATTAGAACTCATAATGATGTAGATAAGATGAATAGATAGTGGCTTTGGGGTTTATAATAATAGAAATATACATTACCAATTAAAAAAAAAAACCGCAACGTGTGTACACTTACCAACACTGGGCTAATCCATGCACATGAGTAGAGGAAAAATTAATGTCTTATGATGATTAGGAAAAAAAAACAATAACTGTCTATTTGACTGGAACTCCAGCTGTTACTATGAGGCACGATGTAGAGATGATCTTTTCTACATCATGTTATGACGTTATGAAATGGTATACCACGACCTTGGTAGCTGAATCTACCGTCCGACTATTGGCGAATTAACGTTAAATAATATTATTGGCGGGATCGCTGCGACTTTCCAACAATAGTTTTGTATTTCCTGAATTGTCGCGCAATAGTAGGGACGTGATTCACTGCCCGAAGTTTTTTAATAATAAATTTCCATTTCCGAAGAATGTCGCTTTATCGAGTTTCTTATTAGTTTATTTGTGTATTTACTAAAGCCCAACCTCTATAGTTTATATTATTATTACACACCATCCATGCGTTGGCTATATAGAATTCGTTCAAAACTCGATTAGTTTATATGCAGATTGTTATAAAAAAAAATAGACGTGGTCGTTTTAATTCATCAATTGTTTACATGGTAATGTGAATTTATCGTTGCTACTGTTGCGTTTTCGTATTTTTGTTTTTTTTTTTTATTCGGCGTGTTTAAAATTCAAATAACATGTATAGGGTAAAATGGTAAAAAATAATACACTAACGATTAATTAATACCACGGACATCTCATTGGTGTAACTAGAACTTCTAATGCCCGTGGCAAAACATTGTAGATTAACCAAATTATGAAATCAAGAATGTGGGGGAGTTTACGATCATTTATAGTAGGAAATTATAAAAAGTAAAAAAAAAATTAGTCTATTAGCAAAAAATAGATAGATTCCGATTCATATAAGGGCTGATAAACAGAAAATATAAACCATCAAACCCCATAAATAATTGCTAGTCCTCACCAAGTGCCACTATTCAAGTTGGATCACAATTTACACAGTTTGGAGATTGTTTTCATACATATGTCCGTCCATTCATGTTACTTAACCTTACCTAACCTAACCTTATAGAGCCTCTCTAGGTCTGTCTATTTGCAGTCGATTAGAGCACCATTGTTATCATTATGTTATTATCGTCTAAAATGTATAATTAAGTAGAATATATCTTATTAGAATATAGTTCGGTTTTTACATGTTTTGAATGATCGTAATATTTACGACTTGAAAATAATAAATTTTATAAATTTTTCCGTATTTCCCAAGTTTTTTCCTGGTTTTTCCTATTTTGTAGAAAAATCCCTCGAAAAATCAAAAGAAACCTCCCTAAAGTACCACCAAGTCAGATTTATTTTCAGAAAAATGGCTACACTTGAAAATTAGAGCAAAATTTCTGGTAGTAATCATCATTGTAAAACCAATACATTCCTCGCTCTGTTTAGAATTTAAAAATATAAAATAAAGGAATTATAGTAATAGAAACCATAAGCTTTAGTAATTATTAAAATTCAAATAAAACTTAAAAAAATTAAACAGAACAAAAATTATAATATTTGTCAAATTATCGTGGGACAGTCTGTATATTATTTAATAAAATATAATTTCTTTTTATAAATACTAATGACCAAATTATAGCAGCAATTAAAAAGTAATATGAATGACACACAAAAGATCCTCGTCACTAATGAAATTAAATAGGTAAATATTTAATATAAATAATTCGCCTAGATTCTGAGGTTTTCTGACCCCATTTTTTCATTAGACAATATCATCCCTTCACCAGACCTACATTATGACATCCATTTAAAACATATAAATAAAGCAAATATTTAAGTAGAGTATTACTATATTGGGCTATCTAAATCGATATCCCAATATGATAATGAATAATGATTGCCTCCGACCATAAATTTGAGCTGAAAAAAAACCACATTCATTCACAATCAATAATAATATATTACAATTTCAGTGAACTATAAACTTACAATAGCAATTATGTTACAAAGTTCTGTGATTGTAGTAGTCCACGTGATTGAATTATTTAATTATTTTCATTGTACATCAATACAAATCAAAGGATCACAACAACTGTTTGATGTTACACCTAAAATATGTATTAATTTAAACATATATATTCATGGAGTATATTTTGTTATTATGCTATATACACTCAGGAATTGGTTGCAGTGTGTCAGATTCATCCTCATACCTATACAATTAATGACATTTTATGGACTTCAATTGTCCTAACAAAAAGAGGTTCAGTTTTAGTATATCATGAATAAAAGTTATATTTATTATTAGTATAAAAACATAAAACAATACACGCTCAACTGCTGGAAACTATAATCTTTCTATATAAAATTTAGCTCATGTAATAAAATGTAATACTATTTATTTGCAAAATATCTATGTATCTATCTAACTCAATTATAAATCATAATTCTTATTTTTACTCTGTATAAAACTAAAGTACCTCAGTAGACAGGTTTTTTTTTGATTTTCCTAGGAGCTTTCTCTATAAATTGGAAAAACGGAATAAAACGAGAAAATGTACGAAATATATATTAGTAAAATATTGCGGTATTTTTTTCTATGAACAACTTTTCTACCAGCAATTTTGCTTCGATTTATAATGATAGCACTTTTTCTAGAAGGAAATTTGACTGGGTGGTATTTTTTTTATTTTCCCAGTAGTTTTTTCAGTGAATGGGAAAAACCGGGAAAAAACATGAGAAAACCGAGAGAACGGGAAAATAGGTACAATATTAAACATATATTATTAAAAAAAGATGTTTAATGCATATGTAATTATTTTACCAAAATATGACATATTTATTGCTAATAAAGCAACATTATCAATCGAACTCCTCTCAGAAACGTATTTTTCGTTAGCAATGGTTAATTATTGCTTACAGATATACATTAAATTCCCGTTTATATTCTACCTTCCTAACTTTCCACCTACAACAGTGGTTGGACTTATCCCCATTATCCTAGGACAGCTTTTTTTGAAGTGACAATGTGACATGTGATTTTTATTGAGTCGTAACTATTAATAACATAATAAAAAATTTAATTTGCGATAAAATGACTGGATGTATAGTAAAGAAGTAAAAATGGCAATATTGTTGACTGTTTCACACAGATTGTACTCAGTAAAACGCAGCATATTACTCAAAAATGAGCAAATTGACAAATTTAATATGATATTTAGAAAAAAATATAAATCTCATAGAGAAACAATAGAAAAAAACAAAAAAACAAAATTATTAGATTTAAGATTAGAAATTCCACCTATAGTTTGAAGAATTTTTTAACAACTGTACTATTTTTCAATTGAGAACGCACCAGCCGGAAAACGAAAACCGGTCGAAACTCGCACATGTCCGTTCCATTTCCCTCAGTTTCGGTCGTCGACGGTCACGCTACCAAGTAATTATATCATAGCGAGCTGTATGAACATTGAAGATATTATTTAATGGCCGGTCGTATTCGTCAAACGACGCGTTTACATATTAGTGTATAAATTGTTACTGGTTTACCATTATACCACATCTATATTTAATACACAGAGACGATTAAAAACAAGCAACACAATGATCATTGCGCATGGGCAATTCTGCTTATTTAGCAGTTGCTGAGTCGTGTACATTTGCGTACATAATCACGTGTGTGCAATTAATGAACACAAGTAAAAATTCAGAGGCGACGACATTAAACGGTCGCCTTTCTGACGTCATCGGAACATAGCCGCCGGTTTAAATGTCAGCGTTTGTTTACGTAATAATTCCGTGCATTTCTTATAAGTTTATAGCTATTTTTGGTAATAAACACGGAATAATATTATACAATAATAAAATAAATGATAATTCATATTAACGAAGTTTAATAAACTTCGTAAAGAAGAATTTTGTTTCAATCAAAATCATAAATACGTTAAAAATTATTAAAAAAATGTGTGTTATCAGTGAGTCAAGAATTATACTTTTAGAGTATTATTTAATACACAATTTTAGGTTAGGCGCCGCCTCTCTTGCTTTACCCTCAAAGCCGCTACTAGTCAATAATTTTTTTTAATTCAATTGTTCACGGCGGCTTCGATTGTAGCCGACCGATGGCGATTAATTATAGAAAAATAGCCCCCTTTAAACATAAGTAATTTCGGACGCTCTTGAACTGGACGCGCCAAGAACGCGTGATAAAACTATGTGTTTAATACTTAATACTCAATACTCAACCTATGGAGTGGCGTATTGTTTCACCGCCGATAACGATGCGAACCATCAATTTATGGAATTTGTATTATAGGTTCTCATTTGAAAAATCACAGTTGGTATCGCCGAAGGGTACTCCTTAAATGTTGTGTTGTTAAATCTTTAAAAATATTTTTCACTGAATTACAATAAAAAATCAAAATTGAAAATTATAAAAGCATTATTTTCGTAAATTATCTCATCTTTCCTACGTTTTTTCCAGGCATATCTCAATTATTATAAAATCTGAAGAAAGAATAGCCACATTGTAAAATATATTATTTTAAAAATTTTAATAAATCATATATTCATATCCATTTAATAGTTTCTTAGTTATAGTAGCTTTAATGTATAAAAAATAGGCATAATAGAGACAAATAACCTGATAACGAAAATGTGACAAAAATTATGAACGATTCAAGACTACCACGGTTCACCGCATTTAAAATTTACAGAGAAAAATAATTTGAACTTGATATTCATTTTTGTTACATTTCTGTTCAATTCTCAGCCTAATGATCACTCATATATAATACATGTATTTTTTTATATTTCAATTCATAAACCTTAAAGACTGATGTACTTATCTGTGTGAAAATCAAATTCTACTAAAACTATAATTTATGACTTGATGCATTATATACGAAGAACTTGGTTAGATTATATTTAGTTATGTGGTATGAATAACCTGATTGAATTAAATTCTTTTTTTTCTTTAAACTGTTTATTTTTTTTTTTTAAAATTATAAATATGGTTCAGTGTTGGATTCCATTATGCTTTCATATTTTTAATAGTGAAGAGTGTACATTTTTTAGGTTCCCTGCAAATGATGTTCAAGACAATAATTGAACCAAAGTTGTAAAGTACCTTTTTAATTTAATTTTGATTTTGATTATATTAATATCATTAATTATACTATTTTTATTAGTAACATTTCTTATTGTTGTAATCAGTATTCGAGACTCATAGCACTTATAATCATCAAAATAAGCGCTGAAAAAAGCACTTAAATATATTAAAATAAACAAAAAAAGCACGACAAAAACTACAAACACAATTTTTTATATTAACATTTAATTAGTATACTTGAAAATACATAAAAAAATGTTATCTTTTTGATAACATCGTTATCAATTTACTGATTATCACAGAAGTGATAACAATGGCTTAAGGTATACAGGTTAAACAACCTATAACAGATAGTGCTTTATGATGACTGGTGAACTATTTGAATCAGCTGTTATCTCAGTAATACTATCACTCGTAATTCTTTAAATATATTAATATCTATTATTTAAATTACAATCACAGTACTGCGCACGATTTAAGATATCTTAAATCGTGGTACTGCGTACTAAAAGCCGGGTAAAATTTACCGCGTTGTTTTTCTCTTTATTATTATTTCCATACAATATGCCATTTTTAAAAGTTATTCTACCATTTATTTTCCTTGCTATTTCCATAAAAATGATATTCTTACTAATATAATTTCTTACTACATAATTATGAGAATGAGATATTTATGGAAAATCAAAATAATAAAAAACAAAACAGAACCAAAAAAAAAAAAAAAAATTGTTTAAGCTAGTTTCGACTTAACGATATTTATAATTTTTAACTTATGTATTTATATTTTATTGTATACATTATACGAATTACGAAATAATATACTAGTTTACTAAATTTATTTAATTGAAAATTAAAATTGTATTATTAATTTGTGTGATCTCATTTAAATTTTTAAAAATATTTAGTAATATCATTATCATTACTACATAACCACAGTTATTTACTATCAAATACCTACTAAAAACGTAAATTATAAAACTATACATTTGTCCTCATGGTGCGCTAGTAGTATAAAAGTAACAGCTGATTCAGATAGTTAATTCACCGATCATATTACGGGAGTTCGATATACAACCTGTATATTTTAAATCGTGGTGACAACACTGTACTCGAGATAGATCATTGATATAATGATGTCATCGTCATGTACGGGTCATTCAGCTGATTGTTGTGCATGTGTTAGTTGTATTCGTTTACGGGATACGTAGCTTTGTGAAATCGCACTAAAAAAAAAAAAAAACTGTAAGTTAAAGAAAAAAGGCGACTGTTCGCCTTTCAACAGGAGCAAAATAAATATTGTTATGGAACAAAAACCCATAACATTGAGCGTCAAAATCACCACGGATACACATGTCTACTCGTTAACGTCCCCGATGAAATTCAAGCTTATTTTTAAAAAGACCACTAGTAATAAAAAAACGCAAATTGTTATCAAGACGAAATCTCAAGATCAGAAGCACGATAAACCAGACCAAATGCACTTGTCCGGGTCGCCTGGATCTAAGGTAAAATATCAAAAGTATGCAATTAATAATTATATATTAACAATAGGTACCTATAGTTAATATAACGTATTTCAATTGTGATTATTGTTATTGTCACTTGTCAGGAGTTTTATGTTTAATTCAGAACACCTTTTAGGGGTGTTCAAGACAATTTTACCCACGAATATTCCTTAGTGGTGAGCCAAGTTTAATCCAGCTGGTTTCTATCAAGTCTGGATTGGGTGAGGGGAGACGTATGTATGATAACCTAACCTAAAAAAAATAAATAAATAGTAATTTCCAAAAAAAAAAAATTACCAGTGATTTTCTTAGTGATAATTGTATTCATTCAAATAAGTTTAAATATTATGGTGATTAAATTAATTAAAATTTAGTAATTAATAATAACAAATTTAATTATTCAACTAATTTGATTAAAACACTATTTACTTATCATCATTATCTTTAGAACGTTAGATTCTAAGTAGAAGTCTAGATCTATTAAAATTATTTTTATATTATAACAACAATAATAATATTAATAAGAAAAATAATTTAACTTTTATAATAATCAGAAGTTTTTTATTATATATTTAATTAACAATAGATAATAGTATATTATATTTTTTTTAACCTGTTTGTTGTTATATTTTAGAGCTGTAGGTTTTATACTATACTTAAGCTATCTGTTGGGCAACTATCTCTGATTTTTAGATTTATATTTTTACTCATTTTAATCTTAAAGGGATATTATTAAGTTGTGGAAATTAAACTATATTAAATGTGTTAATAGTACTATTCTTTTCTTAAAAAGACTTGATTGATATTTCAGGAAAGATCATTTAGTTCAAAACAAGAACAAGACATCTTTGAAGAATTAGAATCAATATTAGTGTCATTTGCCCTATCAAGTGAAAACAGTATCCAAGCTGATAACATTCATCAATTAGAATCATCTTTCCAAGCTGCAGGACCTAGTAAATATTGTTGCAAAAAATTAAATAAAGCCTTGTAAAAAAAAAAAAATTGATGATTTTTTCATTGAAATAGGTGGTACCGTACACGGTTTAGGTCCGAATGAACTAGGGTTAACAGTTGAAACGACCACTGAACAAGAAATGTTGCAAAAACTAACCAATAGTGCTAATGACGTAGTTGCAGCTGAAACAACGTTACAGTATTCACTACCAACTCATGATCGTAGTGCAAGACAAAAAATTATCAAATCCTATTTTAAGGCCATAATCAAATCATTTTGTGATTCTTATGTTATGATTGATTCTTTTATGTGTTTAGTAAAAGACCATTCATTTCATGGAAAACCTGAAGAAAAGGAATATTTTTTATCATTGGCCTGTTCACATGGTTATTTTAGATTAGTTGTGGTAAGTTTTATTGAGTTTTGGAGTGTGTATCAAAGACAATATTATTAGCTTTAATGATATAAGTGTTTTTTCTTTTGCAAAACAATTTTTGTTTTTAAAATGGTCAGATTAGATTATTCCATAAATTAAAACTTGCAAATTTTCCATCAGACAGTATTTTTTGAAACAATTTTTCATAATTCACAACAGTTTGTTTTTGCAAATGTAAAAAAAAATAACAAATGATATTACACCAGCCTTACTTTTGTTTATTTCTGTATTACTCTGGTCTGAATAGAAAAACACTAATATCAGTGTTTTTTTGATTGCAATGATATTTTGTAATTTTCAATATATTAACTGAATTAACTAATATCCTATTCTTCATAACATCCCACCTACAACTGACAACTATAGTCTACCCGATGTATTTTTGGATTTTAATAATTTTTTAATTAAAATTCATTAATATAAATAGCATATATCTGTAAAAAATAACAATTTAATTTTCCAATCCCTTTAATAATAATTTAACTAAATCATTTGTTAGGTTTTATTAGCATTGAAGACCGATGTTGATTGTCGAAATATAAATGACGACTGTACACCACTTATGAAAGCCGCATCTTCTGGTTTTGTAAAGATTGTTGAGGTACTACTAGAGCATGATGCTATGGTAAATGCTTTATCTTCCAATGGTGAGTATATTCATTTTATTCAAATTATGAAAGGATTTTTTATATAAATTATACAGGTAAAACATCATTGATGTATGCATGTGCTGGAGGCCATGTTGACACTGTAAAATTACTTTTGAATTATGGAGCTAACGTACAAAATCTCAATGAAAGTGGATATACACCTCTTATGGAAGCAGCCAGTGCTGGACGTATTACGGTGGTGAAGGTATGGAAAAATAATAAAAACCATTTTTGTTTAGTATCCCTACATAATAATATACATTTCATTGATTAGATTCTACTGGAACACGGAGCTGATATTAATGATCACTGCAAAAAAACCCAAGAAAGTGCATTAACATTAGCATGCTCTAAAGGTCATTTGGAAATGGTTCGGTTATTATTAGAAGCTGGAGCTAATCAAGTAAATTGAATCCATTACAATACACATGGTTTTACAAAGATGTTAGGTTTTTTGTTCTATGTACAACTTTTCTACCAAAAATCTTGTTCTAATTTACAAGCGTAATACTTCTTCTGCTAATAAGTTAGGTCATTTTATGATTTTCCTTAGACTTTTCCCAATAAATTGGAAAAACAAGAAAATATACAAAAAGTAGGTATTAAATTAAATTCCTACCTATTTTCCCATTTCTTCTACGTTATTCCTGGTTTTCCCATGATTTTTTCCCTAGTTTTTTCAATTTATTGAACAAATTTCTGAGAAAATCAAAAAATTACCTCCACAGTCAAATTTCTTTTCAGAAAAAGTGCTATCATTATAAATTAGAGCAAATTTTCTAGTAGAAGAGTTGATAAAAAAAAATTGGTTTTTTGAAATACAGATAAGATAATGTTTATTCTACTGTTTCCCAACATATTCTGTGACTATTAATAATTTATTATTAACGATTGAACGATTCCTTGAGATAAACAATCAGATAATCATTATAATAAGAATCAGATAAAAATTAAAAACAAGTCTGAAATTTAAAAATTACTAATTATTTATTTAGAAATGATAAGTAAATTTTTCAATTTTATGTAAAAAATATTTTTATAAATATTTTTCGTTAGTAACAAAATAACAACAGTTAGTAATAATATTTCAAAAATGATTGGATGGGGGGGGCGATCGCTTCTCTACAACAGTGACCCATCCACGTGTAAAGTTGCCCGGCATTTTTTTTTTTAAATTCGGAGTTTATTAATATTGTGTATTCTTTTTTAATGTCTGTAAATAACTATTCATTGCTAAGATTAAAATTGGTGATCTGAAAATAATAGCAATTTATTTTTTCAATATCTTAATAAGGAAGCCAGTGTTGATGATAGGGGTATAAATAGAGATTGTACACCTCTTATGGAAGCTGCATTATCTGGCTTTGTAGAGATTGTTGAGCTATTACTAGCAAATGGTGCCGTAGTAAATTACAAAACATCCATTGGTGAGTATATCTATTGTATGTAAATTAAATAGTTTAATATTTTTCCATATAAATTATACAGGTAGAACACCATTAATGAATGCATGTGCTGGAGGCAATGTTGAAACTGTAAAATTACTTTTGAAATGTGGAGCAAATTTGAACGATCAGACTGTAAATGGATATACACCTATAATGGAAGCAATCCTTAATGGGCATGTTAAAGTGGTAAAAGTATGGCAAAAGAATAAAATATAACCATTTTTGTTCAATATCCCTATATAATAATATACACTTTATTGATTAGATTTTACAAAAACAAGGAGCTGATATTAGTAAACAATGCAAAAGATGCCTGGAAAGCATATTATTATTAATATGCTCTAAGGGTCATTTTGAAATGGTTAGGATTTTATTGGCTGCTGGAGTTCAAGTAAATAAGGTAAATTGAATCCATTACAATACATATTTTTTTTTTTTTTAGATTTAGAGCATAGTGAGTTTTAATATGGTGTTTTTTTTTGTCTGTAAATAACTTTTTGAAAAGTTTTTGATTTTCTTAATAGTTTTTATAATAATTGAGATAAACCAAAAGACGAAAAATGAAAACTAAGAATTTATGACTCTAGAACTAATTTATTTTAAATTTTTACGGCTTAGATTGTAAACATGGTTAAAATTTTAAAATATTTTAGCCATATTTGAGCTTTGTTTGAAGGTTTGAATTTTTATTTGGTAGGTATTCTGTGGATAAAATTGTTACACTAAATAAAAATGTTTGAAAATTTAACACTATGTTTATTGTAAGTGGTATTTAGTGGTAAAAAAAAAAATTGATTATTATGTAGTATCGTTTTTTTTTTTATAATAAGTTTTAAAATCAAATTTTAATGAACATCGTAAATATTATTCCTTTTAAAACACTTATAACCGAACTTCGCTCGAATCGTTTTTCGTTATCTATTGTTTATTGTTAGTAACATATATAAATTAAATAACTTTATGAATTCCACCTTCCCAACTACCCACCTACAACTGTAACCGCGTATCACCCTATATTTTTTTTTCTCTAAACACCTTATAAATGTATTTTAATGTATGATCGATAATAATCTCTCTACTATTCTGTATTTTTCTTATTTTATTTGTTATGAAATTATTATCACTACTGTACTATAAATTGTTCTAAAGAGTTCTTGCGGGTTTATAAATAAAATAAAAGAAAACAATAATTTTTTTAAATCATTTGTTAGGTTTTACCCGCAAAAGAAGCCAATGTTAAAGATAGTGGAGACAGTATCAAGAAAAATGTAAGAATTTTTTCACCACTTGCAGAAGCGGTATCATCTGGCCGTATAGAGATGGTTGAGTTATTATTAGAGTATGGTGCCTCAGTAAATTCTTCAACAGCCACTGGTGAGTATATTCATCTTGTGCAAATTAAATAGTTTAATATTCTTTCATATCAATTATACAGGCAAAACACCATTAATGATTGCATGTTCTCGAGGCTATGTTGAAATTGTAAAATTACTTTTGAAACATGGAGCCGATGTAGAAGATCTCAATAAAAATGAATTTATATATCAAATGGAAGAAGTCTGTACAGGGCACACTACGTTGGAAAAAGTATGGAGAAAGAATAAAAAATTATTTTCAGTATACCTATACAATAATATACATTTTATTGATTAGATTCAACATGAACACGGAGATGATGTTAATGCTAAACAAGCGCATTAACATTAGCATGCTCTAAAGGTCATTTGGACTGATACTTTTTAATTAGCTGCTGGAGCTGATCAGGAAAATTGAATCCATTAAATCCATTTATTATTTCTTGTACTGGTATTGATTATTAGGCTAAATTATCATAAAGCCATTCATATTATTTTTATTTTATTGCTGTAAATTATTAATTATTTGTATCACTTACTTAAAATATTTGTAACTATTTGAAATTATTATTATTATACAGCAACGATTCAATTATAACCATACCAATTCATTTACCGTCTTGAACTTTATTTAGTTTCCTTTTGTTACCAAATTTGTAACGGATACGAAATTACACATTCTCGCAAACACGCACTACTTAATACGTACTACCATTGATTATAAATACTAGATTGCTCATTGGCTGGTTTTTCAACGGCGTAAAATAAAACTACCGATAGATGGCGATTAAATTATAATTATTCTATTAAATAAAATAAATTCATATGTTATTTTGTTGATCATCATTAAGGTTGAGTGCGGTCGGGAAAATTTGGTTCATGATTACCTGTTACTATAGATTATTTTAATCACCAGTATATACATTTCTTATCGGTCTTATTTTCATGTTATTCATTTTAAATGTATACTTGTTTCATTCATAATTTTTTTTATTATTATTTTTATTTTTTTTACTGTGTACAAAATTTCTTTAAAAAAATTTGTTCTAATCAAAAAAGAAACCTTTTTTGTTCATTTTGGATCTAGTAACTAAAAAAGAGTCATTCTTTGATTTTCCAAGCAGATTGTATGTTTTATTATCAATAAAATCTCTGAATAAATTGTTTTAAATAAGTTTGAAAACATCTATAATTAGATAATATTATACTTTGTATAAATATATGTATCATTAAAACCATGAAAAAAATGCTGTCCTAGGACAATGAGGACGGATGTTGCCACTGTTGTAGGGGGGAAGTTGGGAAGGTGGGATACAGAAGAGAATTGAATGTATATATGTAAACAACGATAAACTATTTCTAACGAAAAAAACGATTCTAAGTGGAGTTCATTTGATAGTGATGCTTTGTCACCAATATATATGTCATATTATGGAAAAAAATTAAATAGACATTATATATTTTCTTTAATAATATTTGTGTTTAATATACCGATTTTCCCGATTGTTCACATTTCTTGAGAAAACTTTTGGAAAATCGAAAAATTACCTCGCTAAATTACCACCCCAAGAGCATTTCCTTTTAGAAAAGCGTCTACATCGGTGTAAGCTTGCTTGAAAAATTGTTCACATAAAAAAAAAAAAATGAACATCTTTGTGAAACTAATACATTCTTCGCTACACTCAGAATCTAAAAATATAAGTAAAATAAATATTTAATTATTTTTTTTTAAATACGTAATTTTGCTACACTCTGGACTTGTCTTCTCCCATTTATCTTCGTATTTTTCAATTTAAATTGCTAAAAAATGTTTGTTTTAAAAAGTAGCTCAATAATATTTTCATAATGTATTTCACATTTTGACGGAATAGATCTATACATGTTGGGCGATATATGAATTATTATTTGTTTTGTTTTGTTTTTTTTTTTAAAAATTTGTGAGTATATATGTTGCTGAATTTTTATTCTAAAGCACAACTACGGTGGCCGACATTACTATTGCGGTAGCAGTAGGCGATGACAACGATGCATAGTGGCAGCCGACAAGTAATACGCCGCGAAAATATGCAGCAGTGGGTAATCTATAGCATTTAATAGTCATAATCAATGGTACCACGTAGCCTATTAATATTCATTTGCCTGGCGAATTAAAAATCACCGCTGCTGGGCTATCCCACACTACACATCCAGTTATTTTCTATTTTTTATATTATTTTTCACGAAAGAACCATAGAGAGTCTCGATGAAAACCAGTCATTCTTACGCATCCCCACGCCGCACCTCGCCCAGAACTCCCACCACTATCGGTCCGGCAGCGATCCGTAGTTCAGCTCTGTGCGCAAAACACTACCTTTCTCTCATGAAAAATAGTATAGGTGTTAGTGACGTGCAGATGGTATGTGGGTAACCGGCATCCGCGTTTTGTGATTATATGCCATCGGCCAGTTCATGTATAATAAACGGTATGTTTTTTATTTGACAAGCTTACCTCGGGAAATATGATTGGTTTCAAATGATAAAACATTGTAAATCAGAGGTATTTTTAGTATCCGTTGAAAACGTCGGTAAATTACTTTTACAAAAATATGAATCATATTCATAGATTGTTTTCTACATAAAATAGTTATTTCCCAAATAATTTTTTACTTTTTTCCCCTCTATCTTTCAGCACTGTCTTTTTTTTTCTTATTGCTACTCATTTCGAGGAAAACTATTTAATGTTGAATTGAACATAATATTTAAAAACGAAACTTTTTAATACGTATTTAGTAATAAATGTATTATATGTACAGGTACTCCACTAGTTCATTATACTGCATTCTGTTTCTGTCTACTGACAAAATAATGTTAAAATGTAGAAAATATATGCTTTTGATTCGATAATCACGAAGTGGTAAGCCGTTAAGGCATATAAATTGTGTTGTCGACTTGTCGTATACGGCTAAAGTTATAAAAATAGATTGTGTGTACTGTACTGCTGTGGATATCTTTTTAACTATTATCTTATATGTTATCTATGTTATTCTTAAGTTGATCAACATGCCGTTTTACAAAATTTCCATCTAAATTACTGACATATGTTACTGGATTCACCTGTTCTATTTTAGATTTTTCCCAACTATTTTCACTTCTCCCAAAACTTTTAGCCATTACTTCTTCTCCTTCACTAAATTTCATTACCCAATTTCCTTTAAAAAAATTTCTCTCCGTCTTTCTAATGGTCTTTGAATATTTCCAGGTTTATTTAGTCTGACTCTGTTTAGTTAAGTTAATAGTTCTCTTGTTTTAATAAAGTGTTTTTACATACTATTCTTTATCTTTCATATAAAGGATGTTTGCCTGTATCTATAAGGATATTACATATGATTATGTGCATTCATACTGCTGATACTGCCTAGTGCCTAACACGATTTAAGTCGCTTACATATATGGTACAGTTTAAATCTTGGTATACGGGCTACCGGCAAATTGATATGAATGGTTATCTGCACATATTAGAATTCAAAATATAAAAATGATTATTAAATAAAATATATAAATGTAATTTTCACATTATTACTATTCTGGTTTGTACAATGTCAATTTATTAGAATTATTATAATATTAAAATGTTAAATAAATTAAAAATTAAAAAAAAAAAAATATAATAATAATAATAGTACTAAGTCCTAAATTATTATGTAATTATGTAATTTGTATTTATTAATATTTATTAGTCTTTTATTATAAATGTTTTTTTATTTATTCATAGTTGAAATAATCCTTCCTTGGCATTCCCCTAATTATGTGTTTACATATTTTACAGTTATTTGGCTTTAAACTTTCGTTATATTTTTTTTTTTTACATTTTTATCTGTGCCCAAAACATTTAAAATATTGTCTGGTATGTTTGAAGAAATTCCTACGTTTGGAGAACAGCCGAGAACGTAGCTTTATAATCACTTCGTCCAATCCCTCTATGGAAAGCTTTATTTTTCATGTATAAAATAAACCTTAATCCTTTATCTTTCTGAATCTTTCATTCAAGTAACTATTTTTTTTTTATATCTTGATCTGCCTTCTCCACTGATTCTTGGGATTGGCTGTAGCGAGGTTTACTATGAATTTACTAAAATGAAATGAATGCAATTACTATAGTCTGTCCCAGGAGAGAACGGTCCGCTCTCCGACCAAATTGAAGCGCTACTGCACATCCCCACGCCGCAACACTATCCATTTATTCCCTACCGGATCTATCGACAGGTTTTGTACACTGCGTTTCAAATAATGCACTGTTGTCTGTCGATAGTCCACTGTTTATCGCCAATATGACAAAATGATAAATTGTAATTTTAACGAATAAAAAATGAAATATTTTAATATAATTTATTAAATGTATATCTCTGTATCATACCTNATCCATTTATTCCCTCCCGGATCTATCGACAGGTTTTGTACACTGCGTTTCAAATAATGCACTGTTGTCTGTCGATAGTCCACTGTTTATCGCCAATATGACAAAAATGATAAATTGTAATTTTAACGAATAAAAAATGAAATGTTTTAATATAATTATTTATTATTTATTAAATATATATCTCTGTATTATACCTACTTTATTATACCTACTGTATCATACCTACTGAATTATACCTACAGTGTTCAATAAGATATTAAATAAATAAATATGTATACAAAAAAAACAATGTCTGGATTATTATAGAAGGTGCTTGTATATACGATAGTTTACGATTTGAAAAATTATCAAGAGGTTATAAAACAGCAAAGGTAAATAAACGTGCGATGCGCGATGTCTGATAATAATAACAATTTAATTTCTACAAAATATTCTAGCGGTGTATAGTCAAAAACCGACGACGGAAGAAATGACAATCGGCTGCCTTCAATGAAATCAAGTTATGTGGAGCGGTAAACATGCGCACAAGCGGACCTTTCTCTCCTGGGACAGACTATAGATACAATAGTAATAGTAATTATCTATAAATAATGCACAAATATTAAAAAAAAAAAAGGTACCAATGGACTACCATTATATTTCAGTTCATTATATTCCGTTATTATATTATTATAGTATTTATAGTTAGGCAGTTTTTAACTATGTTATAATAAAACTTTTATAGTAACACACATGCCTAATTGCCTAAATATTTTTATTAATTTCATATTTTTAAGAATGAAAGTATGCATGTAAACGGTGTAAGATTATTTGTGAACTGTAGATTATCAGATGCTGATAAACTTACTGTTAGTTTAGACTTTATTTCAAATAAAAAAAAATCAGTTCTTACTACTTAGTGTACATAACTTTTTTCATTTTTCATTTTTGAAAAAAATGAAAAGAAAAGA